GGCGTAGTTTTTATTTGCCATTCTTCTCGTAATTATTAATTTGTATTATGGCGCGAGCTGTTTTTAATGCCATCATCTGTTTGGCCTTGCCTGGATGGCGGATGATCTGGGTGATATCATCAGCATATGCAATGTATTCACCGTGAATTGGTGGCGGCATGTCTGAAGTGTAGATCGTGTAAAGAGTTGGGGATAAGTTACTTCCTTGTGGTACTCTACTATAAAGTCTGAAGCTTGGGCCTTTGTGATTGCCTATTATAATGTGTGCTTCTCTATGGTCTAAGAAATTACAAAGTAGAGAGGTGAAGTTGTTAGGGAGTTCTTGATTGGTTATTTTATATTTAAGTCCCAAGTGCCAGACCTATCGAACGCTTTTGCCACGTCCCTTAAAACTATGTTGCGCTGTTCTCTATTATGCATTGTGTTTGCTATACTTTCGTATATAAGGGCTATGGCTGTGTTTGTTCCTTTGTGTTTCCTATATCCGTGTTGTCTAGGGTTGTATTTGTATTCTAGTTCCAGGTGTGGTCTTAATCGGTGGTTAATTATTTTTTCTAAAATTTTTCCCGGAGTTTCTAATAGAGAGATTAGTCTGTAGTTTGCTACTGCTGTGGGGGCTTTTTCTGGTTTTGGTATCAGTCTGATAATTGCTGTCTTAAATCTCTTTGGGTAGTGGCCTGAAGCTATGGATGCATTGAATATATTTCTTAGTAGAAGTACCATGTTGTTTGGTAATTGCTGTAAAATGAGTTTATTTTACTGACTCCAGGAGCCTTGTTATTAAAACTGTTGATTGTTCTTACTATTTCGTCCACTGTGATTGGTTTGTTTAGTGGGGACATGTCATCCAGTGTATTCAGGTCGATCGTGGGGCTCGGTTGCCAGATGTGGGTTATTTGCGACATGTGGTTGGATATTTCCCTCTCTGTGATCATGTAAAAGTTTACGTTTTCTTCTTTGGTTATTTGAAAGATCTTACTCCAGAAAGATCTAAATTCCGGTTCTTGTTCGGTTGGATCTGTTAATTTGACTTGATTACTATTTACTATATAGTTAGACTCGTTGCTGGAGGTTCCCATTAAGTGCTTTATTTCCAGTTCGGTTTATGGTAGTTTCCTTCCGTTTCTGAAATCAGCTTCTGCCAGTTCCTGTTGTATGCTTCTTTTGAGATGTTTTTAGCTGTTCGTGTATTATGCTATATATCCTTCTGCGTCCTGGTGTCCATCCTTGTTGTGTGATTAGTTTAATTAGGTTGCTAAATTGTGTCTGTATGATTCTTGATTGGTGTGAGTATTGAGGGTGTGGTAATGTTCGGTGGGTGGTCTTGGGTATGTTGTGTTCCATGGCCTGGCTAACGTGCTCGTGCCATGTGTCCAGTGATCGGTCTATTGGAGAAGTGTGCCTGTTGTGTAATTGTATGGGTTGTGGGTTATTTAATTCTTGTTTGAAGTTTTCCCAGTTAGCCCGGTTATAGTTGAATCTTAGCCAGACCGGGATCTGTATTGGGGCTGTGGAGAGTGTGGCTATGATAGGGATCACTTGTGGATATTGGGCCGGGTTCGAGTAGTATGTTTAGGTGGTGGTGTTGATTTGTTAACACGGTATCTGGGTATTCTGTGTGACCTGCTCTAATGTACGTGGGGAATTCCGGTCCGAGGTGTACCACGTTGCCGTGGCTCACTAGTGTGTTCAGGACCTGGCCTACTGCGTTGTTGGTATGGTGTCCTAGTATGCGGTGTCTAGCGTTGAGATCGCCCAGAAAGTATGCTGGTATATTCCTCCTCATCAATCTGAGCATGTCTGCTATTGGAAAGATTTTTATTTTTATTTTTTTTATTATGCTATTGGAAAGATTTGTCGTCTTGGAGGGAGGTAGCAGGTGCCGATTATGATTGGACCCGTGGTGCTGTTAATTTCAATTGCCAGAAAGTTTTCTTGAAATGTATCATGAATTTTATGTTTTATACTTCTTTTAATTGCTATGGCTATTCCATCTTGTAACGGATTTTGGCTGGGTTTTTTGTATACTGTGTAATTGAATATCTTGATTTTATTTGAATTACCCTTGCTGTGAGAATTTAATAATATGACGTCTGGGTCCAGGGTACGATATATGTTGCACATTTCGTGAGCTCTTGGTGTGGTCATGGTCAGCACATTATGTTGAATTATTTTAAGTCTGTTGATTATGAATGATGATGTCTCGAGCTTGTTTGCGGCATTTTAGATGATCGATGTTCTCCTGAAGACCTCCTCTCCGTGTGCAGGCCGAGGCGAACTTTTCTGTATTTGGATTGCTCCACCTTTTCTATTCTATTATATTTGGTCAGGATTCTTCCTCTCTTTATTAATGTTTCTATATGGTGATCTTCCAGATTCGTATCTGTATATGTATATTTTACTTTTCCTTCCCTTATCTCTGTCAGTAGTCTCTCGGTTGAGAGTATTTGGGGGGCTGAGCACGTGTAAAACCTAATACCGGTTGCCTCCCCGAGGTCCTGATTCTCAGTCATTTTTCTTGGTGACGGTGATGGTGCCAAGATTCCCATCTTGTTCTTTTTAGGGGTGCTATATGTGATCGCTTGTTCAGGTTGTATAACAGGTTCATGTTATAAAATGGGTTCCTGCTCATCTTCGTCTTCTTCCATCCCCTCTTCAATACTTTCTGGTTGGGGTTGTCGGAAGTGGCTTGTGATTGGGTGACATGCGCCTGACTGGTGGTTTCCGCCGGTTTGTAGATGAGGTTGAAGATTTCTGAGGTGGGAACGTCGTTGGGGAATTCCATGTCTGGGAGGTTATTTGCCGCGAACATTTCCTTTACCCTTTTAGCAAAACATCCTGGTTTGGCTATATTCAAGAGGTGGGCGTGTATTATTGCCGCCATGATTTTAACCGACAGTTGACTTCCCAGGTTGAGCACTACAGGTTGTTGGGCTGGGGATTGTGAGGCTACCTTTTCAAGGACTTTAGTTGTTTCCTTTGTTAATTTGGCTACAGGTGAGTAGGTCCTGTTTTGCTTTTCCTGTGCCCTTTCCTTTTCAATTTCCCTCCTTTCTTTTACGATCTCTTTTCTTACTGGACAGCGTGCTGCCACAGTTCCGCAGCCAGGCCTACTCGTATTTATACTAATACGGCTGCTCAGGATCAGAGACACGAGGTGTGAACTGTGCGGGCCAATCACCGAAGATAGCAGGGGAGGCGAAGACAAACCCCAAAGGATTCTACCAAATGTATCAAACTAAAACACGAGATAAGATTGGACCAATACGTTCAGATACCGGCAAGCTAACTGATAACGAAGGAGAAATGAGCAATAATCTGAATAAATATTTTTCAACAGTTTTCACCACAGAAAATTTAAACATGATACCCGAGGCACCTACTCTATTCAGAGATAGTGAATAAAACAAATTAAGCGAGATAGTAGTGACTAGTAACGATGTTAATAAGCAAATAGACAAACTAAAGCCTAATAAGTCACCTGGTCCCGATGAGATATTTGCCAGAGTATTAAAGGAATGTAAGGAAGAGCTTAGTATGCCCTTAGCAAAGTTGTTTAACATGTCCTTAAAAACAGGTGTAGTACCAGAATCCTGGAAGATAGCGAATGTAATACCGATTTTCAAGAAGGGGGATAGATCACTATCCTCTAACTACCGTTCAATCAGTCTAACATCAATAGTAGGCAAATTTCTGGAAGCAATCATTTCAAACTCTATTCGAAATCACCTGGAGAAGCACCAATTAATCAATGATTCCCAACATGGCTTCACAAGCGGGCGTTCACGTCTAACTAATCTATTAACATTCTTTTCATCAGTTTTCGAATCAGTGGACGAGGGGCACAATTATGATGTGGTATATCTTCGACAGGGTTCCCCACGAAGGACTAATTAGAAAGGTAGAAGCACATGGCATCAAAGGTAATATCCTTAAATAGATTAGGGCGTGGTTACAGGACAGGAAACAGCGAGTTAGCATTAACGGCACTAAATCCCATTGGAGTAACGTCACTAGTGGAGTTCCCCAAGGCTCAGTACTTGGACCATTATTATTTATTATATACGTAAACGACATAGATATCGGCATAGTCAGCAACATAAGTAAATTTGCTAATGACACTAAAATAGGACGTGTAATTAAATCTGACGAGGACTCCGCAAAACTACAGGAAGATCTAAAAAAAATTTTTGAATGGTCTGAAAAATGGCAGATGAAATTCAACGTGGACAAATGTAAAGTACTCAGTATAGGAGATGTAAACAGGGAAACCAGTTACCAGATGAACAACGATGCCATTGATTGAGAAATCCGACTGCGAGAGAGATTTAGGAGTAATGATAAGTAGGAACCTGAAGCCAAGTATACAATGTGTTTTTGCTCGTAACAAGGCTAATAAAGTACTTGGGTTCATACAAAGGAGTGTTAGTTACAAGACTAGCGAGGTCATCTTACGATTATATCTTGCGCTAGTGAGACCTCACCTGGATTACGCAGTTCAGTTCTGGTCACCGTATTACAGAATGGATATAGAATCATTGGAAAGAATTCAGAGGAGAATGACAAGACTAATCCCGGGCATTAGGAACCTTGAGTATAGAGACAGGTTAAAGCATCTTAATTTGCACTCCCTCGAGAGACGTAGAGCGAGGGTCGACTTGATAGAGGTGTATAAATGGAAGTCAGGGCTAAACAAAGGGGACATTACAAAGGTACTTAAACTATCCAACCAGGAGCGAACTCGTAACATTGGTTTTAAATTAGACAAATTTAGATTTAGGCGCAAAATAGGTAAACATTGGTTTGGAAACAGAGTAGTGGATGAATGGAACAAGTTACCAAATATCATCATTAACTCGAATATGCTGGATAGCTTCAAACATAGGTTGGATGCTTATATGAGCAATAGGGGTTGGGTATAAACAGGACTGCCCAATATGGGTCAATAGGCCCGCTGCAGTTTCCTCCATTCTTATGTGCTTATGTTTATCACCGTGCAGCACGCGAGAGAGGACTGGTACGCTGATCCTGGCTGGGAAGTGGAAGGTCAAGACTCGGTCACCGATAGTACTCCTCCATTCGCGCCTGAGACCTAGTCCGTCGACGTTACTGGCTGTAAGCTGATTGGCTGGTAAGCGAAAGGCAGGTGATTAGTCGGCAGTTGTAGGGGAGAGTATCCACTACAATGTCAATGGATTTTGTTAAAATTCCAGACAAATTTACTCTTTTATATGCTGATGGAGGCAACTGAATTACAAAGACTGAGAGAGAGCTTATGTATACAGGGTGACCTTACAAAATATGAGGTCAGGTCAAAAAAATTGACATCCACTAATCTACACACCAACCACCACAGCAAACATAAGACGAGCTTATAAGAACAGGTGACATAACTAGTCTGTCAAGTCAGGTAAAAAATATGAGATCCACTTATCATCTATCCTAAATCTACCTCAAATGCTTTCAAAGCATTTTTAACCTTGGGGGCGAAAATGTAATAATAATTATTATAATAATAATTATTCATAGTAAATAACAATTTTAATAAAAAATACACAAAAAATAAAATAATAATGATAATAATAATAATGAAAATAATACTACTGTAATAATAAAATAGTAATAATAATAATAATAAAGAAATACAAGAATGAAAAAAGATCAAAAGTGAGAAACACGACCTAGACCAATGAATTATTATTATTATTACTATTATTATAATTATTATTATTATTATTATTATTATTATTATTATTATTATTATTATTATTATTATTATTATTATTATTATTATTATTATTATTATTATTATATTTTAGCCCTGTATGGGAAGGGTAAAATAAAAGGCTTAATAGATTTTTGTAGTAATCAGATGAAAGGTCAAGGTCACAGATTTAGTCAAGTTTACAAATCAGATACAGTAGATACTTATCTACCCAATAATTATTACACTGATAGCTCTAATTACCTCTCTAATCTGAAACTTGAGGTTGTCATAAATTGTTTATTTCATCTGGGATTTAAAAAATAAATTTTTAAATGTTTCCAAGATAACATTATTACTTTTATCCTTTTCACCACTGATCAGCTTGGGCGATCGGTTATATCTCTGTTACGCACTGTTGGCAAGTACTGGGCATGCACTACCTCTTGAAAATATCTGAACCTGCTTCAGTGTTGATCACGTTTGGTCTTGAAAGAGCTCACATTCAGTGCCGTCACAACTCTCTCTGGCAGGTTATTCTAAGAATTCACAATTCTCTCTCCCCAAAAAGTTTGCCTCCACAGTTTTCTGGACTTGAGGCTTTTTCAACCTTGAGTTGTGACCCCTTGTGGGGCAAGCAACCGCCAGCTCCAGGTATGGACACTCAACTGAGTAGTGCCCTTTGAGATGTTTATACACCTCAGTTAGGTCCCCCCATGCCCGTCTGTCATATAATCTAGGCAAATGCAGGTGCTTTAATCTCTCTGGATAACTGGGGTGCCAAAGTTCAGGCACCAGTCTGGTGGCCTTTCTTTGGACATTTTCAATCAACTGACAGTCTCTACCATATTTCGGAGACCAGACGTAGTGACAGTACTCCAGGCGAGGAAGTACCTCACTCCTGAAGTTAATTTTATTTATTTTTATGATTCTTACATAAAAAAAACAATCACATCACTATCATAATCGAATTTCATTTAAGTCTGTTGTTTATTTTGATCAAAATTCTTACATGAAATGCAGCAGCACGTAGTTCTTATCATTACCATAATACAAGTACTGTACTGTATGAGCAACAAAAAATTTTAAATTCATTTTCAGAAGGACTTATTAATGATGTTACAATGCTTGACCTTATATAATTTCCTTTTATTTATTTTGGCAATGAGTTGAATATTTTTTTCTTTTCAGATGTGTCTCATCAGCAGAATATTTGCCAGACACTTGATGTTCCCATCTTACCAGATTTTACAATGAACCTGAGATACTGTACTTGGAAGAGGCTTGAGGTGGTGACGACAGTAATCCTCGTCACAGTATGGGGAGTCTCCTCTAATTTTACCCAGTCACTTACTGACTCACAGGTGACAGAGTCACTTCTGACAAATTTCACACTTAAGAAATGTCAATGTGAAGTTGATCATGTGCTGGATGAGTCTACCTGTATAAAAAGGAAGACAGTTGTAATTTTGTGGGACACCATAAATAATGAACCATTAATTTTTAACACCAGTATGTTTGAGAACATAGTGGTGGCAGAGCCACAGTGTTCTGGTAGTCTGATACGTGTTGTTCTCAATGATAGTACCTTCAGATTTTTTTTTCTGCCATCTGGAGAACTTCAGTGGGAAGGTGAACAATCCTTCCAGGATTACTGTATTGAAAACTATTTGCATGATGGCCATATGGGCTGGGAAGCTCACGTGTGTTTGCCTGCTCCTCCAGTGCCTCGATGCTGCCCTCCAGGATATGCTTTGGCTCATGACGACTCCTGTGTTGCCTACAGTGGCAACTTTGCACCACCCATAGACTTTAATAACATGCCTGTGCAATGGGCAGCTGCTGAGGGGGATGTTCAAAATGTTACCTGTCATGGAATATCAGTTGTTCGCCATCTTAACTTGAACACTCGAGAGGGAATTCTTGCCTATAACTCAGAGAGGGCAATATTAGAATGGAAGTCATCGACAAAACCCACAACTTATAATAGGGAATATGAGTACTGTGTGGGCATGAATATTGACATTAATGTTCAACAATATGTAGCTAAATTCTGCTATCTGGACCCGTCTCTGGAACACCAGGTTAAGTGCAACAACAGCAATTGTGTACGGAAATGTTGTCCACAAGGTCAGCTGCTTTTGGGTATGACGTGTGTTAATTCCTACTCAGAGGAAGAGATTTGGCAGCTACCAATCTCTGCTAGTCAAAATAACACTTTAGTTTTGGCACCTGCTGAAAATTGGACAGTAGTTGCTGGATTTCCATTTTGTGAAAGTTTCTTTGATTTAGAATCTGATGTGAAAAGTTACGATGAGTTCTACTTATTGCCAAATGGTTCACTTCATATTCCTCATTTTGAAGATAGCTACCCACCAACTAACTACTGCCTTGATCTTTACCTGGAACCAGGTCCGAATTATACTCTAGTCAATCAGGTCATTTTGTGTGCTCCTGGAGAGATGGAACCTCCCTGTCATTGGAAGAACATTCTTATTGGAGTGTTGCTTGGAATTTCTTGCTTGTTTTTGGTGGCTACCCTTGGTGTGTACCTAGGTGTGGCAGAGATAAGGGATCGCACCTATGGTCGATGCCTTATATCAATGGTTACTGCCATGTTGGCCTCATACCTCACCCTCATTATCAATAATCAAGTTCAGGCATCCTCCGACGCTGAGTGCATCACTATGGGTAAGATATACATCACTCCTTGATGCTTAATAAAAGTCATTCTTACATATTTTAAATGGTAATACATAAACAATTTAGATTTAGGTTGGATAATTTCTTGAGTAGAACCCTTGGGTGAGTAGTAATACAGGTACCCCTGTACTTTGTATCTGGTATTAAAGTTTAGAACTTCATATACAGGATAGAACAGTACAATACAAGTTCTGTACATAGTAGTATTGGTATTATTGCAGTTTCACTCCCAATTGAGTTACAGCAATTTTGAGTTCACCAGAAGTTGTATCATGTCAATTGCAACAACTTTTTTCTTATACCACTATCGTCGCAAATGGATAATAACCGAGATGGTGAATTCATGTAAAATATCACGCAGCCATCAGAGTTGATGTTATCTTAATAAAATTTCTGAGATTGTAACTATGAGAGACATTTAGCAGTTTTCCCAAGAGTTAAAATGATATCTGGTGGGCCTCAAAGGACAAATCACAGAGCTTTGTAGCTTAGTTTAGGTGAGGCTTTGGTTAGGTTTGGTTGGGTTGGGTTAGATTAGCTTAGATTAGCTTCCTATTAGTTTCCTTTTTTGCTCTCCCCAACCCATAAACCCCGAATTCTCACTGGTCCCCCAAGATTGTTGGAGGGGAGAGGAGGGTTACTAAAAAATGGCTCATTTCCGACAGAAATGAAGGTCAAATTCGAATGAATCACACCAAATACCATGGAAAAACCTAGATTTCTGGCCAGAAATCAGTTGGTAGTGTTACTGCAATTTTAAGTACTGTTCATGATTTCACAGCTGGCAGACCATTCCATAGGTCTACTACCCTCTGTGTGAAGAATTATTTCCTTATGTTCGTTCCGCATGATAACTTGGCTGACAGTCTTTCTTGAATACAGTAATTAATAGAACATACAAGATCCAGAATTATCTTAGTTCCTCTTTTTGTTGCACCTTTTCTAGGGGTGTTAGGGCTTTCTAAAAGTAGGATTCCAAGCCTGTATGCTGCAATCTTAAGAAATTGTTCCTTCATCAGCCATTGAGATGGACCAGCTGATGTATTACAACATGTTGTACTACATCAGCCATTGAGATGGACCAGCTGATGTATTACAACATGTTGTACTAAAAATATTGTCATGCATTATACAATTTCTCTGTGAAGATGAAATAATTGGTTAAATTGTGTTACCAAACACTTTTTTAAGCATTATGATTATAGCTCTTAATGCACTTTTTTATCATAAGGTCTAATTTAAACACCCAATTACAACCGTCATTTGCGAGTGTACAGTATACCTGCTGTTCATATTTAGATGGGAGGAAATCGGTTAACCCCCCTTCTCCCTCACCCTCTGTCTCTAGTAACTTCTCAGACACTAGAATTATGATCAGTTTTATTTATATTCAATAAATGATAAGAACTATGAAAGTGAATTTTTTGTATTTCAAATGATCTGGTTCATTTTTCTCCTCAGCATTTATCGGTCATGTGAGCACTCTAGCAACTTTCTTCTGGCTTAACGTTATGTGTTACGACATGTGGTCAACACTCCGGTAAGTCTCAGAGCCTTTGTTATTGGGGTAGTGGTGATTAACATATTTTCTTATGTACTGTATTAGGTCATGAAATCACATTAATTTTCATGGACCCCTCTCAGAGATGTCATATTGTTCACCATATTACAGGCTGTATTCTGAGCATAGTCAGGTAGATAGTTGAACTGTAATGTTTAGTACAGTACAGGTAATCTGAAACATGTTTTTTGATACTTGTAAATCACAACAATATTAATCATGGCTTCAAAAGTAGTATTTTTTTTTTTTAATGGTAAGTAAGGATTCACTGAAGCATCTACAAGGTCTGCCTCTTGTCCTAAAGGTAGCTGGTTCTTGTCCAGGGCAACTGAAGTCCACACAGTTAGAAATTGTTTCTAAGATTTTAATGAAGTGAAGTCCCTTTAATATATTGTTGACTACATTGCCTCCTTATGTATCATTGGCTTAGTACACATTGTCTTATATCAACAATACCCCTGATGGGCAGCCAGGCCTGAGGGATCCACTCACTTTTTTCATCTTAAAAACCAAGTGGCATTAATTGATGAATGGGCTGCTCTTACTTACCCAGACTGTTAATTATGGTATCCTGTGAGGAACAGATGTAAATGTACTTGCTTTACAGCAGCAAAAGGACCACAACTATATACAGTACCTGTACAAGTAAACCTTGAGATACGATATCCTGAGATGCGATATTCCACTTTAACGATGGTTATAAATTAAAACCATCTCGTTATATACGATCAAAACAACTTGCTTTAACAATATCCATTGATTAATTAGCCAACGATATGCATTGGTTGGATTTTTTTTTTATGTAGTGCAAAATATGGATTGTATATACAGTAGAACGTTGATATAACACAAGATACGTTCCATGAGAGGTCGCTGTAAACCGAATTTGCACTAAATCGAAGTGTTCTTTCAATGGAATAATTTAGTTTGGTACTTGAGAGAAACACAAACTACGAAAAAGACTGAGAGTCTACCCAGATGCACCTCAGCCCATCTCCTAGAATAAACAAAACATTGTTTTTTGTAGTATAGGTTGACAACCCTTTATCCGAAATTCCGAAAACCGAAAAGCTCTGAAAACCGAAAGTTTTTTTTTTTTTTTTTAAGAGGGATTAGCCCATCGGGGCCTGGGGGCAAAAAGGTAATAGTAATAATAATTATAATAATAATTATTCATAGTCAATAAAAAATTTAATACAAAATACACCCAAATAAAATAATAATGATAACAATAATAATAATAATAATAATAAAATTAATAATAAAAACAATAATACTGTAATAATAAAATAATAATAATTAAGAAATACAAGAATGAAAAAAGATAAAAAGTGAGAAACATGACCTAGACCTAAGAATTATTATTATTATTATTATTATTATTATTATTATTATTATTATTATTATTATTATTATTATTATTATTATTATTATTATTATTATTATTATTATTATTATTATTATTATTATTATTACAGGTTGTACCTCTCTAGTCCGGCATTCTGTGGTCCGGAAACTCCCGTGGTCCTGAACGATTTTAGTTTGTCCAATAGGTATATACTGCCAGATTCTGGGGTCACTAAGTCTAAGGGGATAACTTAACTCTAATCTTAATTTCTAAGGGTCGCTGCCACCAGACCCCCTCTGGACAGCATGTAGCTCGTTAGGTAGCGGGCAGAGTGGACTAGGCATTGGGTTAGGTTTTCCATTGACCAGATCGATAAGGGTAAAGAAGGGTGAAACCATAACATGTCTTAATTGATTTATTCCTGACAAAACATACTGGTAAAAAACACATACAACCACACTGTGGACCATAATTCCAAGGCCTGTCCCAGGGTATAGCGCTGGCGCCTCTAACAACTGCTGTTGTGGTCGGTTACACTCCGACCCGAGGTGGGTTTGGGGTCCTCGGCCCACGAGGTAGAGTAGAGCCGATTAATCATGCCGAATCAGCGCCATCACTCCTATATTGACCACTGCTGGGTATCCACCGGCTCCGAGCGACCGGTGGGTTTCAATTAAGCCCACCCTCGACCTGGAGACAAACGGGGCAGCATCAGGGGACTGAGAAACATGACAACACCAACAAACTCTCTTGTCTAGACGACAGACGTATTTACGTTATATTACTTCTACACTGGGTGAATGACAATTCAACTGTTAAATCATGAACACTGGTGAACACTGATATTCACTACAATTGACTGAATTAACTGAATGGCTAGGGAACACGGAACATACCTGGAGACAAACGGGGCAGCGTCAGGGGACGCGCTCCCTGGCCATCTTGAGTTTATATACCCCTGAGTTGCCAGTGATCGCTACTCACGCAATGACAATAATCACAAACAAACTAACTGTTACTCATTCAAAGATGACCCTCAGTTGACAAAGGTCTGGCGAATTACTAAAGTTGATTTAAACAGACTAATTCAAGGTTGCGTTTGCCAGTAGAGAGTGCAATAAACGCAGTGACAACTGTGTTCGAAGGCGGGGCTTTCTGAGAGTGATCCTGAGGGTAAAACCGATGGGAAATACACGTCTCTCCTGAGATTCTACAAGCGCGGTGGATTTGAATATTATGTAGCGTAATATGAATTAAAACGGGTTTTTAGGAATGACAATGAGGTGCGCAGTACAGGTAGATAGGCAGCTTTTTTTTCTTTTCTTTTTTTCCTTATCTGAATTATTATTATTATTACAGGAGTATTAAATTTTTGCCTCTCAGGCCCCAATGTGGGTCAGTAACCTATGCCCGGGTGGGCTAATCCCCTTAAAAAAAAAAAAAAAACCGCGGGAAATTAAGGTTTGTTTACATCCGGCAGTTCGGCTGCGCTCTCTCTCTCTCTCTCTCTCTCTCTGCTTGTCTATACAGAGTACAACATTTAACCCTTCAATATATATGAGGAGTAAATAAGTGTTGCTTTCATATTCTTATGTAGAGTAATGACGATATATTTTCACATGTGCGCACTTACATACGAGCAGTCTCACTTTTTTTTTACCATTAATGGTTAGCTACTTATATTGTTCCATTTATTAACATTAAATAACATTACAGGTACTTCAAGCAACCATATTCATTTTTTACATTAATTTTATTACAGCTAAACTCAGGGTCTTATTTTCTTCAGTTTTATATGTAGAACCAATCAGTCACTGGTTTCGTAAGCTTTAACATAAACAATGCCGGCAGCCGTCTCGTCTCCTCTAATATTCCACGTATTATTAATAAATTGTATTGTTAATTTTGCACACACGTACATTAATTCAATAAAAACAAATTCAGAAACATTAATTAAAATATATATGAACAGTAAATAAGTGTTGCTTTCATATTCTTATGTAAAGTAATGACGATATGTTTTCACGTGTGCGCATGCGCACTTACATATGCGATCTCTCTTTTTCTTTACCATTATCGTTAGCTACTTCTATTGTTCCATTTATTAACATTAAATAACATTACTTAAAACAACCATATTAATTTTACTACAGCTACAACCAAGGTCTTATTTTCTTAAGTTTTATATGTAGAACCAGTCAGTCACTGGTTTTGTAATCAACGAAAACAATGCTGTGTCATTTCCTCATGTGTTTTAATTTTCTACGTATTATTAATGAATTGTATTGCTCATTTTGCACACATAAACATTAATTCAATAAAAAAGACATTCAGTAATAACAATAATGAATCTTTTGTACATAAGAGAAATGACGCTGTTTACACGATTATGCACGTCGTCTGCACGTTGGCGGGCCGTTCAAACCCGTCGAAATTCAAGTTTCCGCCGTCAAAATTTTTATTTATTTATTTTTTTGTGTGTTCCAATAAAATACGTTAAGAATTAAAAATTCGCGAAATTTGAGAAGCTACTATACGACATTTAACCCTTCAATATGTCTTCAAAGAGAACATGACGCAGAGAAAGTGGTGCTAGTGCTTCCAGGCATAAGCACAAGTCACTATCTATCCAGGAAAAGGGTGAATTTCCATGGTCTGGCAATTTCCATGGTCCGGCACCGGTCAGGTCCCGAGGTTGCCGGACTAGAGAGGTACAACCTGTATTATATTTTCGCCCCCCAGGCCCAAATGTGGGTCAGTGACTTGTGCCCAGGTAGGCTAATACACACATAAAAAATAAAAACTACCCATTCTGTAAACCGAAAAATTCCGAATTCCGAAATGCGTCTGGCCCCAAGGATTTCGGATAAGGGATTGTCAACCTGTATTATGTTAAAACAAACACTCATAAATCAACACAGCTAAAATTATGGGACGTGAAATGGTCTGTTTACTAGCGATCAGCTGATGGGAAGATGGGGGGGAGGGATGTGTGGTGATATGTTTGACAGTTGATGCCAAGGTCTAGTTATTATTTATTTATCTGTCCTTAAGAGTGACTTTAAATTTTTCTCTTATAAAGTGCCACTAAACTGACCTGGGAGAATACTGTATAATTAACATTGCTAGAATTCTTATAAGATAGTAATCAGTTTGAATAAATACATGCTATAGTTCACATTTGACATACAAATTTTAGTTACCGTATACGTAATTAATTTTATTACAAAGGGCTAAAATTTTTATCTCCTGTGCAAAATATATAACGTTTCTATTCAAATTATTCGCTGTCTTGCAAGGATTCTAGCAATGCAAATTATATTCTCCTAACTTTAGACTGTGATATTATGTAAGTTAAAAACTTTAAGCCTATAACCACCCCACCTTGGCTGGGAAGATGGAGAGGGGGGGGTGACAGTGACACGTTTGACAGTTGGGGCCGAAGGTCTAGTGAAGTATTTATTAGTTTATTTATGTCCTTTAGATTGAGTTTTTGTTTTTTGTTTATAAAATGTCATAGAAGTGACCGGGGAGGATATAATTTACAGTGCTGGATTTCTTATAAGATAGTGATGAATTTGAATACCTGTACTTGTATAATCATGCTATAGTTCGCATCAGACATAAAAATTTTAGTTCTAATTACACATGGCTAAAATTTTTATCTTTTGTGCAAAATATATGACATTTATATTCAATTATTCGCTGTCTTGCAAGGATTCCAGCAATGCAAATTATATTCTCCTCACTTTAGTGTGTGATATTATATACTGTAAGATAAAAACTTAAGCCTACTGTATAACCACCAAACCCTGGTTGGGAGGGGGGAAGGGAGGTAGGAAGGGGAGGTGACAGTGACATGTTTGACAGTTGGCACCGAAGGTCTAGTGAAGTATTTATTAGTTTATTTATGTCCTTTAGATTGAGTTTTTGTTTTTTGTTTATAAAATGTCACTGAAGTGACCACGGAGAATATAATTTACATTGCTGGAATCCTTGCAAGAAACTGATTAATTTGAGTACATACAGTAAAATGTCGATTTAAAGCGATTCAATTTAAGATTATTGATTTAAAGCGACACCCACAATTAAGGACAAAGTTTTAATTTAAAGCGAATGTTTCCTATTTTGCGCGAGTCAATCTGGCACATCATATCTGGCGCATCATATTTTAAAATTTGTGACTAATGTTTCTCTGGACACGCTACACTGTCCTAAGGGCAAAGCTGTACTGTATATGTACTCAAAATAATGTACTAAATGATTACTAAAATTTTTGTCTTGTGCAAACTATAGCATGATTATATTCAAATTATTCACTATCTTATAAGAATTCCAGCAATGCAAATTATATTTTTCTATGTCAAATCAGTGATATTTTGTAAGGAAACAATATTTAACCCTATGCATGATGCATTTCTATCAACACTTGTAAGCCTACCCATGCACCGCCACACAGCCAACCTGTGCACTATAGCCCTGTGTTTGGTTTTTTTGTTGAGCGTAAACCCACCATCTCATGGCTCCATGATTATCGGCCAGCATCATATATTGTACTTATCATCGATGTATTTTTTTCCCTATATAGTGAGAGGGCAGCGCTAACATTTAGATTGAACTGTGTTATGGTGACTGTGAAGTGATATTTTCTGTGTTTTTGTGACTGTAAGGTGCATTGTCTCGGTTCTTTTGAAAATGTTACAAGTGTCTGCTGCTATTATTGTTTTTGTTATCATCATTTACTCTGTTTTTGTAATGAGTGCTTTTGCTCTGTTTTTGTGGCTGTGGAGTGAGCAGCGTAACTTTGAAAATGTCCGGGAAGGCCAAGGGATCCAAGATAACCATGTCTGAGGTGAAGCTTGACATTGTTAAGCAGCATTAGATTCTTCAGAGGTTGTGGTGGAGTCAGAGTTATGTCTCCACTCCACCTCCAATAGTCCCCTTCCCCTTAGGCTTATTCTTCAGGATGTGGTGGATGTTGTTTAATTGTTTTGTACTGATAGTAGTATTGTTGGAATTGTTTTGTTGGTGATATATGTATGTTTGGGGACTGACTGGGAATGTATCCCATTGAACCTCATGTTATAATACTCCCTATTTACGATAATTCACCTAGTGATGGTTTTTTCATGAATCTAACCCCATCGTATCGCGAGGTTTACCTGTAATTCTATACCTATCAGTTGTTGTAAAGTGGAAGCTAGACATTTGTGTCCACGTTCAAAAAATACCGGTACCTGTTTTTACATATTTATATGTGTATACTGTAGTCTTTAATTGACATAATTCAGTGAATATTTGTTAAAAGGACCAAATATAATGTATTTTTTTTTTACGGTTCGTTTTAACTGATAATTCTGCAGGTCCAGCTACTTTGGGAAGACTCATCCAAAGTTTATATTTTGATCGTGTATATAATACCATTATGCAGATTCAGCATAACCCATATCATATACTAAAGTCTGGACCATTTGCAGATCATCCCAGCAGAAACATCACAGCAAGAAAGTATTCCTACTGTACAGCATATATGCTTGGGGTGGTCCCCTGGTGGTGGGTGTGGTGGCACTGGTCATTGATAGCCTACAATTAAAAAATGCCATCCGACCTCATTATACAGATGGCACCTGTTGGTTCTATGGTGAGTTTGAGCCAAACCGTTGTAAGTAAATGAAGGGATGGCTTTTATTTCTTTGAAAACTTTATAATATATACAGTATATATATAAGTCGACCCTCGTTAATTCGGACCCCTTTAATCCGGATTTCGGATAAATCGGATGAAATCTGTACTGTCAGTATCAAATTTCTGGTTCTGGGATTGTCCCAGTTGCAATTGGGGTTGCAATTTCAAATTCTGTGTCACTTCTAAGGAATAACAAAGTCTCTGGTGCACTCTAAGATTAATTGAAAACGGACGACTCAGGCGTCCTGAAGTGAGAGAAAACGGACTCCTATAACGGGGCACTCAAATAAAGAGACATGGCTACGTGTTTTGTGGACTACCCATTGTACAGTATTGATCGTCTAATTTTCATCACTTTGTAATAAACCTAGTCATGCCTATGTGTTTCTGATAATTACCATAACATTATATATTTATATATTTAGCGGTTGTACAAACGCAAAGCCTCACACATGCCACTCAGACTGACAGAATTGACAAGTTTTACCAACCATAAAGACAGTTGAAGCTTTAAACATCACTCACAATGGATCTTGAATATTCCAACTGTAATCAGACATACCTAAGTTGCCTCAACAATTGCAACCCCAGTTGCAATATCAAATTCTGTCACTACTAAGGAATAACAAAGTCACTGATGCACTCTAAGATTAAGAGAAAACGGACGACTCAGGCGTCCTGAAGTGAGAGAAAACGGACTCCTATGACGGGGCACTCAAATAAACATACACATAGCTGTATAATGCAATATTAACCCCTAAATCGGTTAATTCGGACAATCTGCTAAAACGGACACCCTTCCCCCCCTATTAGTCCGTTTTAACGAGGGTCGACTGTATATATATATATATACATATATATATAAGCATGCAGGAAGGTAGGGTGATCCAGCACCTGACAAATTCTCGTCTTCTTTTTCCTCTCAAAATATTAGTTTGTCCACCAGGCAAGTGCCAGGCACATGGACTTGAAAAATCATTTGGCTGGACTGCCGGGCGCTGCTAATTTGCACAGCCTGATACAGTATGTGTTTTATTATGAAGCTGGATATGGGAGGTTAAGCTTGAGGACCCTACTGGTGCCTAACCATTGACCCATGCCTACCTGCTGCCTGACCCGAAGTTCTGTGCCTTGGGTCATGGATCCTGAATTTTCATTGTATGGTCTATTGTTTGAGCTCATGGTTATGTGTTCCAGAGTTCCATATCTTTAAGGAAGGAGGGTAGAACATTCCTGGACTGTATGGGGGTGTGGAGGTGGTGGGCGCTGGTCGGTGGAACTGGTTGTGGTTGATAACTAATTGTATAACTCTGGCTTAGAATACTGTATAATGTAAGTTTATGATATATATGTACCTATGTATGTTGTAGTTTATGGTGTTTGTTAATGGTTGATGGTGTTTATTGTAGATGGCACATTTAAACATGATCTTTGCTACTTTTCTCCTGTATTAATATACTGTACTGTAAATGCATTAGTAATGCTGAATAGGGAAGGAGCAATATGGTAAACATGTTAATGAATATAAAGTAATGATAACTTTTTATAACAAGACCTTTAACTTGATTAGTGTTTGGGGTCAGTTACTGCCCAGTTCTTGGTAAGGTGTCTGGCTCAGGAACAAAAGTATGTAACAGTGAAGTAACATGAAAATATTCAATAGAATTTTTACTCTACCATGTAGATGCTGTATTTCAGAAAAACTTCTCCCAGAGCTGTTTCAAATGGCCATTTCACAAGTGCGAATGAGTATGTACACTTGTATGTGTAATACACATTTGTACATTTTCACAGTATTTGAACACACTTATTAAACCACTGTGTTGTATACTCACTGTTAATTTTACATACTACACTCAAGTATACAATACAGTACACTTAAATTTATGTTTAAACTGTCTTATATATTGTAGCAGTTTGTGAACACACAGTGGAGCACAACAGAGGTGTTGTTTATGGCATGGGCCATGTGTTTAAACTGAGACACTGGTGCGGCCTCTCGGACTTTCCCTCTGGTTAATAGAGTGTTTATTGGAATTATTAGACAATATCAGACATTGGTTTTAACAGACCTTCAGCTTTTGTGACAATGGTGTCCTCATTGATTTTAATTGAAAGTGATAGTAAATTTAAATATCATTTTAGTGTTTGAATTTAGGTTTACCACTTGTTTTGCTTATGTTTTCTTTTTATTTTTTTATGAGAATTTTTCTGGTTCTTTCCCACAGCATCACAGAATGGCCAAAACCATGAGCTAATGTGGACTCTCTGTTTTCTGTAAATTGATTTACACTCTGCTTTTCCATCATTCATGTATTTCACTGCTTTCCCTTCATTTCTAAGTCATTCTTCTCTTAATTCTTTCATTTCCTTCTTGGTCTTCCTCTTTCCTTTCTGCCATTCACCTCTGATTCATAGCTCTGAGTATGATAAATTGATCTGTCCAAAGTAAAATTTAGATTTAATTATTGTAATTAAAGATTCTATTTATGGTTAAACAAGAAACTATTAGGCCGGTACCGTACCTTTTCTCCGTATAAATGTCCTTTCATCTAACTGGTTTTGGAAAAAATAGACCAGTTTGTCTTGTCCATCCCCCGTGATGTACACTTTAGGTCATAGAAATGTTTTAGTTGTTTCATGAATTACAGCAGTTTCTCTTTGACCTGCCAGTAATTTCTCTCCCCAAAAGTTTAAAACTTTGTTCAAGGCCTCTTCTAATACCTTTACTGCTCTGTAAGAGGTGGAGGAATTGCAGTGTTCTGGTACTTTCCTGTGTATTTTAGAAACTTAGGTCTGGATTTAACAAAAGTCACTTAACTGACTTTTGATTATGAAAGCTTTTTTCCTATTTTGTAGTAGAATCCATAGCCACACAGCTATGATTCAATGGTCAGGTGGAATTGTATTTTGACTAGTGAATTGGTCATGGATTCTAATATGACATATGTAGCCTTTGCTTGAGGCATGCTGATTAGATAGATTCTGCTTACAGAAGAGGCCTAACACACCATTAAAGGGAAACTGTAGCTCCTAATTTTCCCTTGCTTGAGGTAGAAATTGTGACATGGAAGAATGAGTAATTGGTATGGCCAAACATGTTAATCAATCACCCTGACTTGCTTTATTGAGGATGGTAGGTGGTTTCCAGTTCCCTCATAAGCAAACTATGTTATGATAACTGCATGGTTCTAGGCTCTCTTAGAGATTAGGATTTTAAAATGAAACTTTCAATATTCTTAATTTACATAATTTCTGTTAAATGCCATCTTAAAATCAATCAGTTAGTAACTAGTAATTATATTTCTTATTCATCTACTGTACCTCTAAAATCATTGCAGGCACTGCTGAGTACTGGCTCTACTTAGCAGGGATCATCTTTATCTTAGTGGTGATCAACTTGTTCTTCTTTGTACATGTAGCGGTCACACTGGCAGGAGACTTCAAGAAAACCCGAAGGACATTTAACACTACCACAAGCCATAGCAGTAATGCTCCCAAAACCAAACTACAGTAAGTTTGCCCATTTTAGAATTTGTGCATTATATCAATGACTTAATGGAACTATCTCATGATATTATATTACTATCAGCAAAAAATAGACATTAATTAGCATATATTATACAGTGCAAATTAAAACATACTTAATTTCTGTACTACCAGTATATCCACATTATCATGTTCTCTAATTAGTAACATCTCTCTAGATATGAACATTGTTAGCTGTACAATATTTTATAGATAAGCATATTGTTCTTATCATTAACCCTAAATCTTTTTCAGTCTGATTTCTCTTTCTACTTTGTTCAGTTGATAGTTTGTTTCCCTGTTTCTGTTCCCTACCTTAGAACTTCAACATTTTTCCTTGTTACCCTGTACTATACATTGCATCTGCTATTTTCAGTCCATATTAAAAGTTTGCTCAGGTCTTCTTCTATTTTACTTGTTCGGAAGATTCCCTGATTATGGCAAGGAAAACTCTACCTCAGTTTGGTTGTGGTGGTTTTGATCTCTTGTGAGGGATGGAAGTCAGTGACCAAATATATTAAGATAGTAAAATTAGAAGGGATATGGAAAGTGTGATTCCTCAATTTATGTCTGAGGGATAAAAGTTATGTGAACTATAATATCTCTGTAAGCCAGAACAATTGGTGCAAAGCACTTATGGGAATGAGAGATTTCTGGGTAACGAGACGACTCTCTCAAAGCCAGAAAAAATCCCTCATCCCTGGAATTTTTTGGGTAAAGGGAAAATTTTCTCGGAAGTTCCAGAAATTATACATCATGTCATCTCTTGAACCCAGAAAGAAATCCCCCATCCCGGGAATTTACCAGAATGATACATTATGTTTCATCACTCAAAGCCGGAAAAAATCCCCCTTTCCTGAAATTTTCTGGGTACTGGAAATTTTTTCTCGTAATTTCCGGAAAATACCCCTGATTTTCATCTCTCAAACCCGGAATAAAAATCCCCCATTCCTGAAATTTTCCGGTTACCGGAAAAATTTTCTCAGAATTTTCCAGAAAATGTGCCCCACAGAAAATCGTTCCCAAAGCTGAAATTTTCCAGAAAATTTAAATTTTGGGAATGATTATCCTAGAAAATTTCAATTCTGGCTGTTGGAGAGTTCCGTTTTAGAGGGATTCCGGCAAACGGAGATATTACCAGTTCAGAGTTGGCCCCAGTGTACCTGTTGATTTGCTGGCTTCAAAGTAATCATTGAATCAAAGTTGGAACTTTCTTCACATATTTGAAGGAACTGGGTAATTGACACGTTACAAAATTTGCACTGATCTGAGTAGAACATCGACCCTGCCTCAAGAATGCAGATAGACCCTTGAACAAGTTATAATTTGTTGGGGAATATTCTGGCAGGTAATCTCAGATTTCACTTAACAGTTGATGTAGAAGCCATAAAAATTATTTTTATAATGTTTCTTTAAACAGTGAGGCTTTATTATTCCCAGGGCCTGGCTCTACATAAAGCTCTTCATTGTCATGGGGATTGTATGGATAGCAGAGACCATCTCCGGTGCCCACCAGAGGAATTCTTGTACCTATTGGTAGGTATAAATAAGATACAATATTGTTGTTTCTTACCATAATTTTGTAGAATGCCAATGATGAAAGTTTTTTAATTTATTTTGGTTGCTCTGTTTAAATGAATGCAGTATCACTGTTGTACCAGAACTATAAATTAAAATTTTAGGGATAATTTTCAAATAAATTTTACACTCATGTGGTGACCACTTGAAACAGTGAGATTTAATTTTGGTTGCCATAACTTTTACTTTTACTTTTATCCTCTTCGCCACTGATCGGCTTGTTAGCCGCTTGGGCGATCGGTCACGTCTCTGATTACTTTTCCTTTTCATTTATCTTCTTCACCAAAAGATTGGCTCGCTAGCCGCCCGGGCGATCGGTCATGTCTCTGTCACGCACTGTTGGCAAATACTGGGCATGCACCGGCTCCTGAATGTACCTGAACCCGCTCCAGTGTTGGTCAAGTCTTGTCTTGAAAGAGCTCACACTCGGTGCCGTCACAACACTCTCTGGTAGATTGTTCCAAGAGTTTACAACCCTCACTCCAAAAAAGTTTGGGTTTTCTGGACGGCTTCTTCAATCTTGAGCTGTGACCCCTTGTGGGGCGAGCGTCCGCCAGCTCCAAGTAAGGACACTCAACTGAGTAGTGCCCCCCGAGATGCTTATACACCTCAACTAGGTCCCCCCTTGCCCGTCTGTAGTATAAGCTTGGCAAGTTCAGGCGCTCCAATCTCTCAGGGTAGCTGAGGTGCCGAAGTGCAGGCACCAGTCTGGTGGCCCTCCTTTGAACATTTTCAACCAACTGACAGTCCCTAGCATATCTCGGGGACCAGATGGGAAAGCACTTCACTCCTGAAGATCGTTACGAGGGACGGACCGTCTAGATATCTGAACGACCTTCTTATAAGACCCAATAATTTATTTGCCTGATTTACCTTCTTCTCACAATGGCCCGAGAACTTCAGCTCATTGTCAACATACACACCTAGGTCCTTCTCACACAGTCTCAACTAGTGCAGTTTCTTCATCCCGTTGGGACATATGATACGCCTCCTTACCGTTGGTACGCCCCAGGTGCATCCTCTTACACTTCGTGACATTGAATCTCAGCAGCCATTTCTTCGACCATTCCTGGAGCCCACAGAGGTCCTTCTGCAGCTCTTCACAGTCCGTTTGGTTCTTAATTTCCCGAAATAACTTGGCGTCATCGGCAAACATTTGTATGGAGGAGTGTACAACGTCAGGCATGTCATTTATGAAACAAACAAACAACAGCAGGCCCAATACACTGCCCTGTGGTACCCCACTTGTGACAGTTACAGATGATGATTTCATACCATTAATCACCACACACTGCTTGCGGTCATGTAGAAAGTCTTCTATCCACGCTAGGACATTTCCCCGAATTCCGTACCCTTCCAGTTTGATTTTCAGCCTTTCGTGGGTACACTGTCGAAAGCCTTGGCAAAATCTAGGTAAATATTGTCAATATTACCACCCTGTTCCAGAATATGGGTCCAAATATCCAATACCTTGAGCAATTGTGTTAAGCAGGAGCACCCCGGCATAAAACCGTGTTGGCAATCTTTTACAAGGTTGTTTCGTTTTAGATGTTCCATTGCGGCATCTCTGATAATACTCTCAAGTACTTTACATATTATGCTGGTCAGGCTCACCGGTCTATAGTTGTTCGTGGAGTGACGATCGCCCTTCTTGAAGATAGGACTCGCATAAGCCACTTTCCATTCACTGGGGACCATTTGTTCGTCCAGGCATTTACAAAACAGGATCTTCAGGGGCTCTGCAAGCTCATTGCACAACTCTCTTAACACTCTAGGATGCACCATGTCAGGTCCGGGACTCTTATGGACCTTTAGCCTGGACAGTTTATTTCTAATACCCTCTTCTGTGAACACAATGTGGGGCAGTGCTGTGTCGAACCGTCTGTCCTCAAACGCAGGAGGGTTAGTTGCATCCTCTCTTGTGAACACTGAGGAAAAGAAGCTGTTCAATGCCTCAGCTTTATCCTGGTCAGAATCTGCATAACTACCATCCACCAGCCTCAGGTCTGATACTCCTACTCGAGTTTTCAATTTCGACTTTGCATAGCGGTAAAACGCCTTTGGGTTTGACTTGACCTCGCTTGCAACCAGCCTCTGGAACTCCTTTTCAGCCCTCCTACACTCTATCTTTGCTTGGTTTCTGGCTCTTGCATACATCCTCCTGTCTTGCTCATCGTTTGACCCAACCCACGTCTTGAATTTCTGGGGTTTTTTCTTAATTTTGTTGACCGCCGCATGGTTCATGTGTAGGGATCCCCTCGTATTCCTAGAAGCACTGGGTTTGGTCTTGGGTATATATTTATCGATCAAATGGGTCATTTTACTAGTTATGATATACAGCGTAGTGTCTGCGTTCTTGTACCTTAATAAGTCAGGCCAGTTGATACCCCTCATCTCTTCCCTCATCCCATTGTAATTTCCCTTGTAATATTTCCACCTTGGCCTGGCCTTATCCTTAACTAGGTAACAGTTAAATCTGAATGACAACACTGTATGGTGACTGGTGCCAACTGGGGCAAGGTGTTCCAGTTTGGCCACCATACCCTCCTCTTTTGTTATGATGAGGTCAAGTGGCTTGGGTGTTTGCTCCCCTCTGTAATGTGTCGGGTCTCTAACATGTTGGAACAGAAAATTATCTCTCGGAGTCAGTGGCGTAGCTAGAGTGTGTGCCGCCCGGGGCGGCCCTTGAGTTTGCCGCCCCCTTCCCCCCCCCGTGACCCTACAAAAAATACATATTGCACAGTGACTCACTCTTTTTATATATATATATATATATATATATATATATATATATATATATATATATATATATATATATATATATATATATATATATATATATATATATATATATATATATATATATATCATGTAAATCCACAATGAAAACGTGGATAAGATAAATCTTGATAAAATCACACGGGAAGATGGAAACAACGGAGTACCTTAGCTTTCGTCTTTATTCAAGACATCTTCAGTTGTACAACAGTTCTACAACACCTACAATATCTTGTTGGCGTACTCTTAGTAGTGTTTCAAACTCCTCTCTCTTATCAAGGAACGTGTCAGAATTAGTGTACATGACATTCAAGCCATAATTTGTTCTCGGTAACGTCTCTGCTCTTAGTGATAAACCCACTCCCCCCACATTCTCAGAAGCTGCAGCATTTGCTAAGTACACTGTATTTTGCAGGGTGTGGTTAGAAATGTCATTGTAAGATCAAGGTCAAAATCACAGTGGAAGATCAAAATACTGTATCATTATTCGAGGCTGTTTGAGTGCAGTTTTGTTTGTACAGGATTATGGCAGCTAAGAGTGAATAAAATATTGTTGATTTTTGCAGGTACGTACTGTAGAGTTATAATTATTTTAACCAAGTTTGTCTTGAGTGTTACTGGAGTCTCTTCCGTGTGAAATAATAATGAAAGTTATTCTCAGCAAACGTTATACTCTTCATTGTTTGAATTTCCTTGATACATAAAAGTGCATTTTCAAACTGACTGTCATTAACCAGGGTAACATACCTTTTTGGTTTGGTCTTCATTGAAACCAAATCCTCCACATTGTGCATTAGTTGGTAACTGTTTATATAGTAACACTAAAGGGAGAATTTGTACTGTTTAAGACCAAGAATAAGTTTTTATTATTAATATTACAAGTAAATCCAAGTGAAGCTGACAAAACATAATTAAGATAGAACTTATTAAGGCTCTTTAGGTAAAGTTTGTTTGTTATAAAGTATTGTTTTGAATCCACTAAACTTCAGTACAGTAATTAAATACAGTAGATAGCATTTGATATATTGTATCTAACTTGGTGAATTGATTTTACAGGGTGTTTTTTGATATAATCAATGCATTGCAAGGAGTATTCATCTTCCTTGTGACTGTTTGCAACAAGGACAATAAGAAAAAGGTGAGAGGCTTATTACTCCTTTAATTATCACTAAAGTATACTTAATTTGTTCTCAGATTACTCGTCTCTTCTCTGCAGTAAAATGACATTTCATGCTTTCAATTTCCCATTTGCAATGAAGGGCAATTTTATAATACCTGTACATGGAACTTTTTCCACTTCAACACATTTCTGTACCAAAAGTTTCATGTTTACACCCGTTGTAGTTTATCAGAATGCCCCTGCATCACTGCTTTAAGATTCACATTTAACAAGAGAAACAGCTGCCACATTTACCATTCACCCAATATTTTGTGTCGAATAAGCGTTTATTTTCTTACTGATTGGCCTTCCTTGTCTAAACAGAAAAAGCTGAATCGTCATAGGTAAATTCTTGGTGAAACATTGCACACACAATCAAAAAGCTCTCCAGGGTTGACCCCTGAAAGTTTTGTGAATGATCTTAGAGACACATTTATAACAATAAGAAAAGTCTTGAATTATGACTACAGTGATCCCTCGGTTAACGAATGCCTCGATTAACGAAATTTTGGTTAACGAATTACCTTCCATAAGATTCTTCACTTCGGTTAACGAGCAAACCCTCGGTTAACGAATTCCTTACAAATTTTTCCCAACATGTTTTCGCCTGCATTTCGCTGCCCACCAGCTGTAGTATTAGTCCGCCAATACAGTAATCGGTTCTAGGGCTTAAATTCCTTACCCTTTTAGTAAATATCAAGAAGTTTATACTATTCAATCATTTTAAAAGTTTAATATTAAATTTTTTAGTCATTTTAACAATTATTGAACATAATTGAAGGTAGGGTCACTAGTTTGTGGCACGCCATCCAGTCTGCCAACACAGCATACAGGCATCAGTCTTTGTGTCTTTTCAGTGGAGGTAACATCTTGCTTGAGACTCTCTTCAACTAAATTCCTTTTTTCTGTGTTTGCAAGCAAATTATTGGTCATTTTGAAATTTATTTTACATATTGACAATATACAATGCAGTGCAGTGTTGATTTAAAGAAAATAATCTTGAATTACACCAAGAGAACTAAAACTTTATGGGTGAAATGGCACCATGGGGTGACTTCTCTTCCACCCCAATGCCTTCTCTTCTCCTTTCTCCTCCACCCCCATTCTAATTCCCATCATCATCATCATCATCCAGAAGCCTTCTACATACACACCTCAAAGTAAGTGTTCTACCTTTTTTGTTGAATTTAGGCAATTTTCAGTGAGCTGGAACCAATTACCCAAAAACCCATTGAAACAATGGTTTCGGTTAACGAGTTTTTCGGGTAACGAGCAACCTTCTAGAACGGATTGTGCTCGTTAACCGAGGGACCACTGAATTGGCTTCAGCTTGAAATCGCCGGCAGCGTTTGCGCCAAGCAGCAGCGTAAAGCGGTCTTTTGCTGCTTTAAAACCTGGCGCTCTTTTCTCCTATTTGGAGATATAGGTCCTCTCAGGCATCCTCTTTCAAAAGAGACCAGTCTCATCCACATTGAAGACTTGCTTTGATGAGTATCCTCCTTCCTGGTTGATCCGTTTGAATTCTAGTGGGAATGTCTCGGCAGCAACCGTATCTGAACTGGCAACTTCACCAGTCATCTTAATGTTGTGGAAGTTATACCTGTGCTTAAATCATTGAAACCAGCCTCGACTGGCCATAAAGGTCTCTTCGTTCGATCCTTCACCCTCTTCTTCCTTTACATTGTCAAACAAGGATCTGGCCTTATGCTGGATAACCATAAGGCTTACAGGCGCATTGCGTTGATTCTGGTCCTCCACCCAAATAGCCAGCATCTTTTCCACTTTTTCTTTCACAGTACTTCTAGTACGAGTTGTTTTAGTTGCACTGAGAGTAGTACCACTTCCAGCACTAACCTTAATCTTGTCAGTGTTGATCCGGATAGTACGCACCGTTGTGGGGGTTAGACCAAGCACAGCGGCTATGTCCACAGCGCGTTTCCCTTTTTCAAATCGGCTTAATACATCCATTTTCGTAGCAAGGGTAATGGTCTTACGTTGCCTCTTCACTGCACAAGTATTAGTAGCACTTGATGGGTGCTTGGAAGCCATTTTGAATGGTTATAGTATAGTTTTAGAGCAAAAGCACTTAAGCACACATGAATGCTGTGAAGTCGTAACAGAGACTGGCTTGGGGACGCTGTGACGTTCCACGAGTGAGGGCAGCGCGCCAAACCGAGAGAACGTAGCACGGCCAGACAAGAGCGGGTGATGCGCCGTAGAAAGTAGTCCGTGACGACGCAAAACGACGTAGTATCAGATCCCTGGGACGGTAAGCAAATTTTTTTTTTCTAAAGTTTAGCGACCTAGTACCGAAATAACGTTAAGCGGGATGACATTATATGAGGATGCACTGTAATACAGTAATGTCATGACTTGTTAATATCCTTCTTGAGATGGTAACTATTGCTTCTCATCTTCTTTTCAAGGGTGATTAGTTTGCAGTCACTAGTACCAAGGGTCTCTTTAAAAACCAAACCAAAGGCTTAGTTATGCATTACATGAGTCACCTGTTGGAAAGTTAGAAACTTCTTCGGATGTTTGAGAATTTTTTCTGGACTGACAGAGTACCGGTAAGTCTAAAAGAACTGATAGTAAGGAAGAATGTTCTTAGAATTTATTTTCTAGTATTAAACTAAGTTTGACCATTTGATTTTACAAGTAAAAAACCTTTCCATTTGTACACTGCATTACCTATTTTGACAGATACGAGATACCTGGAATCCTCGCCTTCAGAGTGTCCAAAAAACACTTAGCTCTATGCGAGCGCACAGTTCCACAATGAGAACAAACACAAGTACAAGAGTCAATGACTTGAGTATTGGAGCATCTGAATCTTCTAGAAAGACTTCAGTTACCTCCCTCCCAAGGAAATTCTCCATTGTGTCGAATATCTTCCATCCTGCTTCTAACAGGGACAAAGCAGCCACAGAACTAAGTGATACTTCTGAAACACCCAATAAATCTAAGGAGAGTACAGCAAACAGGAAGATTTCCACTACCTCTAACCTTGAAACAATTCCAATGGAGACTATGGATGAATAGTAACATATTCACATCTCCCCCAATAGTGTTGATTGATTTTTCTGTAAAAGAGAACTTATTTTCATTGGTGTTTTTTATAAGGCACTACATTATACAGTGTGCCATATCCATACTGTCCCTAGCAGGCAGTCATGCCTATGGAAACCACTTTAAATTTTTCACATTATACAGCGAGTAGTTTAAGAACTGGAAGGAATCCCACCATTAATTTGAATTAACATGTGTTCCCTTCAAGTTTCCGTGATCTGCAACAACTTAGTTTTTCTCTGCAAAATTACTTATAGGTGGAAACTAAAGAACCTGTTGATGATATTCTCTTCCTGCAATGGGTTACATTGTCCAAGGATTAGCTTATTTTGTGATCTCTTCATGAATATAGTAATTACTTTGAGTTAACTTCATTCTATAGGTGAGAAAGCCATGCTTATACTATGGTGTCATTCCATAACTTCAAACTAGAGGGGTGGTTTTATCCCAGCTCAGGAGGGTTACTTTGCTCTTGCCTTAATTTAAGCTAAGAATTAACTTTCTATCATCCTAGGTGAGCAGTGTTGGCTTAACTTGGGTTTTAGGAAGACTGAGAAGGTATCATTGTAAATGCTGTAACAGTTTAAGGAGCCATAACTCTGAATATTATTGATAGAAATAGTGATTATGAAACTCTTCTGAGATGTTTTGTCATATATACGTACCTGATTTGGTAAAAAAATTAATACATACCTGACATATGTCACCCTCTGCTGAGTGAAAGGATGCAGTTATGTCAACTCTTGTTGGCACTAGGTTGTAATGTCAATCAACATCCTTGGGTAAGGATGTTCTTAGTTTCAACATTTATGTACTTGATCTTAGCATTGTATATAAGAGCTCTTACTGTTACTACACTATAGTATTGAATTTACTTATTTTTATACATGTGACATATAGAATTTTAGGCAATAGAAATAATTATTTTTAAAGTTATGTTTTCAACTGAGCTGGAATGTTTGAGGTTTTCATTTACTGACTCAGTGTTCAGGTGGTACTACTGTGACATTATTCACAAGATTATGATCATGAGAATATCATTGAAGACAATGATCTTTTAAAGTTTATTGTAAAGTATAAAATCTAAAGGGGATATAAGAATTGCAATACGTATAGTAAAACCTCCATAAATCAGAATAATATGGGCTCTGCCTCTACAAGTGCTGAAATAAGGCAAATTCTGAATTATGATAAATTTTGTACATCACCACTGATGAAGTCATTGCTTGATTTATTGTAGAGCACTGGAGTTGTATTTTTATTAACTGTTTTAGTAAACAGTAACAGTTTTTAACAGCAATGATTTAGTTCAGCTAATAAGGTAGGCTAAGTGAACTTTCAAGGCATGCAGGAAATACAGTATGATAGTTTATCTTGCACTCCTTCACAGTTTATCTTTCACTCCTTCACAATGGCATTTAGCTCATTATGTAATACAGTATATTAAAAGTTATTTATTACCTTTTCAGTATTATGCAAGAGGGGTTATAGATTGAGAATAGTTGAATGTACAATAAGTTTCAGATGAAATAGATGAATTGTCTTTTTGCGTCACCATTATTTTGGTTACATGGTTGTGAGAATTACATAGTTGCTGGTGATCACATTGTTTCTCAACATTGATCATTATTATATAACCTCATAGTCATTGTTAATTTTGCTCATTTTCATTTCTCCAGTATTTTGTATTACATATTTTACATGATTCCCCAAATATTTGATACAAAATAAAAGAGAACCATCTTTTAAGTTCCCTGTAGTTTTAAGTGGTTGCTGTTAGACTTCATTATTAAGCCATTACCGGTATCAAAGATGACAAACCAACCAAACCTGACTTAACTTACTTAATCTAAGTTATGTTGGTTTGAATTTGTCCTTATAAATTGCATGTGAATTGCCTCAGAAAATCAGGCATGCAAATTTGGTTTTCTGAAAATTTTGTAGATGACATTAAATGTAGTCATTGTATACAATTAAAGAAAACAATATTATTGTGATAATAAGGGATAGAAAATTTCTTAAAGCCAGTACTTAATTTAACAAAGATACATTACTGTACAGTAAGTCCTCGCTTAACGTCATGGTTCCGTTCCTGAAAACCACGACGTTAACGGAAACAACATTAACTGAATCAATTTTCCCCATAAGAAATACTAGATAAAATATGGGAGTTACGCTCCCCAGCCTCCCTTTGCCCCATAAAATACATTACATATACATAAATTCAATGGAATTTTTATAGAGAATAGTATATATTATACATCCAAAGAGATAAATAAACTAAATCATTTTGTATTGTGCTCACTGATGGGCGGAGGTGGAGCGAGTGTGTTGTTACATTGGTTAATTCCCCATTTAACCAGGTTGGAACACATATAATATATATTGGGTTTTTAGTAACAAAACCCAATTGAAGTTTCTTGTTTTATTACAAAAAGATTATGTCTAATTCCTGAGTGTAGATCAACCGTAAGTTCCACTATTTATGAATGAATGAGAAAGAGGACGTCGTTTATGTAATATAAACGTGGATCAACGTCCGTTCGATGAAAGTTGGTGAGTGACTGACGAAGGCATCGCACTAGTGCGCGCTTACATAGATGCTGACATATGGGCTTCTCCCTCTTGGGAAAGTTACTCTTCACGTGATCAGTTCATGTCTTACTCATAGTTAGTGGAAAGTTACAGGTGGTGAATCTGAATATACAATCAGATGTAAGAACCCATTTATATAATACGTTCTGTTGATGAGACAGGGGCCATTACAGTGTGGTGGGTAGTGGAGAGGAGGAAGGTGGCTCCTCTCGCTCGAACTGGGTGAGAGAGGGTGATGCGCCGTACAAAGTAGTCCGTGACGACATTATACCGAATTGGCAGAATGTTAACTGAATCATGGGTATCTAAAGACTAGCTACGTTATAACGAAACAAAGTTGTTGGTGGCAATGTTAAACGAGGATTTACTGCATATGGTAAATCATAATAATGTTGGAGCAGAGCATTGGCAATGCTCAATTCTCTTTGTGCCTTCACATGGATCTTTGAGTTTCATGATATAATCACGCAGGTAATTTTTACTCTTCCTAATGTCATGAAATATACTTTTACTTATCTTGAATTACACACATTTCCAGTGCTTGCAATTTATTGGCAATCAATAAAAAATAAATAAATAACATTCCTCTTGCTTTCAAGAGGATTTTTGTAAGTTCCTGTACAAATTCCAGGACCTTCATTAAAAGACATTATGAAACACTTACGGCTTTCAAAATGCACAAAATAAGAAATCATGTCAGAGTGATGAGCAATGGAATATCCACACTAACTGACAGATGCTGTCCCTGTCAGCCCAAGAGTGAGGGGATGCTACACACCATGTGGCCTGTTTCAGAAGCTATTTACTATGATTCAGAAAAGGTTGAAATTAGATTTGAGCTTTGAAATTTCCCAAAATAGCCAAATTAGGAGAAATTAAAAAAATTGAAGGTTTTAGTGCATTTCTAAAATCTCAGATCAAATAAGATGTTTGTCTTCAAGAGGAAAATAAGTGATGTGTACTTGTACACAAATCATTTTAGTTAGTGCACTTTTCTTAAAGTTTGTAAATACTGTATAAGAAAATCAAAAGAATGTTTGCCATAGATACTTAAGAATTTAAAATTTTATTAATTTCATAAGTATATACAGTACCTTTACTATACCTGTACATAACTTCCAATACAGGGATTTCTGTCTCATAATTATTAATTGTTGGTGAACCTATGTAAATACTATCCTTGTTATGTGCTTGAAAACCTTAGTTATTGAAGTACAGTACATTACAGTAATAACAATATAACATCATTAAGTTGCCAATACTGCACAGTAATCTCTGTTAGCCGGAATCTTCTTTCCCCGGAACTCTCCTATAGCCGGATTTTTTTTTTAGCATTCCGAGAAATTCCAGGGGAATTATTTTCATTCCAGTCATGGAAATGAATTTCTGAGGATTGCATCATGTGCATTTCTGGAAAATCACTCCATTCTGGGCATGGGAACGAATTTCTGAAAGATTGCATCGAGTTTCCGATGCATGCCAGGTGCTTGGGTGGGTAGGTTGAAAGTGCTTGACCACTACTGTCATGTGACTGCTTGAGATGCCTGTGATTGGCTGATGTACTCACAGCCTATCTCTCCTAACTCTTGCATCATGACATTTTTAGTTCATTGTCTGTTGCCATTGCACAAACTTGCTCGCTCTTTTACTGCTTTTTTCGCTTAGGATCTGGTTGTACCAGGATATAATCAGTCAAGAATACAGTTAAAGTTGTTTTAATATGTAAATAAGTGCAGTTATGTATACTGCACTGTACATTCAGTAAGTGTGAAAGTACCATATGTACAGTCAACAAAAAAATTACTGTGCCCTTGGGATCTGTTGGAACTGGGAATGAGCAAATATCTCGGCCACTCATGATATGTGTTGGGTTGGCATCCCCTACTGTATTATAATAGCCTTCAATTTGCACTAAAAATCAACAGTCAATTGCTCTGTAGTAGTTGATTAATAGATGATTAGGAAAGGATTATATGACACTGAAACAGATGTGCTACCATATTTTATGTGTTCTGGAAGAAAACCAACAAGTAGTGGAAAAGACTAACTGAAATACTTTGAGAATAGTTGTACTGTACATGGCATTTCCCTACCTGTTTGATGGTTTAATATTTCAAATCTCTCTCCTTACAAAATGGATATCCCTGCATATCATCCTTTATGTATCTTAATATATGTATGAGGATGTGGGTTCATGTGATTTTATGTGGAATCTGGTCATTTATTATGCATTTGCAATTGATGTGGTAGATAAGTGGGGCTACCGAGTTTGTCTCCATCAATCATTTACTGTAATGTATATGGAAAACACACACAGGACTGAAGTAGGTAAGGAAACCAGAGGGTTCATCATCACTCTCAACAATGATGGTCTCAGCAATCATAAGGTGGCAAGACGAACTGGTGTGTGCAGAAAAACGGTAGCAAGGTGGATTGTTATGTCAGTGACGTGTAGACTTACTGGTAATCAAGTCATTGATGCTGGAGGTGCAGACAGAATATTAAATACACATGTTAATAAACGTATGGCTCACAATTTTTTCTAGCCTCTTAACATTACCCTAAGTCATTTGGAAGAATTCCTAAAAGCTCTGCTGATTAAATGAAATCCAGGAAAATGGGAATCGGTTTACACAGTACAGTACGCATTAATCCGCTTTGGCATATCATTCATATGTATGGGTCACAGGTGTAACCTCTAGTTCTTGGGTATTGGAGATAGAGATAAGATAGAAGGTGATGAGGATTAAGGTTATAATGTGTTTACATTTATATCCACCAAATATGTCCATTTTATCTGTGGTTTGGAATGCACCTCCGACATCGGCATATAGTTGAAAGAAACATTATTCATTTCCAACATTCCCCTGCTTTAAGTACAGTACTGTATAATTATACGAAGCATGTTTTACAGTGATGCAAATAAAAGTAATATTCTTTGTGAAACGTTCTCAAAACTCTCAACTCAATTTTTAATACATACAAACGAATCGCTTCCCGAGACGACTCGTATCTCTATCATAAGGAAGTACAGTATCTGGTAAGTAGAGCATGCATATCAACACCAGCATACCTGGGTTATCTAGACATTTCATTTTATGTTCCAGAATGGAAAGCATTGAAAGTGGCACAATAATTTGTTTTTTTACTTTACAGTACTATACATAGCAGAGTGGGCAGTGTATGCCTGCTTCCTGTAGGCTAGTATATAAAGGGTGGATGTTCAGTTGGCTCCATTCCTGCACTACCTGTGGTAGTGCTGGTGTGCGGATTAGTGGATGTCGTAATTATGACGACCTCATGTTTAGTAAGGTCAACCCTGTGTACTTAAGCCTCTCTCGGTCCTTGTAATTCAGTTGTCTCTGAAGATAACCACAAGGAAAGAAGAAAACACGTTTTCTTCTTTCCTTGTGGTTATCAGCATATACCTAGATCACGCGCACCTACAGTGATTTATTTCAGCTATTACAACACAAATTAGCTGAGCTTTCCTTTTGCGCATTTACAGCTGATTTGTCAGGCAAGAAAATGACGGTAGCAAAGCGTGTGATGGAGGGTGCAGGAGGGGGTTTTGAGAATTGCAATTAAATGCCGTTTTGAGAATTGCAATTAAATGCCAGGTAGCAACGTGTCCTAATATTACGTATTTAAGTTATTATTAGATGTTTTAATTGCCTGTATGTTGGCCTGGCGAGTTAATGCTAGGCATTTACATACCTAGGTATAAAGCTAGATGTCGCATTCTGGGTTGGAAAAAAACAAAAAAAATATCCAGTAACCTCCAGGTTTGAAGCCTCCCATACCCAGGTAATTATGCGAGTGATGAATAACAGGCTGGTCTATTACTTTGCAGGAAATAAAAAAAAATCTACACAATGGTAGGTAAATAATTAAAAATATACAATTATTGTTATATATTTGTGTAGAAATAACATCTGACATATCACTGACAAGATTTACAAAAGCTCATTGAGAGTTTCACATAATCATCATCATCATTAATCTTGCTTTCTTGTTAATACAATCACATTCCATCTTCTTAACTGACATTTTGCACCCCATTAAAAAAAAGAAAAAGAAAAAAAAATAGTCCAACAATACCAACTGAGAATACAAGTAATGTGAAGTTGAATTTTAATAATAAATGTAAAGGACTGGGTATACTGTATAATAATTGTACCAGAGACCCTTGATATAAGACAATGAGGGATAAATGACTACTTGTCAGCATTGGCTTGTGATAAGTAACAGTCAACACAACCTTGTTAACACCTGTCAGTCAAAATGGGTGACTGAGGAAACACAAAAAGGTATAACAGTAACACTGGCCAAGTTCAACATTTTCATCTTAAATCTTTCCTAGCATAATTCTTTTCTATCTATAATAGTTTGCTACCTGCTAAAGAGCATTTCTATGGTGGCCTCACCTCTGAAATTTTAGAAAACAAATTCTACAGTATCTTCATTTGTAAAAAAAAATTTTATCAATAAAATGTAGAATAATCACCATCATCATTATATTCACCAATTACTGTACCGTCTGACAGCTTCTGTATAAAGCAATAGTCTCATTCACTTCTGCCTATCTCACTATGTCCACTATGTGTCATATTCGCATGATCGCAGCCAAGTCAGCATGAAAATTTAATAAAAAGCTAGTTTCTCTTTACCAGAGTCACCAGATAATAAATATATACACACACTTTCATGCTACCATTGAGAGATTCTTTGGTAAAAATGTAAGTACAAAAGGCATGAGGAGAATCTATTGCACATAATTGTGAGAACAATGCAATATTACTTTGATAAATATTCATATTCATCCCAAATGTAGATTACACAAATACTGAACAGGAAGCATCTCTAAACATTAAGGCATTTTGGAACATCTGGATAGATAGCAAGATGATTTGTAATTAATTTATATGTTCTCATTATATAACATCATTTTTGGGGCAAATACTTGTTAAAATCTATCTGTTCATACTGTACCATTATCCACCATAAAAGGTTTTACAATCAAGGAACTGCATGACCAAGGTAATCATGTGAGTGTATACCACAGCCTTATCTGTTCAGAGTATTAGATTTGAGACTCCTGGGTTATAAAATGATGAGTGTTACCCCACTGTCATGGCAACCTTTAGCAAATAGTAAAGGAAGTAAAATTAGTTGCATTTTTTTTACATTCTTGTGTTTTAATCCAATTTACAGGATCAAATAAGATGACCTCCACTGAGACCAAGACATTTTTTAAAGTAAATTTCTTAGGACCTCTGGATACAATCTATTTACATACTCATTTTATCTGAAGGATGATATCACTAAAGAAAGGCAATTCCTTGAATAAATGACAAATCTTGAAAAAAGAATTCAGAAAATATTATCATTATCTATGCATTTTCTTCAATATAATCCATCCTTTCACACATATCTGGAGATCAAATTTAAAGACTGCTTTCTTACAATATATACATGCAGTCTTCCTAAAAAAAAATTAAACACGTAAAAACTTTGATCATTAGCATCATATCTTTCAACAATTAATAGTTGTATAACTTGTTATGCTTGCACACTACATTCACTGAGTAGGAAAAATGGATTCTGGAATCATTATACAAAAAAAAAAACTAACTAAAATATTCAAAACAATATACAGTAATTAATAAAAACTAAAAAAAAAAGTAACGACTAGCATGAACTGGATCAAGGAAATATTTGATCATATCTGTCTTGAGTTTTTTATATGTATGAATTAATGTCTTTAATCACATAATCCCTTTTTAACAGACAAGTGCATCACAGCAAACTATGCTGGCTGAAAAGAAACTGAAAAGAATAAATACTTGTGTGTGGGAGTAATGATTATAGCCATCAACAATCTTGGGTACTTATATTAAAGAGACCTTCGTTAACAAGAATTTACATTAGCCATAGCATCACATGTCAACTTATTTTAGTGATGAGATATATGCCATCACACTGTCATAAATACTATTTATATAAACAAAACTGACATAATGGATATCCAATATCAAGCTAAATAGGTCTGCAATAATTATATGGCTGGCTAAGGGGACATACTAAGAAATCAAGTAATTCCTACATCACATGTAGAACACAGTCAACAAACATGTAGCACCAGAAATATATAATCAATTTACCACTGAAAAGTTAAATAAAGATTCAGTTGCACATAATTTTAAATGGTTTATATGATCATAGTACCAAGGAATGGAAACCTACTTCATTTTAAATTCCTAACACCCTAAATTCAAAGGCAATTTAGGAGAGGTTCTTTACTCCTCAAGGCAATTAATCTTTTTAGTATATATATATATAGTGTATATATAATGTTTACATCATATAAAAGTATTTTCAAAAATTTAAAATAACAAAAAATATTTGTACATGAAGGAAACACTGAATGAGTCTTAGGATATACTGTATAATCATTCCAGGATTTAAGCAGTAACCATTAAAAATTATCATCATTCAGAGAAGCATTCACACTTAAAAGCGCTTTGAAAAAAAAAAAAAAAAAAAAAAAGCCAATACTTGGCACAGCACACTAACATGTGGCTTTGGTTGTTGCTGCATGAGAATGATCACTAACATCAGTCTGCATGTTAAACTCTTGAGCAAGTTAGTGCATGGAAGTGGAGATTCGGCCATCATCTAGAGGTTATTTTTCTAGACCAATGACAAGATCACAAATACAGTATGTACATCTCAAGTATATATTATTTTTTTCAGTTTCACCAAAGATTTATAAGAAAACATATACAACTGTTATAATGTCATTCAATTAATACAATATGTTTGGGGAATACTTTGGTGAGACATGATACTTGTTTACCTCATCCGTACAGGACTCTGATGGTTTTCTGTTATGTAAGATAAATAAAGTTTTGGATTAAAAATCTTCAATATGAATTGATTTTATGCTTTTCTAACAGTGAGTACTATTCTTAAGCATTGTAATTGAATAAAATAACATTCAATCAATGCAAATCACATGTTTGATTACATTATTAATATCAGCTTTCAGAAAAACAAACTTGTGAAATTGAGATTTCCATACACTATTACTACAAACATATTGAATTTAAAAATATGATTGTATTCTGGCACTTAGCTTCCCTGCCTAGATATCAATAATTTTATATTTCACAGTTAATCTGGTTCTTTCCCAGGCATACTAATGAAAAGTAGATATTTGTAGCCAAAATGATGTAATACTACAGTACACTGTACAGTATTTTGTACTACAGTACAGTATTTAGTATTTGGCAAAGTACTGTAAATTTTGAATAAAATTTATATAATATTGTGAGGAAATTCATCAGAATATCAAGCACTGCATGGATACAAGCATTACTGTGTAGCCAAAAGACAAATTAAGTATACTGAAGTATTTATGAGATCACTGAGTAACAAGCTCCTCCGTTAACGTTGGGGGGGGTCGAGCCATAATACTGTGAGGTCAGGATCGTCTGGTTTCCCCATCTTGTGATGCAGGAGGTGCCATCAGTCCAACAGGAGTAGGGCCCTCAGTCACACCACGAAGATTTTCTCTCAAGACTTCAGTGTAATCCTTGATTAAGGTTGCAATCATAAAAGCCTGAAAAGGATTTACAAATAATAACAACAATATTTTGGTCTATGATGCAATATAACTACAGTCTAATACTATTATTAAGCAGCAGAATGCTGCTTTACTAATAAAACACAAAGAATTAAGAAAATGAAGAACTAACAACATTCAGGCATGAAACCCGGCTACTGAAGATGCTTAGGTAATCAGTATGTTAATTAGATAGTTCAATTATAAATTATCATAAATATATATGTATATAACTCTTGCTGTTTTACATCAATGCTGTGACATCAGAAAACAGGGCAGTTTATGAGAATATAATTTCTGACAAGGAATTTGTTGTTTCTAAGCAAGAACACACCCTTTTGTGTTCTTTTTGTACACACAAAAATTCTAGTAATCATCTATCGACTATCTAGATTTGGGTTACACCATCAGGATCCTAATACAGTACTACAGATTGACTATCTGAGTTCTCCTGACTGAGAAGAATAGGAATGATCCTCCTGAATGCTTGTCCCCAAGCCACCATCTACTAAAAAAGAAAGGCAGCTCTACTCCAACTTGCCATAAGAACCATAATAAACCAAAACCTGTCCCAAGACCATAACATCTTCCCCAACACTTACAGTATTACCCCGCTTAACGCGCTTTCACTTAACGCGTTTTCGCATATACGCGGTGCCTTGCCAAAGCTGAACTTTCACTTAACGTGGCATTTTTCATCATATACACGGTGAGTGTCCGGCTCGAGAGCTATTTTTAGATTCGCACCACCCCCCACCCGCCACCCTGCCTGACTGCCTGTTTTAGCTCATAAAATTCATACAAATTACCCAGCCAGAATATAATTTACATTGCTGGAATTCTTATAATTTGGTGATCATTTTGAATATAAACAACATATATTTTGCATTAAACATACAATTTTTAGATAAAAATTGTTCTCTAGGTAATTATGTTATCTTTTGTCCAAAATATATGACATTTATATTCAAAATATTCCTGGTCTTACAAGGAATCCAGCAATGTCAATTATATTATCCTAACTTTAGTTTGAGGTATTATTTATTAAAATTTAGTGGTTATCCCACACATCTCCTTGGGACGGTTGGTGGGGGGTGGGGGGGAGGGAGGGACCGACCGACCGACCATCTGTTACCCAGTGAAGAATTATTTTTTTTTTTATTAACTGAAGATATTTGTTTTAGCTCATAAAATTCATACAAATTACCCGGTCAGAATATAATTTACATTGCTGGAATTCTTATAATTTGGTGATCATTTTGAATATAAACAACATATATTTTGCATTAAACATACAATTTTTAGATAAAAATTGTTCTCTAGGTAATTATGTTATCTTTTGTCCAAAATATATGACATTTATATTCAAAATATTCCTGGTCTTACAAGGAATCCAGCAATGTCAATTATATTATCCTAACTTTAATCTGAGGTATTATTTAATACTAAATGTTAAAAACTCTTGAATGGAGGATTGGTGGGGGGTGGGGGGAGGGTTGGGACTGACCACGCGGTTGGAAGAGGGGGGGAAGGCAAGGTGGGGTACTTTGATTGACAGATAGTGTCGAAGAATATTTTTTTTTTTTTATTAACTGAAGATATTTGTTTTAGCTCATAAAATTCATACAAATTATCCGGCCAGAATATAATTTACATTGCTGGAATTCTTACAATTTGCTGATCATTTTGAATATAAACAACATATATTTTGCATTAAACATACAATTTTTAGATAAAAATTGTTCTCTAGGTAATTATGTTATCTTTTGTCCAAAATATATGACATTTATATTCAAAATATTCCTGGTCTTACAAGGAATCCAGCAATGTCAATTATATTATCCTAACTTTAGTTTGAGGAATTATTTATTACTATACCTGGTTTTCCCCCAAAAATTTCTCAGAGGGAAGAGCCAGTGAGTGTAGTGTGAGAAGAGGGGGAGGGAGTTGAGTCCATTATTTGAATGGACATTAACTTGGCGACTGTATTTCTCTATTTCTCTTAAGTATTAATTGTGTGCATGTACCATCATAAAATTAAGATGTTATTTTTACTACAACATAGTTATTTGTCGTCAAAAAGTGGAGTTTGGGGGTCGGGCTGGGTTCTATTGGAATTAATCCCATATGTTCTGTTATTCACTTAACGCGGTTTTCACTTAACGCGGGACCCTCTGGGTTCAATTGACCGCGTTAAGTGGGGTACAACTGTACTTCAAAAAAGCACATTTATACTAAGTATGATCACAAAGCTTGTAGGCATCCCAACTCCATCTGCCATTCTGGACTAGTCCATTTCCCATGACCTGGCTCTTATACATGTCATCTGCTCAGTTTCTTCTGTAAACTACTTGTTGATTTCCTGACATTTACCGTGGCACAGATACTCTTCTACCTACACACTACAGTTTCTCTCTGGTTTTCACTTCTATTTTTCTTAATATATTCTGCCTTATCATACTATCTTACTAGTTATAATAATAAAATTAAATATGCTAATCTCTCATTAATGGCAACTGGAAGATATCAAGGTAACTCCTACTGATGATGCACTTATTTAACCCCAGAAGGATTTGTGAATTATAATTTCAATAATCAAATATAAGCTCATTACACATTCTAAGAATAGAGACAGTGAATTTAATGTACTGGTCAATTTGATCCAGTGTGAGCAGTGTTTGTGACTTAAGGCCAATACAAAAATGCTGTATTCACTGCACACCATAATTGACATTTTAAATGTGTTTACGGGTAGTAGACAGCTATCAAATGGGGAAGATATTGGGAGCATAATTTGTTGTCTAATGGTATGTGACCAAGTATCAGGTTGCTGATCTGACTGACTTTCTGCTTCATTTACACAAAATTGTAGTCTCAATTGTTTCTCTTACAGTACTTTGACAACACAACATATATATAATTTCTCACTCTTAATGTTTTATTTTTAACCATTTCTGAATTAATTTATGGCGAAAATTTATTTACCAATCCCCCCCCCCCTCCCCCCGGCCCTGATGACCTGTGCTCGGGTGGGCTAATTCCCATAAAATAAATAATAAATAGATAAAATAAATAAACACATGGTAAATAATAAATAATTTAAAGGATCATTAATTAACACTAATCACTTAAATATAAAATTTTTAACCAGCACGTTTAAGTATTTGACTTCCAAAATTTAAAATATGAATAATTAATGACCCTTGAAATAATTAAACATACGGTACTTAAAATATTTAAAATGTTAGTTATGCCATGACCCTAAGTTTTAAATCACCTTTATTCACATTTTTCCAAAAGAATACATTAAGCATTTCAAAATGTAAGATTTTACCCTGAAAACCTCTGACCTATTACAGTACTTTGAGTTTTGTCACACAAGGTCAAAGTGCAGATTGTCTTCAAATTTCATACAAAGGTACTCATGTTAGTTAACCCTTAGGCCCCGGGTGACGTTCCAGAACGCGCGCCTTTTCCCACCACTGTTTAAATGCCCAGCGTGGGTTATCAGGTTCCCGTGTGACTATTTGCCTGTCACGCCACACCTCGGCCACAGGGAAGCTTCCTGAACATAATTACCTACTTTTGTTTGTTTCATTTTCATTGTTTGTCCATTTTATCATGTTGTATCAAAGTAATATTGCAATAAGTAGTGTAGTTGTATTGTAGTGTAGTACACCTTTTCACATATCCGTTGAGACATTGTTACATAACTATTTGACAAATTTCATAACCGAATGACAGAACACATATCGAATGACAATCTAGAATAACTGTTCGTTCATGCAAACGGAAATGATTGACATAAGTTATGAAGTTGACAGATGTGAACAATAAACAGACAGTCTACATATAGTTTGAGAATGTAACAATTGGAGAATGACATACCACCAACAGTTATTTTAGATTGTCATTCGATATGTGTTCTGTCATTCGGTTATGAAATTTGTCAAATAGTTATGTAACAATGTCTCAACGGATATGTGAAAAGGTGTATTACTGTAAAATAATGCTATGATTATGCTATAAATGTATTTATTTGTGGAATTATTATTATTTTATGTATTACTTGCTATACCAAACACAAAGACAGCCAGAGAGCTGGTGACAGACTGCTGTGTGCCGCCAAGCACTTTTTATGAAAAATAATGTAAGAAAAATTCTAAATGAATTATTTACAGGAAATAACTATTATGATTCAGTAAATAAATGCATTATTGGCCAACTGGGACACAAAGGCAAGCGGGAAAATGACCCCTAAGGGCGTAGTGACAGCGAGCACTCGATGTAAAAAAAAAAAAAAAAAATTCCCCTTATTTGACTCGTCAATGAGGCGCCACGGAAGAATATAGAGAGACAATGTATAGTTTTTCTTGTGTCTTTTTTTATTGTTTTATCATTTATAAAGGTTAAAAATAATTTTTGGAAAAGTTGATTTTTCTCACTTTATCCTGTGTTGGGGGTATGGCCAGCGGCACCCTAGCCCAGGGTGTAAGGGTTAAGGATCTAGGTTCAGAAGTTGTAAAATCTGAGTAGTGTTAATTAATTAGCCTTAAATTAGTTAAACTCATTTAGAATAATTAAAACATAATTATGCCAAACCCATAATGTTTGAATTATCTCTATATATTTTTTTCAGTAATATAGAATAACTTTATCCATTAAATACTGTACATTAGTTTTCACATTCGCAAAACAAGGCTGTTTTGTTGGAAAAATGACATTTAGCCTATTATCTTGCATTTCAGCATACAGTATGAGGTTAAAACATAGATTTTGTTTAAATTTCATACATAGGTACTATATCACCTGCTGGTTAAGGATCTGTGTTCAAAAATTTAAATTTTGAGCAATTAGTGTTAATTAATGAACCTTAAAATAATTAAAGACATATAATATTTAAAACATTAATTATCCTAAGCTTCAAACCACCTTCATATAATTTTTAGCAAGAATAAAGACTAGCATTACCATTTAATAATACAAGTTTCACTTTCCAGAAAAAGGATGTTCTTTGCCCCAAAAACGCCCAACTTATTATCCTGTGTTTTGGCATGCGAGGTCAAAACATAGATTTTCTTCAAATTTCATAAAAAGATTCTCCTTTACATAATGATGCTAGTGGGTCCCACTTACCACAAGTTTAGGTATTACTGTAAACAGTAAAGAGGGTATGGTGGCTGATTGTGTACCAGGGGCTGACAGTTAACAGATACCTGAAGTACCATAAATGGGTCTCAATACATAGTTCTGCAGACATGACAATGGTGTTCTATTCTATTAGAGTGTCAGCGACGACTCATAGAGAACAAAGACATTACTTTGGCAAGGCAAATGATGATTAAGGAGTCTTGGTTCTTGGAGGCCTCACAGGTAAATGGTACAAGATGGGAGGGCAGGGGAACTGGTTTATCCATAAACAATTATGAGATTATCCTTGGATGATTTGGGACCCCCTCTCTCATAAAACTAAGGGCCCTCAAGTAAACTGTTCTACCTTAAGAAGGTTAAGGGTGAGGATTTCATGCTTCATTCCTCAAAGCTCTAAATCAAGAAAACACCAATTATTTTGTTTTTACCTGAGTAGTGTTGAGAATAATTTTGCTCTGTTTTCGTGTTGATCCTGTAATGATCATGAGAGCTGTGATGGAGGCAGAGTAGTTGAGAATGTAATCGTACTCATAGGTGCAAAGGACATTTCTTGAGCGGTGTTCCAGCAGGTGAACACCGCTTTCATCAATGGCCAACCAAAGAACTTTGGGCCAGTTTGAGGTAAAGGATTGCTGAAACGGATAAACATCGATATTAACTTTGTGAAAATGTAAATGACAGTTCCTAAAACATATTTGTGACTAATTTTGAGATGAATTAATTTCTGGATATACAGTACTGTACTTATAATGCTGAGTTAAATAAACTCCATGCCACAATGTCTCACTCAGAATATTTCCAAAAGTCCACCTCTGCTACAAGTGGCACTTATTTCTATGACCATCTGCCTTCATCCCCATATCACCTCAACTCCAAAGAATAATTCATTACTTAAGTACAAGATTATAATACAAATAAAAGTGCACAAAAATTGCTTCATATCCTTATGATTATTATAAAATATTAATCACACACACATTTGTGAAATATCACTTTCACTCTGATGACTTAAATACACAGAGGTGAACATTGATGTGCGAGATCCAGTTCTTGATGAGAAGTAAAGTGGTAAGATACCAGAAATAGACAAAATATTCACTGTGCACCAACAAATATAATTAAATTTCAAGTGAAGCTACAAATCACACTAACTGATCAAAGAGGCATGTTTAAGAAAATAATTACAAATTCAAACATTACCATCTTGAACCAAAAACTATCTCCTCAAAAATGCTCACACAACTGACATACTACTTAACATACTACTTGAGGCACTTGTATCATTCAACTTTCTACTTGTAGAAAAATGTCTCTTTCATGTGAGAACTAAATTAGTACTACTCACCGTAACATCAAAAATTGTAGCTCTATGGAGAGGCCAAGACTTTATTAAATTGAGGAAGGCTTGTTTAGCCTCTTGTGAGTCCATATTAAATAAACTCTGATGGTGCATGGCCACTGCCTCATGAGTAACATTTGTCAAAAGCCGTGGAGAGAGCGTGTGTGCTATCACTTCCCCGTAGTCCATATTTGCTCCTGTGAAGTTACCTAACTCTATCTGAGCCCTTAAGGAACATAACATTACCTGAAAATATAATTAAAATTAATTTTTAGAAGATAATTGGGGGACTGAATCCCAGGACACTCACTAATATCTCACAACAGAGATAATCTGTAACATCAGAAATAGTGGTGTGGTGTTGTCAAAACAGTTACTCTTATAGTCATAAATGGGCCTCACAATAGGTCCTCCTTAAAATTTACCATCGCCATTTACCCTTGAAATAGCAGACATCATCTACAGAAGTTTCCTGTACTCCATTTATTTTATAGGTTCACATGTCGCCAATAGATATCATTGACACCACTCTCCTATAGTGACGACATTGATAGTGAGGAATATTCAGAGGCAAGAGAAATATTTGAAGTGGAAAGTAAGAAGAAACAAAGTGTTAAAAGGATCAGTGAGAGTAGAGAGAAGCATCATCCCCCACGTACTCCACCACGCCCCAGACCATCCACCTTGCTTTTTTTATTTGGTCTCTTGGCACAGATTTTACCCCAAAAGTTCAAGATTTTTATGCAAATGAGTGTAGGTTATCCATTTTATTTGTGTATTTCCTTTATATTTCAATACATTTACATACAGAACTTTTGTAATTATTATTTATTTTAATTTCTTTCTTTTGTGTACATGTTTTTGACTTCACCATCATGAGTGGCCTTACTAGGAGATTGCAAGATTCCACTGCCATTTCTCTCAAGGTCATAGGGACATGGACAGCAAAAGCAGTATGAGTTGACATTTTACAGGCAAGGTAAACTGGGAGCTTTGATGTCTGTGACTTAACTTTAAGATAGGTGTTTGAGTCAAGACAACTGGTTATGAGTTACTCTTGCTGTATCTGCTGGTTAACTGGCTTTTAAAGTAACCACTAACCCAGGATTGGAGCTTTCTTAATAAACCTTGGTTTAACTGTGTGAATAGATGTTTATACAGTTTCACACTGATCCTTATGGACAGTGTCTCTGCCTATTTTGGAATAGTGATCTCACAGGTCATTTGTTAAATGACCAATAAGTAAAACATCCTTCATATGTAATTCCCTTTGAAATCTTATCTAGAAGAATACTTCTAGGGAGTGTCACTAAAAGTTAATTCAAAACACGACTAACCATTCTTATGAGATTTGGCCACAGCCAGATGGACACAGATATCTACAGTAGATGATGTCAGATTCATTCACATAACATAGTTTGAGAATTTAATTTAATGAAAAAAAAGTGATCATAAAAATAATTTTACTACTTACAGCCTCCATCTGTGTAACTGGGAATTTATCAGCACGAAGTGTGTACAGAACTTGGAAGTAGAGCAACTCCTTTTCTACATTATCACTAAGATCAAGCCATGTCTCCAGAAGTAAGTGTTTCTGTGGGATAAAAATGAGCAGTTACAAAATCGGCAAAAATTACAAAGTGATCATCCGGAATATACCATCAAAGTTCTTAGCCAAGAATAAAGATAAAATGTTTAAATACAAATATGCTAATCAAAAGAACTGTACACATAACACAGAATGAACAAGAATACAAAGTTTGCACAGTAAAATCTCTGAACTTTGTGTATCTTCAAAATTGATACTGTAGTACAATGTACAGTAGTTAAAACAACTATCTGTGCATACTTTGTGGGAAACAATGTGAGACCATGGATGATAAATTTTGGTATATGTCACTAGACACACGTAAAACTTCGGAGCTTATCGACCCCCACTGCACAGAGTTGTTTTAGCTACTGCACCTTAGGATCATAAACCCAAACAATCAATTGTGATCAACAATTATATAGGGACCCAAAGACCTACTTCCAGGTAGGTGAGTAGTCTTTGATTACCTCAGGGAGTTCTGGTCCTGCTTTACCAGCTTTTCCCATCCAGTGAGTTGGCATTAGGGAGGGCATCCAGCCATAAAACTTTGCTTCAACATAGCCCAATGGCAACCAGTTCACTAGAACTATACCCATTCTTTGGCCTCTGCTGCATTCCTGGGCTGGCATCCTGGGTTTGGTGTGGTGAGCCCCCATTTTACCCAATTGCTACCATCAGTTAATTGTGGCAAACCCAAGTGGGATGGCAAAAGCTACATACAAAGACAATCATCCAGATGGGAATCATCCAAGTGGGATGACACCAGGTTTAATAGGATGATAGGTGTTGAATATTCTAACATACCTTAAACAAGAAAATATGATGGTTATGGTGTTGAGTTGCAGCAGTAGACTGACGATACCGCTCCCATCTTGACATTACATCAGCTAACACTTCTTCTGCTAATATGCACCTTTCAGTCGTTCCTAACATCTCATAGACTGCATAACCTGCAAGAGAAATTTTGTTAACTAAACTAACACGAGTTTGAGGATTTTTCCTGATTCTACAAGTCTTTCCACATTATAATATCAGGTGGCTGGAATAAAAAGTTTACAAAGATTCTCCATTCATTTATTATCATTCATTTTATAAGTAACATAACATATGTCGTCTGCTATAGACGTTATTCTCCATAACAAGAGCACATTCATCCCTGAAAACCATATGGACATTATTTTTGTAACATACAAGCACACTGCTGCTTCTTGAATGTCCATCCTCATGTAAAGAGTAAAGTGGAAGAAGTGATTTTATGACCAATTTTAAGAATACCTACTGTACTCAGTAATGAATAACTCAAGTGGCCTGTAATAAACATACTGGTCATATAAGAATAACTGTAGAGTCAACGGTTACCATAAATATGTATATACCGTATCTTACACACGATGCTGAATTGGGTGAACAAATTCAACAAGAGAGGTCTATACAGAGTGCAACAGAAGTATACTCATGAATTAAATTAAAGGTGTTACACTGATGTTTAGCAATAATAAAGGTTGAGATGGTTCTGGTCAGAGAAGGTCATGTTGCCAGTGTGACGATTGTGTGGTGACTGACTTTCGGTTTTCCATGAGCAAACAGCTCATGACCACCAAAACAACACAACATCGGTGTGCAACAAAATCTGATGCAACTAAAGAATTCCTTTACCATAACTAACCACATCCACAATTATTTGTACAACAACAAATTAGAAACAAATAATGTACGTATAATGATAAAAGAACCAACACCAATATTAATATAAAATTGCCACTCCATGTTTACAATCCAGTGTGCTTATCCTATAATATGTGATATTATGAATCATTGAAAAATGTTTGAGCCTGAGATGGAAATGGGTGATACTAAATCTTGTACATGATACAAAAATTAGGCTGACAGTGAGTGAAGTGTTTATAAGTGACTACATACAGTAGTATATTTGACAGGAAATGCATACAAGGCATTTGGTGAAGTGTGCACTTCAGTATTAAAAGGAAAATTGATTAACAAAACAAGCAACCTGATTGTTAGAGTTGGAATAAACACTAAAAAAATGAAAACATAAGAAAATCAGGTAGTGTACTTAAGTGCCAAAAACTACTTCAAACATTTTTTTTCAATCTATTGTAATACAAAAACATATTTCATACATACCTTTAGCAGTATCTTTTAAGCCAATTTTATGCATTATGAGTTGCACAACCTCTGTGGCAGTGGCTGATGCATCAAATTCAAGGGAGTGGAACTGGCCATCCATGAAGTGGAAACGAGCATATATTGGTCTACGATTAATGGTACAGAGAATCTCCTGCTTGGAAGGTGCCCACTGCCGACGCCGATTGTTTAGTGCTTTAACCAAACACTGACAAAAGATAAAAAGTGGATAAAAGAACCTATAACCACTGATAGTGTCTATATAACTGTTACAACATATTCTCAGTATTATACATTAAATTGAAATTACCTGTTCCATGTACATAAATTTACCTTTTCAGCATAACGAGCATATTTTCCTTCTTCTGATACATAATCTGTTGCACAACGCTGTAAGTGAGCACGGAGGTATTTTCTTATTGTTTTGTCAGTGGGAGGTATAACTGAGCAGAAGAGTGTGAGTAGTGACCAGTGGCGAAGGTTGACCCGAGAGTTAGGATCTATGGGAAAATTTTTAAATGACAATTATCAATTTAAGGATGCATATTTCAGTGCAGGATACACACTGTAAATCAGTATAGAAATACTATAGAGAGATAAAAGTAGACATCATTCTACCTTTATTTAAATTTGTACTTATAATGAAACCCTTAATGTTAATTAAGTCTCCTGAATAAATGTACTGTACTATAATAATAATGGTTGCCTCTTGTGTATGAGGATTGCTGGCCCTAGGGCCACCCAGGCGTGAATTTGTTTAGGGTGTAGAAGTTGTCGCCAACACAACAACCACACCTTAAGTTAACGAGTTGCATGACCCAGTGTCAAGGAATAGTCTGAGAAGACTGAACAACTCACCAACTGCACTGGCTTACCATTACCCCACAACACGATCCGCAAATAGATTGACATCCAGGTTCCTAAACTTGCCCATAATTTTACCATGCCCAGGAATCGAACCTTGTACCACTCGCTTACTAGGCATGACCTGTACTATACTACCAATACATACACCTCCACAATATTCAATACAGAAAATTCATATAATTTCAGGATGATTTATAATCAATCACATCTGCACATAGAAAGAACAAAATTTGAATTAAATTAATCCTCATAATTTAATATTTTACCTGGATGGTCTGTGGTCTGTTTTATAAGTTGAAGGTAGGTCTCATTAAGGAGAAGGTCTCTTTTCATGCACTGTTCCACCACACCCTGCACCATGGTCAGCTGCTGGTCATCACTTGTTACAGCTGTTTCTGCTGTAAATAAATTGCATACAATATTAGTCATGGTATAAACATATATTTGATATCCATTAATTACTCAAAAAACAATACTTAGAAACAGAGATAAACTATACATGTCAGTTAACAATTACTGTATAAGGCATTTTTTCCTGTGGTACAGTACCCTCATAAGATGGTCACTTTCCAAATAAAGTCACAAATTATGGAACTCTTCCTTGAAGAAAGACACACACATAAAACCAAAATATGAAAAGCATAATTCATCCACCCGATTAAAGTTAATCTTTTGGTAAGAAATTATCTTTCTTCTATCCAGATATTTCATCAGGTTGCTAGCTAACCTAGTCCTACACACCTGCTTAGGGAGTTGCGAGAGCACAGTTGAACCAACAAGATTGAAATTTCAAGCACGTTGCCATGCAACTTTTTGGAACTGCTTAGTTATTTCAGATTCATTCTGAATTAAAATCTTTGATTTCATTTTTGAAAAAACATACGAATTAAGCCGAAATCCAATTTATAATGATCTGAATTAACGAGGGTACAGTGTGTGTGTGTGAGTAGTCCTCACTTAACACAGTTCACACAACACAATATTAGCAAAAAGAACCAGTACGTGAACCTATTCACTTAGCAAGAAAAAATTCCGGGTTTAACATGAGTAGCAACATGCCACAGCATTATCAGCCATAAATATTTTTGCTTGTGCCCTCATGCCCCAATCATATATACCTGGTATAGCTTTTTTAATTTATTTATTTAACCAAACTTTTAGATAAACTATTCAGGATTATTTTGGTTTAAAAGTATTTCCAACTTAATAAGAACTGAATTTATAGACTTCGGAATAAACATTTCTTATATTTTTTCATAAAAGAATTGAGGTCCCATCATTACTCATTTCAAAATAATTTGTTCAAGGATTTTTTATTGAAAAAATCTTGTGGTGTTATTCTGGATCATTATGATACCAAATTCATATTTCTAACATAATGAGAACAGATACTATGGATAAAAGTTTATACACTCTTTTGCTCATTGTGATAAGAGAATCATACAAAGTAGAAGAATGTTTCATACGGTATACATTGCACTACTGTATAATATACTTATTGATTAAAAATAGAAACACACAGTACAAGTTAATAACAAAGTACTGTACTTATTAATTATTAACTTATAGCAATGCAGTTGAGTCTTGGGGTGAGGAGATAGTTAAGGCAGAAAGTGACTGTACTGTGCAACACTCAGAATGTTTGTCACCAAAGGTGGAACGGAGGTTATGTTTTCACTGCTACTTTCATTGACTTTGTACTGTACACTCCAGTATTTATATTTCTTAGACACTTCACTTCAACGAACTTTCTTCCATATTAACTGGATTTTGGGTTGTGCTTTTCCAGGTGGGGATACATGTGTCCAGTGCTGGACCAAAGTCCGGTTTGCAAGGGGATCCGGATTAAGTGAGTCTGGGTTAGAGGTTGTTTACTGTATATTTGTGCCACTATCATAGTAAAATATCCCAAACTATGATATTGGTAAGTTAAAAATTCTTGACTCAACTGTAATAATAAAGGCTTCACATGAAAATGTATTTCACAACTTTTTTTTCAAGTACAGGTGCTCCTCTACTTACAAACAAGTTATGTTCTTAAGGCTTGTTCTGAAGTCCATTTGTTCTTAAGTCCACCTTTACTCTTGTAGATACCGAACATATTGTAAAAAAATAAAAAAATAAAGGATATACAGTACAGCTATACCAAAATAATAAATACAGCATTTTACTCTGAAGTATATCTTACCAGACTTTAACAGCATTGCAATGCATAAACAGCTTATGTAAATTTTTTAGGCAATACAGTACAGTATGGACAGGTTTGTACATATCTCTGAAAGTTCTTAAGTTTAATGTTCATACTGGTAACGAAAAGAGCACCTGTACAACACACATACATCATCACCAGACAATTCATGCATAATACAATAATGAATCAGTATCTGCCTAATGAATTGGGTTTACCCAGTCAAGCATTTTGCCTCATTAAAGTTATAAGATAATGTATAGTATGTGCATGTATTTGAATAACATTGCAAATAACACAATGTCGACCATTTGTGATGAAAATTCTAGGCCTCCTATTTTACTGATATTAATGTCATATACTAGAGATAACAGGGAATAAAATCAATTAATTCTATTGAACGAAAGATAAATCATGGTGCATGTGTTGGCGCATCGTTCACTGTTGCTTGAGTAATTTTTGACACTACACTTTACAAAGAGAGATAAATTAGTTCACAGAAATTCCAAAGACAGTGGCAAATATAACTTCTAAACTTACCATTTGGATTCAAACCAGAGTAAGTTAGAATGACAAGTGAAATTTGAATTGCCTGTTGTTCAAATTCAGGAGATGCTATTTTGGTGAGGGTCTGGGTTAGTGGAGCCTTGGAGAATGCCCAAAACATGTGATGGAAGCCCTTATATGTTTCTGAGTTTTCCCCATAGTCTTGACGAAGCTTTTCCAACTTTTGTTTGTTTAATCTAGAAGAAGAATACAGAAAATAACAGACAATTAATTAAAATGCACTTATGATACCCATCTATATAAAGTATAACCTCACTAATACAAAAAGGGGGGTAAAGTTTGGTTATGTTGGGCCATGTGAGGACACGAAGTATCTGGTATATGTTACTTTGAATCTTAGGTTTAATTTGACCAATATTAACTGCAAAAGCTATGTGAAAGCAATATTAAACTACATTATTAACACAAGTAAATATAAATAAAGACAATCAAGGCATTGGGCTATTTACTGTATTCAATCAAACATTTATTATTGATGAACTCTCTACTTTTGGCAAATGTTGCAACTCACTAGAAGCTGGTGGAATATCAACAAACCCATGTACCTCACTTTTTGGCAATTTTCAACTTCTAAATAAAAAATAGATTTTTTATTTAAAGTATGCATACACAATGAAATTTTGTTTTCTTATTTTATATATATATATATATATATATATATATATATATATATATATATATATATATATATATATATATATATATATATATATATATATATATATATATATATATATATATATATACAGCTAGACCCCGACTTACGACTGCTTCGACTTACGACCGCCGAAGATTTTTTATTAATTTTTTTTTTTCCAAATGACGCACACATTTTCTATACCGAAACGTTTCCAGTTAATGTAGTCTCCATGTATAATTAGAAAATTATGGGGGCCCCATGTGCATTCAACTGACTACATTGAAGGTAAGTGCTCAGTCACACTGTATCCATTCCTTATTATTTATTACTTTCACTGTACTGTATCCATTCCTCATTATTTATTACTTTTACTGTACTGTATTTCATTGTAGATTTTTTATTATTTTTATTATTATTATTATTTTTTTAATCTATGTCGGACTTACGACCTGGATTTAGGTCCCTAACCCCGTCGTAAGTCGGGGTCTAGCTGTATGTATATATATATATATATATATATATATATGCTGATAACCACAAGGAAAAAGAAAACACAGGTCATCGACCCACAATGGGGTCTGGGGGGCAAAAAAATATGAGTAAAATAAAAATTAAAAAGAGAAGATACCAGAAGACCAGCTTTTTGAAGTGAGACAGATTGTAAGAGTATGGAAACACAGAAGAGGGCAGAGCATTCCACAGGTTGGCTGTGTGAGGAAAGAAGGAGGTACTATAACGGGTTATTCTAGTGTGACTGACATCCACACAGAAATGGTGGGCACCGCGGGCAAGGCGAGTGTTACGAGCCCTCGGTCTTGCCGGTGGTACACAGGATGCCAAATCCACCAATCATTGCCCGTTAAAATACCTGTAAAAGAGAGAGAGTGAAGCAACATTGCGGCAAAGAGAAAGGGAAGAAAAATTATCAACTAAAGGAGGAGAGTTAATAAGATGAAATGCCTTTGATTCCACCTTATCTAACAGTTGGACAGAAAAAGAGCCACCCCAAATATGAGAGCAGTACTCCAAGTTCGGACGAATGAATCCCTTATAAACCTGAAGCAACTGCTCAGGAGTGAAGTAGCTACGGCATCTGTACAGCATTCCCAGCTTTCGAGAGGCAGCTTTAACAATGTTGTGGATGTGTGGCTTCCATGACATATTAAGAGGAAATGGTGAGGCCTAGCAAATCTATTTTAGAATTTGGCAGAATGATTGCATCTTGGAAAGTGTAATTGGTAAATATTGTGTTTTATTACTACTGAAATTAACCAAGTTTCTACCTCCCCATTTGGAGATGCTGCACAGATCTGCATTGATATATGAAATGATATCAGCTCTAGAAACAGATTTAGTTTGAGAATTAGGGGGGAAGGAAAAATGTGAAGAAGAGTAAAGAGTAGAATCATCAGTTTAAGAATGGATAGAATTAGTTATACTGTAGTGTGAAGTAAATCATTGATAAAAAGAAGGAAGAGAGTAGGTGAAAGAACAGAACCCTGTGGGACACCGCTATTGGTAGAGAAAGAGCGAGAGATCGATCCCTCAACAACAACTGCCATGGATTGGTTCTCCAGGAAGCTACAAATTAGAGAACAAAGTGGGAAGAAAAACAATAAGAGAGAAGTTTAGAAAGCAGAGACTTATGCCATACCCTGTCAAATGCTTTGGAGATGTCGAGGGCCACGACGAAAGTTTCCCCATAATCCCCAAGAGAGGATGACCAAAGATGGGTGCAGTAGGAGAGGAGATCACCAGTAGATCTCGCCTGGCGAAAGCCATACTGGTGATCCGACAAAAGAGAAAGGCGTTCAAGGTGACGGAGAAAATGAGAGTTTAAGACAGTTTAAAAAATCTTAGAGAGGGATGAAGTTAGGGCAATGAGACAATAGTTAGAGGGATTGGAATGGTCACCCTTCTTCGGGATGGGCTGAACCGAGGCATGCTTCCAAAAAGAAGGAAAAGTTTGGGTTTTGAGGCAAAGGCAAAAGAGGCAAGCAAGCACAAGGCCCAGAATTTCAGCACACTCCCTCAGAACACGAGGGGGTATTCCATCCGGTCCATGTGCCTTACTCAATCCAACCTGGATAACACACCAGCAACACTATGAGTGAAGATTATAGGAAAGTGCATAGGTTCAGTAGGAGGAGCAGGTGTAGGAGGGATAGAGTTGGAATCATCTAAGGTGGAGTTAGAGGAGAATGAGGTGTCAAAGACATTGGCTTTATCAGGGGAAAAATTGGCTATAGAGTTATCAGGTAGGAAGAGGAGGAAAAGAGGGAGTGCAGAAGTTATTACAGATGTTTTTGTTTAAGGACCAGGAGGATTTACTATAATAAAAGTTAGTCAGGTCAGTGATCTTTCTTTTTATAAAATTTTGCTTGGGTGAGTGAGCGAGAGTGGAAGCAGAAGTTGATGTAGTCTACTGGTAAGCCAAGGGTAATACTTATTCATTTTTAACCCCAAACCGTGCTACTAATGGTGGCAAAAGTTCTGACAATGAATTATTGCATTATCAAAACTTAATATTGTATGATGAGTTACCAATAGTCAACTTTTATCATTATTTATACAATCCTGTAAAAAAGTGCACTACTGAGCAATATTTGGGTTACATTTCATTTATACACATAAATATTATTTTCAGAGTTACTCTTTACTTTCTGTACAAAAGTACTTTTAAATGTGTGTAACTCTGTATTCTTACTTGATTCTCTCAGGGTTTTCATACACACTCATGGAACAATCTGTAATGACACCAAGTGTGAGCTCACTCATGACCAACTTAATTAACATTGGCACAGGTACAGATACATTCTGAAGCCAGTACAATTGCTAATTGTATAACAGAGATGTGACTGACCACCCAAACAGCAAGTCGATCAGTGGCGAAGAGGATAAAGTAAAGTACAGTGGTCACCTCAATTAACGAACGGTCCAATTCATGAAATTTTGGTTAACGAATTAGCTCCCATAAGGATTTTCAATTCCATTAACGAACAAAACTTCGATTAACGACAGCCTTAAGAGAAACACGCTTTGTTGTGCGCATCAGCTGATCGGCCAGTCCGCCAATACAGCAATTGGTTCGATGTTTACATTTGTTTCTAGTGGAGTAATTATCAAGAAAGTTGTGCTCTTGAATATTTTTTCATTTTTTATATTAAAATTGTTGGTCATTCTAATTTAGTTAACATATTGATAATATAAACAGTACAGGGAACAGTTTTTGTGTGCCAATCAGCTGATCGAATCACCCACCAACCCTTCTCAGCTTAACTTTGTTTACAGTGGTGTGAACATCCAGTTTGTTGGTCTCTTGACTATTTTTGCATTATTACATTAAAATTATTGGTCATTCTGAAATTTAGTTCACATATTAATAATATACAGTGCAGAAATATTATGAAACATGAAGAAGGCATTAGAACCAATGCACTCTGAAAAGAATATGGCATGTCATCATCGACCGCCGCTACAATCAGTTGTTTGATGTGTAAACAAAGCTGCCGGGAATACGACATACACACCTCAAAGTAAGTTAAAATACAGTGTTCAATTGTTTTTTATTTATCATTGTACAGTACTGTATTTAGTTTATATTTAATGTTTTGTTAATTATAGTACCGGTATACAGTACTTTGTATTTACTTTTTCTGTGAGTTGGAACCAATTACCCAATATCCCACTGAAATAATAGATCCATCCATTTAACAAAATTTTTGGTTAACAACCGACTCTGTGGAACGAATTGTGTTCGTTAATCGAGGGACCACTGTACAGTGATATCCCCATTAGCCAGAACAATTGGTGCAGATCACTTCCGGGAATGAGACATTTCCGGGTAACGGGACGACTCTCTCAAAGCCGGAAAAAATCCCCCATTCCCGGAATTTTCCGGGTAACGGAAAAGCGTTCTCGGAATTTTATAAAAATGCACCTGATTTTCATCTCTCAAACCCAGAAGAAACTCCCCCATCCCTGGAATTTTCTGGAATTTTCCGGGTATCGGAAAAATTTTCTTGTAATTTTCCAGAAAATGTGCCCCTCGGAAAATCATTCTCAAAGCTGGAATTTTCCGGAAAACTACGGCTTTTGGAACGATTTTCCAAGAAAATTTCAATTCCGGCTATCGGAGAGTTCTGGGTTTGAGGGATTCCGGCTAACGGAAATATTACTGTATTTCACATATGAAATTCATATACAGTATTACCCCGCTTCACACGGTTTCACTTTCCGCGATTTCTCATTTACGCGGTACCTTGCCAGAACCGGACTTTCACTTTCCGCGGTGCATCTACTCATATACGCGTGAAGTATAATTTTTTTTTTTTATTTAGCTCATAAAATCCATACAAATTACCCGGCCAAAATATAATTTACATTGCTGGAATTCTTACAATATGATGATCTTTTTGAATATAAACATCATGGATTTTGCATTAGACATACAAATTTTAGATCTAATGTAATAATTTGGTTTACACAAAGCAAGTATTTTATCTTTTGTGCAAAGTATATGAGGTTTACATTCAAAATATTCCCTGACCTGCAAGGAATCCAGAAATGTCAATTATATTATCCTAACTTTAGTCTGAGGTATTATTTATTACTAAACGTTAAAATCTAGTGTTTCACCCAATCATTTCTCAGAGAGGTAGGAGCTAGTGAGCTGGGAAGAGGGGTGGGGGGGGGTTTGAGTCCATTATTTGAATGGACATTAACCTGGCGACTGTATTTCTCTTAAACATTAATTGTGTGAGCATACCATCATAAAATTTAGATGTTATTTTTACTACAACATAGGTATTGTGTCGGAAAAAGTGGAGTTTGGGGGTCGGGCCAGTCTCTATTGGAATTAATCCCATATGTTCTGTTGTTCACTTTACGCGGTTTTCACTTTCCGCGGTACCCTGTGGGTTCAATTGACCGCGTAAATCGGAGTACTACTGTACCCATTTAAAGACTTTATAATTTTTGCAAATGAAGTAGTGCAAAAATTTACAAAATTTGGGCTTTCATTTATGCATGTTTTGAATATGATTTAAGTTCAGGTGCATCATAGACCAGGCATCAGGGTGTGTGATGCACTCTGTTATGATAGACCAAGCAGTGGAGTGGTGGGGTGAGTGGCCACAACCTTGAAAGTTCAGTAGTTCTAAATAAGTTTACTTATTTCACATAATTAAAAGTCTATGCATTATCTATTACATTATTTCCACCATAGCTGAAGAGACAATAGGAAATAAAGCCTTATTGCTTATAATATTTTGAGGATCTATATATTCAGGAGCAGAAGACTATTCACACCTTCTAAGAGTGCTGACAATGAAGTTGCCGCCTTGATCCTGAGGTTTCCTGAGTATGTTCGCATCAATTATTTGTCGTCTGGAATGTACCAAGTTGTAGTAGAGTCTCACCCGGTCCTCACCAGTAATTTGTTTCACCTGCAAAATAAAGGGAAAAAATTATCAGCATACCACCAGATAATTTTTTGTTTTGTGTTAAGGAGTTCATTTACCTTCATTTCAATTTTTCAGTCCCTGTAATAGCAGAGAATCATTTAACATTTTTATTAAACAAAAACTCCTAATAAGAATTAAGTACACAAGAAAAATATAGGCAACACTGATATCCATTAGAAGTGCAGTAAACAATATTGCCAATGAAGAAGTGAAATAATTAATACATGTATTCAATCAATCCTTAAAAAATTCCTTGCCCCTTATTTTCAGGTAAACTATATTTTTTTATCTATACAATATATCACAACAAATAAACTGACCTTCTTATTTGAGTCCATATCTTTGATCCATGAAGCCAACAAAGGGGAATAACTGGCAATGAGGAAGCCAATCTCTTGTTTTTCCTTTGTTTCAAATACAAAACATTTATGAGCATCTGGTAGCGTACGGAGCAAGTTGATGGTAATGAAGTTGTCACTGAAATGTGGGTTATTATGGTTAATTTGAACCTCCTACATAATTCTTTAATGATTCATTTTGCTTATATATTTTTACATTATGTTCACTACTTATAAAAACATCCATACCTGGGGTCTAAGAAGATAGATTCTATGTCACAATATCTGTATTCATACAAAATAAATTTGTCATCAGGCTTGATCATTGCAATTCCATCGCAATTAATTCCCAAAATGAGTGTATTGCCATAAGACCAATATCCTCGGTAAGAAACTGGGAACATAGTGGTACCATACAAGGGAAACTGCATCACACATGTCAAGTACCACACTTTGGCCACAATATCTGTCTTTCCTGTACCATACTGCCGATGGGCCTGAGCAAGTATGGGGACCTGTTGGAACATATACCCTCATCATTATTATAATCATCATCATCATCACAATTTCATGGCCATTCTCCAAGCCTCTCATTATATACTGTATTATACTTAGAACATTTGATTGGTTAAAACTTCATGCTATCCTTAAATTTTCATGATTAATTAGCAAGCTTTAGTGTGCCAGTGGAATCTTATATAATAATACTTTAATTTGTACTGTACATAAATTGTAAGACAATTATTTTATATAAATTCAATGAGAAAGGTATAACCTCTTAGTCAGATATTCAGGCTTGGAGGGCAGGGGTCTGAGGGGCACCTACCTTCCTAGATTACCCTGTCTGGGTCTGGCCTTAGATATCTATTTGAGAAAGAGTTCAATATGGACACTGATATCATATAATAGTAATAAAGATTAATGAAGTCTCTAGATGTAACATTATGATACTGTCTTCATGCTTTACACACCCATTCTGTCTGCTTTTTAGTTTGAGCTATACGACCAGGTAAATATGACTGCATATCAGCATAGAACTCAGTCTTGCCATCTTGGGGATCAGCAAGAGCCACTTGAGCTTGTAGACCAGCTAGCTGAAGTGCAACTTTTTCGTTGATAGGGAATTCATCAGCCTGAAGTATAAAATAAGTGAAGAATTAAAGAACAAACTCCTACATCATGAATGTAGGGAGGAATCAAGTGACCTGTGATAAATATTATCACTAAATATTCACAATGCCTTCCCTATGAAGGTTTGGTTTTTAAGGTCTTGTCTCAGGCATTTTATAGTCTATTAAATTTAACATCTTACTGTGAAAAAAGTGATTCATTCCATGACTTAAATTTTCTTTTACACCACTAAATATATTTATAAGACTTTTTAAGGTCTTATATGATATTACTACTTTTTTACAACACAAATAATTAATCAGCCCATGATGGTATCCCTTTGAAACTCCTAAAATGGCATAAAAATACAATAAAACAGTGCAAAAATGTAATGATGCTTCGACCACTGAGATATAGAGCTCAGGAACCTGCAAACAAATGCATGTGTTTACCTAATTGGAGCATTTGGATATTAATCAAAGTTAGTTAATCCAATCTAACTGAATCTAAAAAACAGCATCTCATATTTTGCCATGCTTCAGTGAAGCTTAGTGAAATTTGGGGAAATATGTAGGTATGGTTATCTAATAGTGACCATTAGAAACTCCAACTTCACATCTGGTTATCCTATGCATCGACTAGTATAACCTACACAAACCCTAAACTTTCAAAAGGTATGAATGAAGCACAAAAAATATAATAGACAGGACATCTCTGAAGGTTGAACTATAGTTTACACACAACCATCTCTTTGCAGTACAAACCCACATGGAGGGATGGAAATCCCCTTTACTAGAAGAACATGAAGTCAGGCAACTCTTATAATACTGGATGACTTACCATCAGAAAGGACCTCTCAACATCAGCCTGAGTTACTCTGTTATTCCCTAGGATAAAGTGATTACCTTTCCCTTCCTCTTTTGACCTCAAATGACTGGGATATGACACAACATTTTCCCCCCAAAAATGGAGGTCTCTTTAAAGCTGTGACCATCCCACTACCCACTCAATGGACGAGTTGTTGGTTCTGGGTTAACACAAGAAATACACTCTGCCACGCTCGTAGAGTGATACGGTATATATAATTTGTAATAAAAGCTTAAAGTCCTGCTATAATAGTTGAGATAAGTTTATTTCTCTAGAAACAGGGTGGCCATTTGCAATGACATCACCACCTTCCCTGCAGACGATGCAGGAGTGGTGATATGAGTCAATTTATAAGTACAGTAATGACAATGTCTGGACTTTTTTTTGAGAATGCCTGATGCTAGGAAGACATGACAACAGAATGCTGTTATTGTTTTGATGATTCACTAATGAACCACTTGGATATATCATCATTTATATTAATTAATTGGTAAAATTTTACTTTAACTGCCATAAGTATTCAGATGCTTAGATTCGAGATAGGCTATATAGGGTAAATTTTAAGTTTTGGTTCATTCCTGTGCTTAGACATGCAGACTATGTTTTTTTTTTCTGGTTGTTTTCGATGTGTTATGAACAATTAAGACCTTCATTTCAATTGGAAATCACTAGTTTTGAATAACACTTCCCCCTTACCGGTGTATGTTAAGCTAATCTTATAACTTAAAATATAACTTATCATACCCTAACCTAACCTATGACCCATATTTTCTTGTGCAATCGAAAAATGTCTTGTGACAGAAGTCCTGTAGAAATAATGTGTTTTATTGTTTAAAGTACTTAAGGTTCACCAGATGACCAAAACCAAAATGATGCCAATATTGTTTGGAATGTTTTTATTATAAAATTTGTCATTGGGGCAGCTAATATCCATTGAATTAGTTAATGTCCTTAGTAATATTTATATATTCAAAATAGTATTACCGTGTTGCACAGTAAAGCACAATTAATTATCTAATAATATTTATTTACAAAGCCAATCAGCCGAGAAGGTTGGACAACTACTTCCAGGGTTCAACAAGGCAGATGAAAGAAATTTACCAAAAGTAGATGTGTTTATGATTGTAGAGTATTATCAAGAACTCCGCCATCCAGTTTTGACGCACGTTAAATTACAACTGTCATCTGATCATGTCAAGCCCATCCCCTGGTCATGGTCGTCCCTAGTCCTTCCACAACATTAAATATAGACATTAGTGACGAAAACTTACATTTTCCAGAAATGTAATAGAGAACAGTGATGAAAACTTCCATGTTGGAGTTATCAGTCTTTTGCATCATTTTGGCACCCAGCAAGTAAATACACACGATGATACTTGAGCAGTAACTTATTTTAATCTAATGATGCCTGTGTATATCAACATTGTACATGACCACAAGTCCTGTATTCCTGCTGGTAACACATACACAACAGCTGGCTGCCTCCAGGCTCCCTCTCAGCGGCTCGAGCGAGTATGTGACATCACAACCAATCACAGAGCTTTTCGCAGTCACGTGACTTTTTAGCAACTTGAAACCTTATTTTTTACACTTTTTGGCCTAATTTATTTAAAAATGTCATTACCATAGTGAATTTAAGAGTTTTCTTTACTCATTGACCTGCCATCTTACGAAAAAATTCTGACCGACAACTCGTCCATTGTCATGGTGGTCATATTAAAATTAATATAAATTTTTTTTATATATACAATATGCAACCAACAAGTAGAATGAGGGAAAAAAATATTTTTTAAATAATTAGTGTTGCCTGCTTTTGTGTTTCAGTCTTGTACCAACAAACTGGACAATTAATGAGAACACAATATTGGTAAGGCATTTGTTATCTCTAAGCAATAACACATTTTGCAATTTTTGTAACAAAATTAGCTTGTCAAGTGCCCATTTCTTTATTCTTTCTCTTTATATAAGCTTTTAGATGATCTAGGATATAATATAAGTACTGCAGTAACACAAGAGAATGATCATTTCAATATGATTTTGTGCCATATACTTAAACTATTTTACCGTACTGTTCTCTAATTCAAAATAAAAATATAAAATACATGGCAAAACAAATATTAAAATTTCTGCAGATATGCAGAGCTTTGTTAAGTTTCTCTCCTGACTGAGAAGATTCACCTGCTATCTAGATGACCACCACAATACTGCATAACTTAAAAGTCTCCTGAAGTCAATGGGTGAAGAGCTGCATTACAGTTACTGCAATATTCATAGGAATAATTTATCCTACCACAGATTCTACAGTACTATAAGATACCAACAGTGTACTGGATTCTCATGTCACTCATTTCAGCCCTAAGCCGTAAGTTGGATTTATTGCTTCACTCCTCCATCTACTGTACATACAGTATCTCCAAAATATGGGGTTACCTAAAATACTTTAATTGATTAAGACCTTTTTAAAAGTTTAGTATAAAGGCAATATACTAATATTGCCATCCAAAACAAACATTCTCATCATGTACAAGACTTTGCATTTACCAAATACTTACCCTGACAACACTATACACAGCCTGGGCATACAGAAGGTTGACCTGAACTGGATCACTTGGGATCTCACGAGGAGTACGGAACAGTCGCTTCCTGAACACAAATCTGTTCTCTCCAGCACTGACTGTCTGTGATGCTTTTTTATTAAGTGTACCATACATCCCAGAGGTTCCAGCTTTTTGTTGTTTTCTGTAAATGAAGTTTATTTAATATGGTCCCAGAAATAGTTTATAAAACTAAATACCAGGTAGGTAAACTCAAGCATAAGCAGTATTGTATGCTACAATTATTGTATGGTCAATTGATGCCCTCACAGAATCTTTTAATTTATAGAAATCAATATCACAAAAAAAACACAGGTTAAAAGCAACTGATGGCCAAACATTCCAAATTATTTTAACCTTGAAACACACTTTCTGTAACCGATTGTTCTAGGCTTTGGCAATTCCTTTAATCAAACAGCACCCCTGGGCTTCACTGGCCCTCCAGGTAATTTGAATAATTGTGGTGGTGTGAAATTAAACTACTTGCCAACTGTGTGTTACAGAGAAATGATTGACAGCAATAAATAAATAAATTTTGTATCTTTTTTCTGGAAGGTGAAAACTTACACATTTAAATGGTAAAGTTAGTCTGTACTTTTGAGAAAATGTGAAGAAAGGTGATTTAAAACATACAGGAGCAGCATAATAAATGTTTTAAATATTTTAAGTGTGTATAGTTATTTCAAAGGTCATTAATTAACACTAAATTACTGATTTTAAAATTTTGAATGCAGATCCTTAACCAGCATGTAAAGGAATACCTTTACATTAAATTTGAACAAAAACCTGTACAAGTTTTGACCTAATGTGCTGAAACTCAAGGTAATATGTCGGGTGTTTCCAGAGCAACAAATGGTTTTTTTTTTGGCAAGTGAAAACTAGCATGTTTAAATGATAATATTAGTCTATATTCATGAGAAAATTTATATAAAGGAAATTTAAAAGTCATGGCCAAAGCCAGGAACTTTTATAAGGAAATTTTACTTGTGGGCATTATTTAGAGGGTATAAAATCCATACATATACGTACAGTATTACCACGCTTTGCACAGTTTCACTTTCCGTGGTACCTTGCCAGAACCGGACTTTCACTTTCCGCGGTGCATCTACTCATATACGCGTGAAGTATAATTTTTTGTTTTTTTTATTTAGCTCATAAAATTCATACAAATTACCCGGCCAGAATATAATTTACATTGCTGGAATTCTTACACTATGACGATCATTTTGAATATAAACATCATGGATTTTGCATTAGACATACAAATTTTAGATCTCATGTAATAATTTGGTTTACACAAAGCAAGTATTTTATCTTTTGTGCAAAATATATGAAGTTTACATTCAAAATATTCCCTGACCTGCAAGGAATCCAGAAATGTCAATTATATTATCCTAACTTTAGTCTGAGTTATTATTTATTACTAAAAATGTAAATTACTATTTTCTCCCAAAGCTTCTCTGGTAGGGAGGGACGGACTGACCATCTGGCGCGGTTGGAAGAGGAGGGGAGGCAAGGTGGGGTACTTTGATTGACAGATAGTGTGTGAAGAATATATTTTTTTTTTTATTAACTGAAGATATTTGTTTTAGCTCATAAAATTCATACAAATTACCCGGCCAGAATATAATTTACATTGCTGGAATTCTTACAATTTGATGATCATTTTGAATATAAACATCATAGATTTTGCATTAGACATACAAATTTTAGATCTACTCCAAGTATTTTGTTTACTCTGAGTAAATATGTTATCTTTTGTGCAAAATATATGACGTTTACATTCAAAATATTCCCTGACCTGCAAGGAATCCAGAAATGTCAATTATATTATCCTAATTTTAGTCTGAGGTATTATTTATTACTAAAAGTTAAAATTTAGTTCTTTCACCCAACATTTCTCTGGTAGGGAGGAAAGGTGGGGGGTGGGGGGAGGGTTGGGACCAACCGACCATCTGGCATGGTTGGAAGAGGGGCGGAGGCAAGTTGGGGTACTTTGACAGATAGTGTCGTGAAGAATATTTTTTTTTTTATTAACTGAAGATATTTGTTTTAGCTCATAAAATTCATACAAATTACTGTACCAGAATATAATTTACATTGCTGGAATTCTTACAATATGATGATCATTTTGAATATAAACATCATGGATTTTGCATTAGACATACAAATTTTAGATCTAATGTAATAATTTGGTTTACACAAAGCAAGTATTTTATCTTTTGTGCAAAATATATGAAGTTTACATTCAAAATATTCCCTGACCTGCAAGGAATCCAGAAATGTCAATTATATTATCCTAACTTTAGTCTGAGGTATTATTTATTACTAAACGTTAAAATCTAGTGTTTCACCCAATCATTTCTCAGAGAGGTAGGGGCCAGTGAGCTGGGAAGAGGGGGGGGGATTTGAGTCCATTATTTGAATGGACATTAACCTGGCGACTGTATTTCTCTTAAATATTAATTGTGTGAGCATACCATCATAAAATTTAGATGTTATTTTTACTACAACATAGGTATTGTGTCGGAAAAAGTGGAGTTTGGGGGTCGGGCCAGTCTCTATTGGAATTAATCCCATATGTTCTGTTGTTCACTTTACGCGGTTTTCACTTTCCGCAGTACCCTGTGGGTTCAATTGACCGCGTAAATCGGGGTACTACTGTACAGTAATTATTGTGGTTCATTTGTAACAAAATTGTGAAATTCACCATCTCATCATACTAAAAGAAAGATTTTATTGAAGATGTTTAAATCATGAGCATTTTATGCAATGAAGTAACTGCCAAGCTGACTTTGGGGGGTACATTTTTACTTGTGTACAAAGAAACGTATATTCCTTTTATGTGTTTGCCCTTAGGACAATTATTTCTTTTACCTATATTGTATATATATGTGTGTGTGTGTGTGTGTGTGTGTGTGTAGATACACACATACGAATAAATAATAATGGGAAAATCCTCTCACAAATAATCAGAACAAAAAATATTAAAAATTTTGAGTCTGCCCTCAAGTCTATTCTGTACTCTATTAATAACAAAGCATGGAATGGAGTTGTGGGTAGACTCAACATTTTTAATAATTTTTTTCTGATTATTTGTGAGAGGATTTTCCCATTATTATTTATTTGTAATATGTGTTTTGTGTGTGTGTGTGTGTGTGTGTGTGTCTACACACACTCACATATATGCAATACAATACGGTACTGTACATTCAGAAAGAAATGTATTAAAAATATTGACTACCCTCAAGTCCACTCTGTGCTTTGTTATTAATAAAGCACGGAGTAGACTTGAGGGTAGATTCAACATTTTTAATAATTTTTTTCTGATTATTTGTGAGAGGATTTTTCTATTATTATTTATTTGTATGTGTGTGTGTGTGTGTGTGTATACACACACACACACGCGCACGTATATATACAATACCCTGTACAGGTAAAGGAAATTACTATCTCCAGAACGAATGGCTCCCTGTCTTGGCCACGAAAATGCCAGCAACTTTAAAATTACCCTTAGACATTCTTGGGTACATCCAGGGTGTCATCAGCAAAATTAATAGAGGACCGCAAAATAAAAATCCAAGAATTATCAGGGCGTACTGTACATGCATACTGTATAGGGAAACAAACTTATAACAACTTACATCTCCCAAGATGATATGACATCATACAGGTACTCGTGACTTTTCACATGTTTATCTCCATCAGATCCAGATTCATATATGGCCCAACCTTCCAGGCTTCCCAAGCCGAGTCGATCTGCCAGTTTCTGCATAGCATCACCAGCCGTGTCCCGAGGGTGAACATCAATTGCTTTAGTACGACCGTCCAAGAAGAAAAACCTAAAGCAATGATACTCGTGTTATAAAAATAAAGAAATTGTGATCAAAGGATATTTACCTAAATCAACTACAGTATTTTTTCTTCAAAATAATCAGGGTAAATCATTTCTACCACCGTATCTTTAAAATACTGACATCAATCAGGATACAGTATAATTTTTTTAAATTAATATAAATACAGTACAGTAACACTTATTTGATTCCATATGAACCATTACCAAATTTTCCATAGTAGCTGTCAACATATTTAAAGTACATTTCTAAGAGGTACAACAAATACATAAAACCTAAAATACCATTTAATGACCAAGCCAGGATCTGGATGAAATAACTAGACAAGTCTATTGGGATTATTACAGGTACCTATGAAACCCCATTATAATACCAGCTAGTATTAATCCACTGATTAACAGTGCCTCCTTATTATTACCATATACAGTACCACAAAAAGAGATATTGGAAAGGAAAAGTTAGTGAAATACCCCCCAAAAATTCAGCTGAATTCAGATCCAACTGGATGAGATGGACGCTTACTCAATAAACATTTACATATGGACAATGTAACCTGCTGTTAAACACTGTGTGCTCCTTTGGCAATGGCAGACACTGCCTGAGGCACTTCATGGTACTGTACAATATATCTAAAAAAACTCCCATATGGATACATCATCTATAAATTGGGATTTCATGCTTCAATCCACCATTAAGACTTTCTATATTTTACTCTTTGTCTTTCATTCCTCATCATTTTCTGGATGATTCAACAACTGTATCTGAAGATGTTTCTTCCCATCGACCTGCTTTATAACATCTTCATTCCATCATGATGTTTTTTCTTTTTCACCCCCCTATACTCAGGCTTCACATACCGTAAGTCCTCATTTAACGTTGCCCCCGACAACGTTGTTTCATTATAACGTCGCTAGTCTTTAGATATCCATGATTCGGACAACGTCCCGCCAATTCGGTATAACGTTGTCATGGACTACTTTGTACGTCGCATCACCCTCTCTCACCCAGACAAAGCCAGAGGAGGAGCCACCTTCCGGGTTTCAGTGACTCGCCACCCTCCTCCTCTCCAACCTTACTCCTCTCCACTACTTAACCACACACTCGCTCCACCTCCGCCCATCATTGAGTACAATACAAAATGATTTAGTTTATTTATCTTTTTGGATGTATAATATATACTATTTTCTATAAAAATTCCATTGAATTTATGTATATGTAATGTATTTTATGGGGCAAAGGGAGGCTGGGGAACATAACTCCCGTATTTTATCTATTTCTTATGGGGAAAATTTATTCCGTTAACGTCGCGATTTTCAGGAACGGAACCACGACATTAAGCGTGGACTTACATATGTGGCTGCTTCTACCACTAGTAGAATATTCATGATCTCTAAACCTCTTCATTCTCATTTATAAATTTTTATTGAATCTTTCTTGTAAGACCTATTATCAATCAGCAAAATCTCCTTCAACTCTACCATCAACTCATTCAGTCAGCATCCCATTACAAAGGGCCTCTTTCTATCTATTCCATTAAAAGCAGTTGAGTTAAAAAAAAAATCCTTAGTTTCTATAATAAGACTACAGTATCTAGGTTTATGATATAAAATAATTTTTATAAATATAATCAACTGTTGCCAAACTCTCAACTTTCACAAACATGGAATTAGGCGGTGCATACAAAATGAAAAAATTGGCCTTTAGCAACTTAAATTACTGTACAATATATCATCCAGTTCTTACGCACCTACAGACAATTGTTCCCAGCTTCTTCATAGCTGCAATTTCCACTGATGAAGGTGGAAGCCGTCTACTGGAGACCTTTGTGTTCTTACAGTTCTCAAGACACCACTGAACAAACTGACGTAACTTGCCCTCCAGAACCAGATTCTTTTGCAGGAAACTTACGAAATACTGGGAAGAAACAAAGAGAAATTAAAATCACCAAAACCATACAAAATATTAAGGAGTACCGGTAAACAAAAAAAGGAGGTGGGGGGGGACTGTAACATAGATATCCCTTTTTTGATCACTGGCAAGTACCTGTAGATAGATCATAATGCACACAGTTTCAACACACAAGACACTGCATCATGCTCCCTGAGAACAGTGGCAATGCTATAATATAGATACTGTACAGTAATATCTCCGTTAGCCGGAATCCCTCAAACCTGGAACTCTCCGATAGCTTTGGGAACGATTTTCCGCGGGGCACATTTTCCGGAAAATTCTGGCGATGGGGGATTTTTTTCCGGTTTTGAGGGATGAAAATCAGGCAAATTTTTTTTTAATTCAGAGAAAATTTTCCGTTACCCGGAAAATTCCGGGGACGAGGGTTTTTTTTCCGGGTTCGAGAGATGATGTAATAGGCAATTTTTGGAACTTCAGATAAAAATTTCTGTTACCCAGAAAATTATGGAAAATTCCGAGAATGAGGGATATTTTTCCGGGTTCAAGAGACGATGTAATGGGCAATTCTTTGAACTTCAAAGAAAATTTTTCCGTTACCTGGAAAATTCCAGGGATGAGCGATTTTTTTCTGACTTTGAGAGTCGTATCATTAACCGGAAATCTCTCATTTCCAGAAGTGCTCTGCACCAATTGTTCCGGCTAACGGAGATATCACTGTTCATTATAACCATATCTGAACGGTTATCATCACTAAAAAAAATGTTCATCTCCCACGAATTCTGAAAATAGCTCTTTAGGAATGATTCTACTCCCAGTAGAGGTCCACACAGATCTTTCTACATCACAGGAGGGAGGGTGGGAGGTTTGATTATGCATTTGCCTTTGATACTGAAACCGGAATTCAAGAACACTCCTTCCTTTATGATCTACATGCTTTACAGACAGCCCACAATACCTCTTAGCCTTTTCATATTTAAGAAAAAAGAAAGGGTCATATATGAAGATCTGAAAACTTGTGTGATGGAAGATGTTAGTGTTAGTGATTCTGGCCCTTTTAGTGTTACTTGGGAGTGGTTTTGCAAGTTTAAGATGTGTGCTGGCTTGCATAATATTAAAATGATATCCACAGTTAAATACCCTTTGAGCTGCCCCTCCACCTCCAAGCAATAATTTCTCTTCTCATCTGTAACTACTCCTCGGGTCCAGGATACAAGTGGATATAATAATTTGAGATGAGTTACTTGTTCACTGTTTTAAAGTTTATTTGCACTTTTTTCACCATACCATCATTACTAGAGGCAATTTGTTCTAATATATATATATATATATATATATATATATATATATATATATATATATATATATATATATATATATATATATATATATATATATATATATATATATATATATATATATATATATACAATCAACACCTCACCCCGCCAGGATTCGAACCCACGGCCCGTGACTGTGACCGGGGAACGCTACCTCTAGACCACCAGGATACTAAAAGCAGCCCTAGACTCTGTTATATTTCACACACAGCCTGTTCAACGAGCTTATGGCGCCGTGAACCTCTAATGGGGACTACCCGTATCACTTTGGTGGTCAGAGTAACGTTTTACCAAATCCGGCTTCGAAACACGAGGATCCATATATGTTCATTAGCCCAATAAAGCACGCGGACTTCTACATATAATCAACACCTCGCCCCGCCAGGATTCGAACCCATGACCCACAACTGTGACCAGGGACTGTTTTTAGTATCCTGGTGGTCCAGAGGTAGCGTTCCCCAGTCAGAGTCGTGGGCCGTGGGTTCGAATCCTGGCGGGGTGAGGTGTTGATTATATGTAGAAGTCCGCGTGCTTTATTGGGATATATATATATATATATATATATATATATATATATATATATATATATATATATATATATATATATATATATATATATATATATATATACATATATATATATATACGAGGACAGTCCAGGACAACCTATATGTATATATATATATATATATATATATATATATATATATATATATATATATATATATATATATATATATATATATATATATATATATATATATATATATATATATATATATATATATATATATATATATATATATATATATATATATATGAATGTACTGAGATGTATATCAATCTACATCGTAGGTTTTTATGGGAAATTACTGTTTAATTACCGTACATCAATAAACATGCAAGTTTCCAGGAATGCATTACGTACAGTAAGTGGGCACTGACTGCAAAACAATATTATACATGGGCAGTAGAAAACAACAACTAAGGATAGTCTACTATGAGTTGTTCATGACTGTCACACAATCCAGGCAGCATAATGCACCTAATAGTGTACCGTACATATGGTTTATAACTGTGTGTCCTTCCTGATTTATCTTCAAACATCTCTTTTTGATGATAGTCTCCTATTGGTCGGTAAAGTATCAGCCGATGTCTCTGGCAGTTCAGCTTAAGGTGATAGTAATGTATGAGTGGCTATGGGGCATATATAAAAACTCACCAGGCAGGTTAGGTAATATATTAACTTTAGGTTAGGTTACTGTGAAATTAGGTGAGGTTAGTTTTGTCTGGTGAGTTTTTGTCCTTCCCCATCTGAGTGGCTACACCTTATTGTAAATTATGTTATACTGTATTAAAAAAAAAGGTTTATATGCCTTAAAAAGCATGATATTTTTTATAAGCATGTATTGTGGATGGGATCCTACATATTTTCAATGTGCCTTAAAGAAGTGACCTTTACTAAAAGTTATTAAATACATGCTCTACAGCTTTTAAAAATACGATAATCTTCATTGCGGTACTCACTTTATGTAGAAGTTTTCCAGGTTGGAAAGCAACAACACACAGGCACAACATTAGCCATAGTCGTTCCTGTGATTCTGTGCTTGGGTTATTTGTCACCTGCCTCATACACTGAACATATATCTCATTTCGTAGCTCCTCTCGATCCAAGCCATACCCAATAATACCTTGTACAGTTGTTGTCTCCTGTTCGCTTTTTAATTCTCCCCGACAATACTTGCACAAATCCTAAAAGGAATAAGGAAATATTATAGAGTATTTCTATATATGACAATATAATATTATTATTCCATAAGCAGGACTAAGAAAATACAGAATTCATGTCACTTAAAATACAAATGATTAAAGTACAAACTCCCATTTTAAGGCTGAGAAGAAGAGACATGTAACCTAATAAAATACCCTGTACTATCAGTACACAAAGTCATGATGAATTAACTTAAATTAATCAAGAAATATTTATTCTGACACACTTCGGTCACTGGAATAATTGTAACCCTAACCCAGACATGGATTGAAAAACAAGTTAATCAACAGGCAAACTGAAACAACCCTGAATTAGTCTGAGGAACCCAAACCCCTTAGTCTTTTCCTGCTGATAAGAAAACCCTCAATTTTCATGGCAATTATTTTGCATAATTTTGTTTATCCTGTAACACACAAACAACCAGCAACTAGGTCTATAACACAGTTCATTATTCGCCGACGACATTCGAGACGACATGGCAACAGCGTGGTAACATCAGAACAAAGGACAAACATCTCATAGAAATATATACTGTACTTCATATGCTGACAGCCGTTATATTTTCGTGTATTTTGTTCTACGCCTTTTAATGAGTAAGATAATAATGGTAGCAGTGGTAAATAGCGATTTGTTTGTCCTCCGCACTACTACCATGTGGTTGCCCAGAAGCTCCGCCCACATTTTTGTGATGCCAATCACAAACTGTGCTATAGAACAGTTGTGTAAAGATAATAAGATTGTTTTTTTTTATTCATCACTTCACCACTTATCAGCTTACTAGCCATTTGCATAATTGGTCTGTTCTTTGGTATGAACTTTATTGTCCGGTGTTGTACAGGAGGAACCCGGAGTACTCTTAGGAAGCCTGTGATGTTTTGTCAGGTCACACTAAACAACACCCTTCCCATGTCTGTCCTGGGCCAAGACTCAAACCCAGGGCACAACAGTGAAAGATACATGTGTTACTGCTCTACCCCAAATTTTCTTAATGAATATATTTTGGCTATTTCAAGAAAAAACAAGGCTTTGTAGGTTTCATAATATCATTTTGGTGATTTTCTCCTGAACAGCATTTCATTCACAGAGGAACAACTAACTAGCTACTGAACATTATATGATTTATTGGTGATAAGATGAATCAATTTAACCGAACCTAACCTAGCCAACCTAATTTAACTTAATCTACCGAACCTTAGGCAAGTTAGGTTTGGATGCCAGGTACTTTATTGCAATTACAAACACAATACAGTACTTGTATATGAAGTTGATGTTCAGCAATCCCAGCACTTCTTATCATGCTCCTTCCCTCATTCTATCATCTCCCAAAAGAATACCTGCATGTTGCTATCACATTTCATACTGTACAATATATGCATACCAAGCCGCGTATGCATTTCCATAAGAAAAAAAATTACCATTAATAACAATCTCTCACATACTAGACAAAATTTTACCACCTTTCCTAAAAAAAAAAAAAAAATGCAACAGATATCCATGGAAATAAGGTTGAGTACAATATCATAATACAGCACACAAAGATATGTGAGCTAAAACCTGGCAGCAGGTGGCAAATATGCTACAAGTGGAAGAAACACTGACCCTAAAGATGGTACAAGCAAGGTTGATATTTTCTGGGTCGTATAGGTGGACGTGGGAGGTGGGGATGATGGAAGAGCGAGAATATGTGATCAGCTCGTACTTGGGAAGAAACTCTGCTGTAGAACGCTTGCGTGTCAGTGTTGATATGATGGTGCCTGTGGTGCAAGTAAAGGTGAAAACTTTATTGATAGTATACAAAACCACAACATTTTTTGTTGAAGTTAAAGGAAAGTTTGAAGCAGCTACAAAGAAGCAAAAAAAATTAACAAAAATTTAATTTACAACAAAGAGAATAACATGATAATGTAAAATCAGACATGTAAAAATAGTCAACATTATAGAGATAAAAATAAATAAAATGAAAGCTCCCTGATTTTAGCAATTAATGAAAACAGCCATATACTGTATATACAAAATCTTCAGAGTAAAAATATGTCCAAAAAATATATCATACTCAAGCATTATACCTTCAGGAGATCGTTCATGGTTGTTAAAGAATTTCTCTGCAAACTCAATCATATCAAAGTGATTTTGATTTTCATTTTCCTTATTTTCTTCAAGTTCCTCCAATTCATGTAGTTTCCGCTCCACACGCTGTTTCCTTCTCTCCACTCTGTCTGGGTCCTCAACAACTCCATTATTACGGCTATTTGCCCGAGGCTGCAAAACAAACCAAGGCTACAATGGTGAAGCAAATTGTAAGTCTATTTCATTGCTGACTTTGGCTAGTACTCTACCATGCTGAACACAGTACAATAAACTGAACACAGAGCCATTTCACAACACAGTAGTACTGTATCTCAAAGTGGTTTATAAAGGGAAATTTCCTTAATAAATAAAAACTTATAAACAATGTGACCTCTATCTGCAGAACCATATTGTATTTAAAATAATAAATAAAATTAGTTTTCATAATATGATGAAGAATAGAGATCTACCATGTACAGACTCAAGAGCCATTATATGCTGAGGCCCCTGACAGGAACCCCTGTTCAGAGCTAAGAGAATGGCTGGGTATTGAAAGGATGGCTGGGTACTGAGAGTATTGGTGAAGTTCTGCAAAGTGGCAGGCTGAGATGGTTTGGGCATGTGAAGAGAATGGATGGTAAATGTGATGGGGAGGAGAGCCAGGGGTACACCAAGAATGACATGGAAAGAGGTTGTAAGAAATGACATTCAAGTTAGGAACCCGACCAAAGAGATTGCATGGAGAGCTGCCCTCAGGTAACTGTGGCTAATCCACACAAGCATGGAAAATGGTCTTAAAACGATGATGATGATGGACCAATAAACATTAAGATCCTGATGAAGTATCTAATTATATTGATGACAATAATATTGGGAATTATTGGTCTCCTTAAATTCATTAATTAAAATCAAAATAAACTCTCACTTGTATCAAAATTGTATGTGGCATTTTTACACTCCATTCTTCGGAAATGCATCTAAAGTATTGTAAGAAGTGTACCTGTGTGTCCATGTAAATCTTCTTAAGGGATAATTAACTTCTTGCAGCAAAATATATCACAAGCAATATCAGAAAGGATTGTCCATGTCTCTGGTAACTCGGTTTGTTCTTAAACATGTTTTAAGAGCAAACTGAGTTACAAAATATGTTAACACTACCTTTCTAATACTGTGCATAATAATATTTTGTTCAGAGATAAGCTTCTTAATTATTTCTTCAATACATCAACATAGACAATACAGAGAAATTATGTGAATGAAAAAACAGCATAGGCATTTATGCAGTAGCCTTCCAAGGTAAACACTCCTGTTTATATTTCAATGCTTTCTAGTATACATGGCTTCATTTAAAAAGTATTTGCTTCTATCCAGAAATTTCTGATAACTAGACCATTTTTTGACTGTAATCTGTCTGAATTTCAAACATTTCATTATATTTTTATTTAACTCACCCCAGGACTCTTTGTGTTAGATCTAGCTGCACGAGATGGACTACGTGAAGTAGGTGATCGCGAAGGTCTCTTTTGTCCTGAGGGTCTTCGCCGCCGCTCACTGGATGGTTCTCTGAGTGTGGTCTCTCTGGGTCTCCTTAACTCGACAGCCTCCTCGGGAGGAGCTGGAGGAGGACCTGTAAGTGAGCCAAAATACCTTCATTCATTCTTAAAATGTTGTAATATCACTGGTCTTAATTTATGTGGGAATTATGTCCTTGTGTGGTGGTGGCAGGACTGGTTTTCACACATTTGCTCCAAGTGATTCATAAAGAGACTGACCTCGGTATTAGTCGATTATCATTAAAGGTGCACTTAGAAATAGATTTTGAAATTTAGCTAAACTTCATTATAACCAGGCATGGCAAAAAAGTTAGCATGGAGAGCATGAATATTGTCCACATAATAATGAAGACTAAATCTAATAATGTTTTATTGGCTTATCACAATACAGTATTACCTAAAAGCACATATAGCCGATCAACATTCACAGATTAAGGATACATGATAGTATGTCGGTGCACCTCTTTCTCTACCAGGAGAAGAGAACTCCCCAACCCTCCCTCTCCTATGTCACAACACCCCGCCACACCGGCACCAATTAGCAGATAACAGATAAAGATGAAATGCTTATTTACCATCCTTCGTTTGCCTACTACCGTATTGTGAGGTTCCTTAGGGCCAATCTGGGATTTTTCTATGATGTAAAGAAACACAGAGCTGCCACATGATCTCACAAATACAGCTTTGGTGTATGTTTGAGTGAGATGCAACGCTTACTCTCAGGGAAAAAAATTGTGTTTCTAACGTAATTAGAATGTACTTTTTAGACTCTGGTATGAATTTCCCTTCTTATGTTGTATCATAAAAAAATGAGCCCCATCTTTATATCTTGTCAAAATATTTTGTTCAAGGATATTTTATTGGAAAAGTCTGGTAGAGATTTTATTCAGGATCATTATGGTATCAACTTCATCTCTCTCAACACAATTAGAACAGATGTTTTAACTCATTCTTGATACAATATTGTTTATTTGTTTGTTAGTCATTAATTAGTAAAGTCATGTTACTGTAATAATTTGAGCTCATTAATACCTGTACCCTTCATATACAATACTGCGTCTCTACATTTGCAATGGTACTAAATTCATTTCTCTATAACAATTAGAGCAGATATTGTGAATACAAGTTTATACACTATTTTGCTAGCCAATAAATATATTTGCTACTTAGCTTTCATCTTTATTCAAGACATCTTCTGGTCATGAGACCCATTAATCCTCCACCTTAACAATGGGTGAACTGACTGCATGAGACCACTAATCCCCTGCCCCACTTTCCCCTGATATTGATCAGGTCAGATCAGTAACATAAGACCCACTTATCCCCTACCACACCATCACTTTTTTTTTTATAAAATAATTGAGTCCCCATCATTATTATTGTATTTTTGTGACTGTAAAGTGAGTAGTGTAACTTTGAAAAAGTCTGGCAGGCATTTTGTTCACTATCTTTAAGGCTACACCTCCAGTCCCCACTCTTTAGACTCCCCAAAGTCTGTGTGGGACTCGGGTTGATGTCTCCACTCCACTTTAAGAGTTTCCTTAGCCTTGATGGGGACATGTGATGATAACTAGACTTATTCTTAATGATATGGTAAGTGTTGTTTAATTGTGTTGTAGTGATAATAGTATTCTAGATTTTTTTGGGTGATACATATGGGTGTCCGACAGACCAGGAACCTATCCCATTCAACCCCATGTTATAATGAACCTGATAAGCCCCTTTATAATATTTATACTGTATATACTTGTGACACTTGCCAGATGCTTCTGGCATTATTGTACAGGGGTACCTAGTGACAGCACTGGGATCCCACTTCCTCTATCAAGGGATAAACTATTGAAATTGAAAAATTTAAATGAACCTGATTTACAACATTCGACCCGTGATGGAGATTTCAGGAACCTAACCCCATCGCAAATAGAGATTTATCTGTACCGTACTTAAATCAAAATACAGTATATAAAAATTCAGTGAATTTGTGCCGTACAGGTACAGTAAGTCTGTGCTTAACGTCGTCCCGCTTAACGTTATTTCAGTACTACGTCGCTAAACTTTAGACCAAAAATTCGTTTAACGTCCCGGTGATCCGATACTACGTCGTTTTGCGTTGTCACGGACTACTTTCTACGTTGCATCACCCTCTCTCGTCTGGCCGTGCTACGCTCTCTCGGCTCGGCGCAGAGTCTCAGTGACTCACCACCCTCCTCTCCCGCCCTCCTCCGCTCCCATCTTCCTTCTCCGCTCCCGCCATACTCCTCCCCACCCACCATCCGCCTCCTCTGCTTCACTACCCACCACACACTCACTCTACCACCTCTGCCCATCGGTGAGTACCAACACAAACTTAGTAGTTGTATATGTATGCATTATTTTCTATAGAAATGACAATGATTTTCTGTATATGTATATGTATTTCATGGGGAAAATTGATCCACTTAATGTTTAGTATAACATTGCATTTTTAGGAACGTAACCCTGATGTTAAGCGAGGACTTACTGTATAAAGTAAATTTGGAAAACATTTACTTAAGTAAAGAAAAAAATGATTGCTACTTTGTTACTCATAAGCACTGCTAGTAATCTGTCTTTGATGTTTCTGTCGTCGGCAAAAAGTGAATCAGTCACGTTTCAACAAATACAGGTACAGGTCCACCGCCGATTTTCCGGCACCCTTGGTTCCAAAGCCTTGCCAGATTATCCGTTTTGCCGGACCAACCGAGGTCAGGTAATAATAATTCAACAATACACCTCTGACCTACTAATTATACACCTCCTGTGTCTCTAAAGAACCATGGACTGCTAGAACTTAAATCAAACAAATATTAAATGTAAATTAAATGTGAGAAAGCCATAATTTTGAGCAACATTACTGTACACACTTTGTACTCAAATGCACTACACTAGAGTAAAAAAAAATTATCTTGTGCAAAATATATAATGTTTATACTAAAATTAATCACTATCTTACAAGGATTCCAGCAATGCAATTTATATTCTGCTATGTCTAGTCAGCTACATTTTATAAGATAAAAACTTTAAGCCTAAAACTAGCTTCACCCAGGCTGGGAGGGAGGGAGGGAAGTTAAGTGCCCTCTCATAATTTTGTCCGGACTAAAGGAGGTGCCGGACCATCTGTTTCCGGAAAATCGGTGGTGTACATGTTGTACTGTACTTGAATATCCAACCTGCAGGTGGTGGACCAGACACATAGTTAGGTTCCCGGCGTGCTTGAGACCCTGGCAGGCCTGCTGGGATGGTCTCATATATTGGTTCCTTAGGCTTTTCTTCTTCATGGTATCCATTTATCTGAAATATTAATTTAAAACATTAATTTTTTTAAACTGTGTTGTTGGTCTATCATGTCTCCTAAATAGGCATCTTTTCATAAAGTATAAAATGTATTTTTATCCTTTTTAGTGAAAATACCCTGGTCAAGCTCTATACTCCAGTCTTCCCAACAACATTCATCGCGCGGTTAGTAAGTAATCTATCAGTTATTTAACAACTGATAATCATTATTTTCTACCACCTTATTCACAAAACCAAACATCTGTCTGATGGTTCAAGATCTTTTATTAATTTATGAAAACAACTCTGATGATAATAAAGAAGGGATAGAAAACAGCACAAAATAAAAATAATGGATTATTTTTGGTGATGTACTGGAAAGATGAAATATCCACCTTGATACTTTAATTAATACAAAATAATTTCAGCTATTACCTGTGGAGGAGGAGGAGGCAATGTGCCTTCTCCATTTTCTTTGATCTCCCGAGAAACACGATTTGATTTTGACTCTGTATTTGCAGGAGGTGGTGATGGGGATGATGACAGAGGTGGTGGAGGAAATGGCTGTTCTGGAGGTGGAAACTGAAGCCCATCGTTGAGAGCTTCTGGTAAAGGTGGAGGTGGGAAACTATCCCCTTGATCTTCAAGATGATTGAGGGCTTCAATCTGTGGGCACAGGTTGATTATATTTTAATGTACTATAATGAAATATCACAGAAAGTGTGGGGTGGTCTAGAGAATGCTGCAAAGAGGGAACCTAATTTATGAAATACAGTACAATAAAGCCTCCGATAATGACGGTTCAACTAACGAAGATTCATATCGAAGACCCTGGTTAACTTAGGACCCAATTCAATTTAAGCCATTATCTTCTTTTTATTTACGAAAAATTAAAATAAATGTAATTTTCGTTTAAATAACTAAATCTCGATATATATAAAAAAAACACGCCTTGCGCACGGAGGCTGCCAGGCTTGATAGTGGTGACGCCAGCATCACTAGTATAAACAATCGCAGCTGGCGGGCCCTTTGTTTTCACGCCTCTGAACAGGAAAAGGAGAAAAACATTCTCAGGTTTCTTACAGCATTTTTGCATCCCTATTCAACATGAGAAAGAGAGCAAGTGATGATAGTGTTGTTTCAAAAGCTAATAGAAAGTGTATAAGCTTAGCCGAGAAACTAGATGTGTTAAAACGATATGAAAAAGGTGAGAGGTCTGTGGATATTATATGGAGCAAGCAATGAACATATTTTCTGAAATGGATCCATTAACAGAACAAAGCATTAAAATTTAAATAAATGCAAATGACCTCTACATAAAGATGTATAATGAGAAAAAAAGGCAGCTGTGCAAGGTTCTTTCGACACCTTTATCATTCAAAGGCCTAAACCATCAACTTCAGCTTCACCATCAAATTCAGCATCATAAGCAGCTTCAACATCAACTTCAGGTTCAGTAACAGTTTCAGCAACAGCTTTATGGAAAGCTACAGCTTCAGTCAGAGTTGAACCTGATGACTTCGTCATCTGAGTAAAATCTTGCATAATATTCATTGGCTGTCCTTATGTTTTAGACTTTACCACCATTGATGAGTAGAATTTTTGTTTTACATTCGTAAATATTATTTAAAATGTATATGAACAGTAAGTAAGTGTTGCTTTCAAATACATATGTAGAGAAGTGATGATATGTTTTCACATGTACACACTTACTGTTCATACGTTGGCGTTCCCAATCGTCTCACCTTATTTACTTTTACTTTTATCCTCTTCACCACTAATTGGCTTGTTAGCCACTCAGGTGATCGGTCACGTCTCTGTTACTTTTCTTTTACCATTAGTGGTTAGCTACTTCTAATGTTCCATTCATTAACATTAATTAACATTACTTAAAACATACATACAGGTATTAAATTTTTTAAATTAAGTTCACTACAGCTACAACCAGGGTCTTATTTTCTTCAGTTTCTTATGTAGCACCATCGTCACTCACGAAAACAATGCTGTCTTGTCTCCTCTCTTGCTCATGTTGAATAGGGATGCAAAAATGCTGTAAGAAACCTGAGAAAGTTTTTCTCCTGTTCCAGATGCGTGAAAACAAAAGGCCCGCCAAGCACCGACTGTTGTTTACCACTCATTACCAAGGCAGCTTCTTTGCGCAAGGCGCTCTTCATTTTTTTTACAGTAATTTTTTTTTTATCATACATATTGGGATTTAGTTATCATTTATAAGAAATTGTAATTTAATTTCATTTTATTATATTTTGGTCGTAAATACGAATGAAATAAGGAAGTAAATTGAATTGGGTCCTAAATTAACTAGGGTTTTAATATGAAAAGTTGTTGGTCGATCCGTTGTTATCGGAGACTTTACTGCACTTTTCTGCACTAATGAAGTATGCAGTCAGACTATTGCTCCAAAACATGAAATATATTGTGAAAGTTATGATTTATATTTACAGTTAAGCTCAGTAAAAAAAAATAATTAATTATTAACACATACCTCCACATCAACATCATCTGCCAATTCATCCATCTGCCGGGAAATTTCATCTAGAACATGTTTCTCTGACTCCATATTGGAAAGGAAAGAGAAGAGATTGTCCAGGTCAACGCCTTCACCTGAGCCTTGGGATGCATCATCTGGATTGGCAGGGCCTGATGTGGCAAACCGGTTGTTGACAGTTTCAGCCATATTGGAGAGTGTAGCTATTTCTTCTTCCACTCTCCTGAGTTTTAGTAAAAAAATTAATTGAAAAAACGTTATACAAATATACAATAAAAAGAAATACTCTATTAAAGACAAGAATTATCTAAAATACAGTCTACTGTATTGGAAATGTATCATGCAACTTTATGTCCTTCATATCTTAAATGAATTCTTAAGAAAATATGAGAGAGAATGGTCACAGGCAACTACCGGTACACACAATAGCAAAAACCTGTCATCAAGGTTCACACACACACAGACAACCATAGATAAGAAACAATAATGGAACCAATACCAAGGAAGACTTTTAAAGAAATATATATTATCCCAACAGAGATAATATGGAGTGAAAATACAAGTAATGCCTGAAAAGTATAAAGATATCAATGCAATAAATGATATGTGAGCCATGAGATAAATTTTACAATCATTGCAAGAATCCCACAATACCGTATTATGATTAAGTTAATATACAGTACTGTAATAGTAAGCTACTAGACTGATATTAAATCTTAGCTAAGCATACTGTGGAAAATTATAGATGTAAAATAGATACAGTTAAACCCCCATAATTCAAAATAATAGGGGCTCTAGCCCTTATGAATTACGAGATTTTACAGAATATGAGGGACAACTCCTGAGGGGAAATAAAAACAATGGCACTGTCCCATTATCTGCCCCAATCAAAATTAAAACAATTCAAAGTACAGTTCCAGATTTAGGATTATCAGGATATAAAGGCTCAAACACTGGACAATGATGGAAAAACAAGTGAAAAAAAGCTTTTGCGGTAGTCCATAGATCTGCACTCCACAACTGACCAACGTCAACTAACTGTGACCGACATGTGTGACGCATATAGTGCTTGCTTACATTGAGGTAGGCAGTCAGTGGTCACATCCCATGGTGACATGTGCATCATATATATTTGTAAATATCTCTCATAATCCCAAATTTTACCAAATATTACAAAAAAAGTTATATATGTATCGTAATAGCCAATCATTATGAATTATAAGTGATTTCAAACTTGGGGGGATACGAATTATGAAGGTTTTGTGGTATACGTATACTGAATTCCAAGTTTACTTGTGGTGCATGAGAAGAGAATGAATCTAGTAAACCACAGCCATACTCACCCTTCACCCACCGCTGCTAGACCATCATATTGTTGGCTTGAAAGAGAAGCACAAAGCATATCAAGCAAAAACAGGACAAGTGATAAGTACACATTTGTATCATAATTATGAATACTGTACCAAAATAAAATTATTCAGTGAATAGAAATAGGATATTATAAACCTTGCTATATAATGCTGTTTCACAACAAATTAGTATTCAGAATTATGAAAGACTAAAATTTTGAAAATTTTGCTCAACAATCACAAAGAATGAGGACAAGAACTCATTTCTTATTTCTTACAGGAGATTTAGCTTTTAGGCAAACATAGATATCCCTGGATAAGTTTCCCTTACTCTCTTAACCAAGAAATTAGCAAGCAGGAAAGGAGAAAATAAAGACTAGAAAAGCAAGCCTGGATGTTATTTCTTTTTAACTAAAAGCACCTTCACTTCAGACCTATTAAGAGAAAGTGTAAGTATTACTGTACACAATATGTTAATTTTTTAGTAAGTTCCATCATGCATATAAGATACTTTTTGTGTAGAATTCAGTAATAAAAAAAAACATTATGAGCAATTTGTTTAAGCAATACACAAGTACCACTGATAATATTCCATTGAAAAGTCACAATAAAACATGTCATTTATACCTACCATCCTATTGGATTGTACTGTACTTATGAGTAACAATCAGCAGGAATAATATACCCGGTACTGTACATGCAAGTTTCTACTGAGGGCAGAAACTTAATCATAAAGAGATAATTCTGTGATTATTTTCTATCTTATATAAAAAGGAATCATATCAATTTATACACTATACAGTAGTACCGGGTGCATCACTATACTGGAGTAAGTATTGTAGAAGATGGCCAGAACACCAGAATTTTGGATATAACAAGGATTTTGCCACAATGGCACTGCCCCTCCCCTCCCAGTATAGTACAGCCAGTCCTCACAATACAAAAAAGAATGCATTCTGCATAAGTAATGTGTAATGCAAAAATTTACACATTAGAAGCAATTTTCCCAAGAATATTGTGTTATAAATGGTGGATGAATTCTCTGCAGCCTGATTTTCAGCCACCTTACACAACAAAAACTAATCAAAGTAAATGTACAATATATACAGGTATTAATTCAATAAATCATCACAGAAGGTATAATTCAATGAACTCTCATCATAAAGATAGTGAGTTCCTGCATAATGAGTGACTATTATGTGTTCTTGAATAAGTGTTCGCTACGCGAATTCCCGTTCAACAGGACAGAAATGTTTTCCATAAGATCCCAAGTTAAAAGCTAAAATGTGCTCCAGAACAAAAGTTTTCAACCCTATACCTCATGGTTTAAACTTAGATAGGCTCCAACCCAAAGAGTCCTTGTCTTTATTTGTGCATCTTTATTTTTATAATATACAGATACAGGCCCTGTACCAATAATAATAAAAAGATATTTATCCAAAACCACAATATGGGCTTCACATTACTAAAAAGTACATAATTTTCCCAAGCTGTTTGGATTTTTGAGCTTTGACTGTACATACCGTACATCTACATCCTGGACAAGAATTGTAAATAAACTGGTCTGGGCAGTGTCACTTCTGTAATGCAATGTCCTGCTCTGTAACTATAGCTACACATCCTAATGTGCAAGTATTTGTCTTGTCATCTCAGTTAGTGTAGCTGAAGATCACGAGTGCTTTAAGTGACATCAAAATTGTGAACAATTCTTTAAATATAGAATAGTATTTAAAAATCGCCATATGTTTTAAATGCTAAACATCCACACATCCAATATTTGCAATGAAGCTATTTACAAAGGCACATATAATGTATTATATTTGTTATAAGAAGTGTGCCAGCCTCTGTTGTACGAGCCACATCATTTGCTTGTTTGTTAATGTTTCTGGTTTAGCAACACAAGAAGAAAATTTAGTTAAATGGAGAGTTTAAAGATATGCTAACTGTTGAAATACAAATACTAAAATGATCATGTGTTTCTAAAGAAAAACTAATATCACAGGTACATTAATGAGTTAACAACCCCTTTTGCAACACTGGCAACTAATATATATGAAACAGCTTCCCCTACAATCAAAATGTCAGATATGCTTGTCAATGTGATGTGTGCCAAAATTTACACACGATTATTTCAGTAGCATCATTGAAAATTTACTAAAACTATTTACAATTCCAAAACACCAGACAATAACACTGAACTTACATTAAGTTTGCTGTGGTACTATTACTCCAATGTTAACTGGAATATAACTACCCAGAAATCCCCAATTCTGTCTTTTAATGATCCAGATTTACAGTGACTCAAAAAACTATCTTTACAAAATTGTGTTGAAAAAATATACGGTAATGCAATGGATGAAGGATTTTGACAACCCTACCGAGACAACAGGAGTTGCAATGTTCATTCTAAAATTCATCGATCACCCTAAATAAAGATAGTTTTTTGAGTGACTGTATAGATGTCCAGCAGTTTGATATATTACTGCATATACTGTACATAATAAATTACAGTACAGTATAGGGGACCCCAAGTTCGCGGATTTTTATTTCGCGGTCCTCTATTATTCGCGGATGACACCCTGGATGTACCCAAGAATGCCTGTGGGTAGTTTTAAAGTTGCAGGCATTTTCGCAGCTGGGACAGGGAGCCATTCATTCTAGAGACAGTAATTTCCTTTACGTGTATTGTAAATACACCCTGTATGTGTGTGGGTGTACACATACAAATAAATAATAATGGGAAAATACTCTCACAAATAATCAGAAACAAATTTATTAAAAATGTGAGTCTTCCCTCAAGTCCGTGCTTTATAACTTTATTAATAAAGTAATAAAGCACGGACTTGGGGTAGACTGTCACATTTTTAATAAATTTGTTTCTGATTATTTGTCAGAGTATTTTCCCGTTTTTATTAATTAATATGTGTTTTGTGTGTGTATGTCTACACACACACACACACATATACTGTATATACAATACAGGTAAAAGAAATAATTGTCCTAAGGGCAAACACATAAAAGGAATGTACATTTCTTTGTACACAAGCAAAAATGTAACCCTCCCCCCCCCCCCCCCAGGCCACAAATGTTATTTGCGGATTTGGCGATTCACAGCCATTTTGAGAACCTAACCCCAGCGAATTTGGGGGCCCCCTGTGCACTCATATTTCCTTCAAAAGTTTGTTTGCTTCTTTCTCTTGCAATTAACTATTAGTTTGCTTGTACAGTATGTTATAGTAATTTGTTTGCATTTATAAATATTTATCATAACTGACAATATAAGGGTCAAATATATCAAAATTTCTGAAAACTGAAAAGATAAAAAATCAAAAGGGATCTTAAACTGACCCAACTGTATATGAGTATGAAGGTACATAATTCTTCATTTTATGAAAGCCTGAGAGGAATCTTTTTATCATTTGTTTAGCCAGTTGACTGATTCTGGCTATGTCTCAGACTGCACTGGAGCATAATGCCCAAAGAAAATAATAATAATAATTGATATTCAGTCAATTTGGCCAATGACAGCTGACAAAGCCATGAGATGCTTGTTTCTAGTGGAGTCCTTATGACAACAGCATTTGGTGTTCTTCGTGCCAGGTGGTCACCCATCCAAGTACTAACCAGACCCAACGTTACTTAACTTCACTGATCGGAAAAGAAGCAGTGTTTCCAACGTGGTAGTTTACTCTTTCCCTAAGGTCCACATGTTTCTTTTATCGCAAAATTGTTTTTACTGATGTTTATTGAACAGAGTTTACCCTTTCTGCTGAGGCCTATTGCACTAGATGACAGAAACTTCAATTATCAGTGGAGGATTGGGTTGTCATAATCTCTGATTTCAAGCAGTACAAGCAGTGCCGAATTAACCACGAGGCACTTGAGGCACTGGCCTCAGGCCCCCCGACTCGAAGTTGAAGCGTATAAAACATGAAATTCGTTCAACGATGTCCTAGCAACGTCTCAATTTTCTGTCACTTATGAACATTGAATGTGTTATTTTGCAGAAGCTAAATAATGATGAAATCATTGATAATTTTGGTATATTTTGTTCTTGCTATATATATATATATAACCTTGAGGGTAGGGGGCCCCAAGTTGATCTGTGCCTCAGGCCCCTATTAAGCTTAATCCGGCCCTGTGAACACGTCAAGAATTGTTTTTTTTTTTTATAAATGTTGTGCCATCTACACATAGGATGACCTGGGGCATCAACACCATTCCTTCCTCAAATTAATAGTTTTGGAGTACTGATGGTGAACAAGACAGTAGAACATTGATGTGTTGTGTTTGCCACACCTGTCATTAATCTCCTGTTGGGCTCAAGACAATATGGTCATGCTTGAGGGAAACATTAGTGTATGTTTTTCTTTATAATTTATTCCCATCAGTGGAGGGGCATGTCAGAAGTTCTTCCTCAGGAGATGGAGAGCAGTTCTGGGTTAAATTTTTAATACCGTACAGGGTATTTAAAAAGCTGAACTTCTAATTTTTGTCTTATTTTTCCATTTCTTTATTGCTTTTTTTATCCTTTTGTTCTTTCCTTCTTATACTTTACTAGCATATGCTAGCTGAGATAAATTATATTTATTTTCTTGTGCCCTGTACTATACTGCATTTGTCTTCCTTGTGAAAATACCAACCAAGTGATGCAACTACAGTACAGTATGTAATAACCAAATTGATCTGCAGAATTACTTAGTAACTATTTTGAGTACTGTTGTTAGATCTTCACAACTTTAAGGTATAGAGGATCAAGAGTGATATTTTGGAAAACAAATTCACATTCTACACTGCTTAAATATGAGATCATACTTTGTAAAGCCAGATAAAATCATTTCACAATAAATTAATACCCAACATCATATTTTCATCCATAAACATGCAGTTATAAACAAATTTGTACCTCTGAGCTTCCTGAAGCTCCTGCTTCTTTTCCTGATCCTCAGCCAATCTAAGAGCTTCCTCCTCACGCTGACGACGCTCCTCTTCCAAGCGCTCTCTCCTTCGCTGTTCCTCTTCAATATGCTTCATCTCACGTAGGGCGTTGGCAACCTTTAGAAATTATCAGCTCAAATGTGTGATCCTTACTGTTATGTCTTTTAATATCACATATAAAGTGTGCACATTATATACATGATAATAATATATAATTTGGTGTCAGTAATTATTAAGAGACAAACAAAATTTCAATAGTTTATACTGTACTAAGATTATTCATTAACTTTATATTATACCATGAAAACATAATGAAAAAATCATCACTACTTTCTGCAGCCAACAACAGATCCTTTACCTCACGTGCAAACATTCCTCGTACATTAGACTGGATTATGATGACTGCTCGTCTCTTTCTAATAAATGCAAGACGAAGTCTCCAACCACGATAACGGTATTGAATGGCTAAGCAGGCTACACGTATCCTGTCGTATTCTGTTAGTGGAATATAATTTGCATTAATAAAATGAAGACTGATGACAAGAGAAGATGAATGACCATACTGAGACAATTCTTATGAGAATTACTATTTGATAACAAATGTTGATTTAATTTTCAGCTGTACCTTAATACGGGAAGGTACACAAAACACTATCCTTTGCGGTACAGTAAGTGTAAAGTACTGTCCCTGTATCCTGTATGTACATAATTTCACTTTTATAACTACTTCTGTATATAAATAACAATAGATACATTAATGTACAGACTTTCTAAGCATATCTAATATTTTTGTTTTTGACTGGGAATATCAAATCATCTTTTTTATGTTTAATCTTTGCAGATTTTTTTTAGTGCTTGCCTTGAGGGCTGACCATGAAAGGTATGAGATGATGTACAGTATATTCTTACACTGTAAATTCATCTAAAATACAGGAATAACTATTTGAACGGGTAAAATATCTGTCAACTGAAAATCTACATTACCGGTAAAAACGACTTTTCATTAAAAATTTAAGCCTTTTACATATGGACCTAAGAACAAAGAAATTTTGTATCTGATTTTTCACATATTATATGACAGTAAATTAGGAAAAATTGGAATCAGGCAATTGGCTCAGTGACTATGTGAGGTGGTGTGAGTGATGACTCTATTTGTCTTCACATGAGTTTGAGAAGTAAGTAACAGTACAGTATATGATGATTGTAGAAGAATAGTGACACATTGAATGCATACTTTATTTGTAGACTAATAACATTGAGAATATTAGAAAATAATGAACTAAGTTAGTGAACAGGTATTGGCAGAAACTAATAATAAAACCAAACTAACAAAAGTACAGTATGCCTTGTTCATGAAAGTATCCACTTTACATATTTATCCATTTCACAGAAGCCTCTTGGTCCTAAACTTTTCTGTTAACAAATACTTTACTGAATAAAATAATAGATTATCAAATTACAATACAGTAAAGACAAACCTCTCTTGTGTCTGTACATGCGAACAAGTGCTTGTATCTTTATAGCAGCCTCAACACGACTGGTCTGCCGACGGTCTTCTAGTGGCTCGTATACCATCTGTCGGATGAACACTTTGGTTTTGCCTACTTGCCACTCATTTGGTAGTAAATTTAGACTCTTTAAAATTTCACTGTGGAATAAAGAAGATATCATATGCATAAATTATAATAAATTAGACAAAGCAAAAATACATAATTTTTTTAGTACCTGTATATCTATCTTAATGTCTTCAATATTAAGAAAGCAACTAAACTTTGTCCATTAATAACAATTATTAAAGAATTTATTGATATGCCACAATGAAAAATATATTATTTTCTGTTCCACATATATGTACCTCAATAACTCCTATCTTAATTCTCATAACTTCTCACAGCTACAACTGTACAGTCATTACACTTATGTAGTCCTTAATAACTTTACCAGGCTCTGAAGTACCCACCATACATGCTGCTTGGGATCTGGAAATCGTTTCCTCTTATGGAGACAGAAATATCTGCCAATGAAATCATCAAAAGTCATATGTATGGGAAAACCTTCTTTACGGATCCTGATAATATCATTCATGCCCAAGTATCGCAGCTGATCTAGTACCAGAGCCTCATCATAGGACTCAGCAGCCTTGTTCTTGTTGGGTTTGATACATCGAACATACCTGATGGAGATATAAACACATATTTATCAGGATATTAAAACTACCTACTGTTCCATTATTATCTCATAACATATATCTAGTCCCACCCATCAGTATCATTTAAGGCAGTTAAAACAAAAAAGAGAGGCCTCTGCATCTTCTTTAATCCCATTATATACCAATTAATTTGACCAGTCCTTCAGATGTGTATATCCTTTGCAAAACTTCACCATATATATACTAAGTTAACATGGTACTATTTATAACACTTGCAGAGTTACCTTACTGTTTAATCTAGTACAGACAAAGGATATCAATGCATGTATATAATTACTGTGAAGGGTTATAACCTTGGCAAGGTAGCTCCCTCACACCCCTGGGTTATAACCTTGGCCAGGTAGCTCCCTCACACCCCTGGGTTGTAACTGTGGCCAAATAGCTCCCTCGCACCCCTATGTTGTAACCTTGGCCAGATAGTTCACTCAGCCCTGGATTCACCAGTATTTAATACAGGTCAATTAATCCTTTCAACCTTAAAACTTAAATATATTCCCTACCTCACTTAAATATGTTCAGCTTTAAGTACTTCTATCAAGGCCTATGACTGTCATATCATTCTACAACTTAGTTACATACCAAGGGTTTGTGGACTGCAAGACATCAACCAGAGCCTGGAGTTGGTTTCGGAAGGCATCTGACACTGTGGGCTTCCCTTTGGAGGTCCCTCGTGATATAGTACTATGTATGGTCCCCATTCTTGCTATAGTGCACCCAAGCAGATCCTGAGAGGGAGTAATAGATAATACTGTACAAGGCAAAACAACACTAGTAATCAAATACTTCAATTTCATGATATCAATTGATGGTACAGTACTCCCACAGTTGGTAAGGGATTATTGTACAATGAAAGACAAATGTCATGTAGTGAAATTTGGTGGAAACAAAAGCCGAAGGGCTAAACTTTTGGTGCGCTCTGCCTTGTAATAGGGGGCACTCATAATGTTTCACGAGTTATATTTAATTTTCGGACAAAACCGAGACATGACTTTTGTCTCTGATTGTAAACACACCGCATACACACACACACACACACAATAAACCCTCATTATATTGTTGATATGCACTGAGCTAGATACTGTACTGGGCTACTTAAATATGCAATGAAACACTAATATCATGAGATCATCACCTCACACTGTCAATTTCTATTTATACAATTAACATTTCTCCATTGATATTGAATAAAAATTTCCTAACAACTAAGAAAATAAGAATCACACTATGTACTGTACTGTTTATGATTATTTACCTGAAACCGTGTAAGATCAGATATAAACTTGTTCTCTGATTTGCTCATGAGATCAAAGAAGACATCTTGCTGGGCATCTCTGTTCTTGTCAACAAACCCTTGCACTGTGTATATCACTTTCCCTGTCAAAGAAGAAGTAAACAAAATTATAAATGATTCCATCCAATATTTCTTTCATACCGTAGTTCCAACCTAAAGAACAAAGTAGTGTGGTGCACTCACTCTTGCCATAACCATCTAAAGCTCATCACTGACAAAATCCCATGAAAAAGATGAGAATGATAAATCTGCCTGTACAGGACTCAATATACACTCAATATCTCGTGATTATTCTGGCAACAAAGAGGACAAAGGTAAGTCTGATCAAAATATACAGACAGACCAGCACTTTGTTCCATGGTAATCGCATCTGCCGGTGATCATGCAACTCAACGATTATTATCGGTCAGTATTGTTGTTGTTACTTATCTGTGTTTTTTCTTCTCCACACAGTGACAGAACGAATGTGTGGAAAAACAAGCAAAAAAACACTGATGATAATGTGTTGTCTAATGGTAGACCCTGCTGCCATATGGCAACACGAAAATTGTGACCAAGTCCCTGGTTGCTGATCTGACTTTCTGCCACATTTACACACAATTGCAGGGTCTCAATTGTTGCTCTTACTTTGAGAACACAACATACATATATCGTTTCTCACTACTGATCTATTTTAAATTTTTGTATTTCTTTATTAAAATTATTATTATTATTATTATTATTATTACGTATAATTATCAGTGTTATTATTTTTATTATCATTATTTAATTTTTAATTTTTTATTATAAATTTTATTTACTATTAACTAATTATTATTATTATTGTTATTATTATTACATTTTCGCCCCCCAGGCCCTCATGTGGGTCAGTGACCTGTGCCCGGGTGGGCTAATCTCTGTGTAAAAAAAAAAAATAAAGAAAAAAAGTCATTGAGTTACTGTACATGATCATAGGCAGATACAATCACCATGGAACAAAGTGCTGGTCTGTCTGTATATTTTTATCAGACACTGGGTGGCCACGTGGCGGAGCACAGGTTGATGACACTGCGGCTGAAAAGTGCAGCAAAAGATGCGTTCCATATTCCGTGCATCAGCGAGTTTGTCCAGACGATGACCATCGTTCATGCAATTTTTTTTTATCACAAAGAGGGTGGTGGTTTTAAAACATCAACATCGTTAAAGCAAAATAAAGCAAATCGGGGTGACCTGGTAGTAGGCAGCTATCAAACAGGGAGGTATTACCGCCTGTGAAGATATTGGAAGCATGATGTATTGTCTAATGGCAGACCCTGCTGCCACATGGCATCACAAAAATTTTGACCAAGTCCCAGGTTACTGATCTGACTTTCTGCCTCATTTACACACAATTGCAGGGTCTCAATTGTTTCTCTTACTACTGTATTGACAACGCAACATACATATACTGTATTGTTTCTCACTTTTGATCTTTTTTTCATTTTTGTATTTATGGTTCTTTATTATTATTATTATTATTATTATTATTATTATTATTATTATTATTATTATTATTATTATTATTATTAAAGTACTGTACTATCATTATTATTTTTTTTTTATTCTAAATTTTATCTATGAATTATTATTATTATTATTATTATTATTATTATTATTATTATTATTATTATTATTATTATTATTATTGCACTATAATGGTCCCTCGGTTAACAAACACAATTCATTCCAGAAGGTTGTTCGTTAACCGAAAATTTCATTAACCGAATCCATTGTTTCAATGGGATATTGGGTAATTGGTTCCAGCTCACCAAAAAGTACATACAAAGTAAAAAAAAAAAAAAATGCAGTAAAGTACACTTACATTGAGGTGTGTATGTAGAAGGCTCCTGGTTGATGATGATGATGGGAATTAGAAGTGGGGTGTAGGAGAAGGGAGAAGAGAAGGAAGTGGGGATGGAGGAGAAATCACCTTCCAGAGGATCCATGCTTGATGCCGTCATTTCACCAATAATATTTTAAGTTCACTAGGTGTAATTCAAGAATATTTTCTTAAAATCAACACTGCACTGTGCTATATATTATAAATATGTTATATAAATTTCAGAATGACCAATAATTGTACTGTAAAAATGTAAAACTTTACTGAGTTCAAGAGAGCCACAAGCAAGATGTTTCCTCCACTGAACAGACACCTTGGTGGGTGAGTGAAGTGGCTGATGGGTGCACCAAAAACTAGTTCTCTGTACTGCAATTATGTTAAATAAGTGTTAAAATGACTCATAATTTTAATATAAAACTTGGAAAAATATTGAATAGCACAACCTTCTTGATATTTACTCCAATGGGAAAGAATGTAAGCCCTAGAACCGATTACTGTATTGGCGGACTAACCTACCAGCGAATGAGCAAGCCAAAACATGTTGACATGTTTTCTTAAGAATTTCGTTAATCGAATTTTTGTTCGTTAACCGAATTGAAGATTCTTATGGAAAGTAATACGTTATACCGAAATTTCATTAACCGAGACGTTTGTTAACCGAGGGACCACTGTATTACATTTTTGCCCCCCAAGCCCCAATGTGGGTCAGTGACCTGTGCCAGGGTGGGCTAATCCTCGTAAAAAAAAAAAAAAAGAATAAATAAATTAAATACAAAATGGCACCTAGTAACAATACTCAGGGTAAAATACTGTATGGAAAATTCAGTTCACTCACTAAAACATGATATTATCTGGCTGTGTGGTGGCGACAAACTAACACTAGAAGAGCTTGAGCAAGAAGCATCTTTTATACAAAGGATGGTTCATAGTACAAGGTCTAAAAATTGGCAAATCTATTAATTATAAATCTATTATTAGCCTGTGCTCAATGAAGGTCAAGGATGCTCGCTCTCTTGCAATTTCTCTTGAGTTTACCATGTGCACCACTTACCAAGTTGTCTTAACATTCAGCAGCCACTTCTCCTTCCAGTTCAAGTGAGAAAAGAAGAGTAAGCCATTTAATTAGAAGAGACAACCGATCGGGCAGTGAATCACGTGTATCAAGAATGGGCACTGAGTGAGAGGAGCAACCTGGTGCTGAATCTGACTAAGATTATTTAAAGGATGATGTTCTAGGTGAGTCTAAATTGGTACAGTATATGTAATTCAATACAAAATAAGGAGTAAGAGAGCAGAGGCCCAAAATATCTTTCAAATAACTCAAGGTTACTGCATACACTAATATCTTCAACAATAAAATTTTTCTCATACTTATAATAAAATGTTATGAAAGTCAAGCAGTTTCCATACCTGCATAGTGGTTGATGCCAAACTCAACTTCCCATTTTCTTCTATCATCACCTTTGATGTAATTTGCATGATTCTCAAACTCCTGGTGCAGTTTGGTCAGATAGGACTTGTCAGCACCCTGGAAAGTTTAGTTTATCATGAAATTCAGTCACAAAAAAATAGAAGAAAAAAAAGCTCTATATCAATAATTTAAATGTGATAAATGTCTCACTGAAAATATTACCCTGTAACAGCAACATTTTGAGTCTATTTATATAGTTTTCAATTTATACCCAAGTAATTATAATTCTTTATTATTAATGAAGAGGTATGTGTTAAAATTAAAATTATATATGATGACCTATATCACAGTTACACAATTTCGATCACAAAGAAAACTAACCTTGGGCATCCGACACTCTTCAGAGAGAAGTTTGAGAATACATCTTGGCGGCTTCTCCATTAATTCAAGGCACTCAGTGTTATCAGTAAAAGTGATGTGGGAAAATTTGATTTCCTCTTGGTGATACTGCAGTCAAAAAGAATTAAATTTTTATCCAGATATCTTTTAAATGGTTATGAGACCTACCCATTAAAAATAACTAATTTTATTTGTATTTGTACCATTCCTGGGAAAATTCCAGTGAATTTATCAGTACATTGTAGAAAATAACCAAAACAAGGTACAGTACTGTATACTGCATCTAACATATATCAAATAAAGCCCTCTACTCGGTGACTCAAATAAAGTATCAACTTTAATTTTGAGGGTTAGGACTTCAAACTCCTGACAATGGTATGGCTAAGAATACTATCATGTTGAAGCTACATCCCCATCATGGGCAGGGCTTTTAAAAAAGACCACACATCAAGTACAGGTTTCCCTTACAGCCAATATAAGGGATGGAGATGAGCAAAATATGACAATACATTGGCAGGCATCTCACCACGCTGCACAGATCAGTCATCTAGTATGGATTCCAGGGTCACCCATTCACTTCCAGCTATAGTATACATACCACCATCCTGCAAGGTTATCACCTGTTTCATCCTGCCTTCTGATGGAGCTTAGTGTCTTTTCCCACACACCATGTTAGCTACTAGGCTGCTGCTGCATAGTCCTTAACATTACAGGGGGGGTACTGTCAATACGCAGGCTTTTTGTCATTGTTGTTTCACGCTATGTGTTGACTATTATGCTCAATGGCCTAGTTGGAGAATCACTAGTGTGACAGGTGCAAAGCTCTATGATAATCTGGTATCAGTTATTTCCTGGTGTGTAGCTCACCTTGTTTAAGGTAAGTACTGTATTTCCAAAGAATGTGGAGGTCTAATACAAAAGTGGGGGGTGCTCTGGTGAGGTAAGAAATTTAATTTTTCAGGATACATTCTATTTTAGATGTTAGTTGGGGCACTGTTGATTTATTCCAATTTGGGGGATGGTTCATACTTACACATAATACAGTATTATGCCTAGTTCTTTCTGTAGGAAGGTTTATTTTATGTCCTTCTAATATAAGTGGTGGAACATACTGGGACCCTTCAAGAAATCTGACATCGGGTTCCTCCTTCCTCCCAGTGGGTAGTAGAAGTTAGCTGGAATTGAATGGGTGATCCTCGAAATCCAGTCAAAATGGCTGACCCATTTGAATTGGTGATTCCCAGGCCAGTGTGAGACCATGACTCGCTAGCCTCTATATTCTTAATTGTGTGAACAACGTTCACTTGGTTTGTGGTCTTTTGAATGCAATGCTTGCAAGCAACAAGAAGAATGATCAAGACACTTTTTCCACCTCATCATTATCAGGGGCTCCTGGGTCTTAACCTCAAAAGTGTTGGCACATTACTGAAGTCATTGAACTATAGGATCCATAATAAGAGAGATATTAGGATTGATCCTGCATATGTTAAACATAATATTTCATATTTTTTTGTTTGTGAAATAAATTAGATGATGAAAAAAAATTTAAATACAATATATATTTCATAAATGTAAAAACACAACACATAGGAGAGACTTACTATTTCCTGTTCCAGAGCAAACACATAATGATTGAAAAATTTGTGCAACTTCTCATTGGTGTAGTTAATACATAATTGCTCAAAGGAGTTCACAGCAAAGTTTTCAAAGCCAAAGATGTCCAGAACACCCAAGAACCTGTTAAAGAAAACTTAATTAGCATTTGACCTGATATGGCAAAGCTGTAGTCAAGCATTTCTCTAATCTAATGTGGCTCCTGATTAAATGTACCAAATGCTTGTTTTCAGCAACAAGCAAAAAAAACTTTAATCTAATCTGAACTACCGGCACTAAAAGGACAGTTTCATAAAGAATACACTTTTCTAAATGATACCCATTGATTTCAATTCTGATAGTAATGAAATAATTAAAAAAAAATGAAGTGCACAATTCCATCTTTCAAAATTCACCTGAAAAACATAAGTTTCTTTATGACGTGCCTGGGTTAGTTCATTATATTAGTACTCTGTACTGTACTTTATGGTTTCCTAGATAGAGTAGGGTGTTGCCTAGTGTTAATCACATCTAACTATTCTTTGTACTATAACAATATGCACAAATGAGAGAAATAGACACCTGCTTCCAATAGTCCCAACCTATAGAAGGGACAATTATCTCATGGGAACAACCAAAACAAAGACTGGGAGTTTGCAATTATTATTCATCACAAACAAAACCACTAAAGGATTAATTCCCAAAGAACAAACTTAAGACAGGAACTTGTCATCTGTTCCTCAATGAAACAAACAAAATAGATATCAAGATTTATGGACATAACAAGCTTTATACTGTCACAGGTATCACTGCAATCTATAAGGAATGCATTCGCTCAAAACAGTCCATTAAGTACAGTGTGATTACAGCACACAAAATACTAAGCTTTTAATATGCAAGGTGGTAACAAGGCTGGCACTGCATTCAACTGCCTTCTCTTCCCCAACTGTAGAAATAGGTACCCATTCACAGCTGGATGGACTGGGAGTGCCCTGGGTTCAAACCAAAGATCCTTGGGATAGGAGGCAAATGCTGGATCTACTCAGCCATTGCACCCCAGAGGAACCTTATCTCTCCCAAAATATTAATACGACAATCTTAGAACTTAGAACTCCCAGTAGGGACTTTATGAGAAGTGATGTCGGCAATGCAAGTAAATAAAATAAAAAAATTTAAAGACAACTTAAAAGTGAGTCTTGAATGATATGAACTTGTAAAATGGCATGTTACATTAGATGAGATTCTGTCATAATGTGTGTATACAAAATGAAGAGACAAATCACCTAGTTTGGTCCTGGCCTGGGTTTGTGCATTTGTTGATATGGTCCACCAGCCATGCAAATGTACGAGAGTAAAGCGCTTTTCCCATGGCATGTCTGTTTTCCTTGGCTTCAGCATGTTTCAGTGGGATATGAGTGATGTTGCCTCTAATGTTAATCTGTCTCTGTAGCACAATACCAAGAAGATCTTCCTCTGTAAGCCCCAGTAGTTCAGACAATTTTGTTAGCACCTCTTTGTCATTGCTTGTCAGTTCACATTTTTCACCATCAATGTCAGCAAACTGGGGAATAAAAAAGAAAAGATACAATATACTAAACATAAAAAACCACACACACACACATGTAATACCTGTGTTTAATAATGTTCATAACAATACAAATAGACAATAATTAAAATTGGCTTGGTGCACATTTTATAATGCAGAACATTTGCTACATAAAGTCATAACCATTTTAAAATTGTGCAATGTTATAACCTTTAAATCATTCAACTCTGCAGAACTGAAACATTAACAGGTACAGTAGTGGTACACTGCCCCGTACTTGTATTTTGTGTGACAACTGGAGATGGGATAAGGGAGGAGGTGGTAGGTATACCCTGTATAGTTGCTAAAAAAACAACTTTAAGGGGGGTGGGGTTTCGATGAATTTTAGAATGAACATACAGTAGAGACTCTTACTGTCTCAGTAGGGTTGTCAAAATCCTTCAGTCTGTAAAAATGGCTTTTTGAGCAACTGTACAGTGGTCCCTCGGTTAACGAGCACAACCCATTCTAGAAGGTTGCTCGTTAACCGAAAAACTCGTTAACCGAAACCATTGTTTCAATGGGTTTTTGGGTAATTGGTTCCAGCTCACCGAAAATTGCCTAAATTCAACAAAAAAGGTAGAAAAGTACACTTACTTTGAGGTGTGTATGTAGAAGGCTCCTGGATGATGATGATGATGATGGGAATTAGAATGGGGGTGGAGGAGAAGGGAGAAGATAAGGCATTGGGGTGGAAAAGAAGTTACCCCATGGTGCCATTTCACCCATAAAATTTTAGTTCTCTTGGTGTAGCTCAAGATTATTTTCTTTAAATCAACACTGCACTGCATTATATATTGTCAATATGTAAAATAAATTTCAAAATAACCAATAATTTGCTTGCAAACACAGAAAAAAGCGTTTAGTTGAACAGTCTCAAGCAAGATGTTACCTCCACTAAAAAGACACAGACTGACGCCTGTATGGTGTGTTCAGAGGCTGGATGGTGAGCATAAAACTAGTTTCATTACCTTCAATTATGTTCAATAATTGTTAAAATGACTAAAAAATTTAATATTAAACTTTTAAAATTATTGAATAGTATAAACTTTTTGATATTTGCTAAAATGGTAAGGAATTTAAGCCCTAGAACCGATTACTGTATTGGCGGACTAATACTACAGCTGGTGGACCGCCAAATGCAAGCGAAAACATGTTCAGGTCGGCTCGTAAGAAACTCGTTAATCGAGGGATTGCTCGTTAACCGAAGTTAAGAATCTTATGGAAGGTAACTCGTTAACCGAAATCTCGTTAACCGAGGCGCTCGTTAACCGAGGGACCACTGTACAATATGAATATATATAACCAAAGAACTTGTTCACTAATTTATTCAAATGTCAGATTCCTAGCTCAAAAGGTGCCTAAGATATATATGAAGGAAGACAGGGGTCCCCTAGTATGAATTAAATGTTTATGTTTAATTAACATGCACGAGCTTTACAAGAAACAAGGATGACTGACCCACCATCGTGCACAGTTAGTACCTAAGGCTACCTGCACCACACTGTTCTGTTATCAGATGATTGATTCTACCTTTAAGCCACATGTGCCAAAAAAGTCAGTAGTCCGGGTAGTAATGTGCTTGTAAGACTTGGGAGGGGAGAGGGTATGTGGAAGCTATTACTAAACTCAGAAACATTTATACATTTTAACCTCTCCATTTTATATAAATACGGTGACCGAGTCCTATCCATTTGCATACAACTAGCACTCCTACGGGTCAGTCCTCCTGTTCTTATACAACAAACAGTTCCACAACACCTATATTATATCCGGTTGATGGATCTTGAGTAGAGTTTCAAACTCAGCTCTCTTATCGAGGAAAGTATTGATGGCACTGGTCGATGAACGAGGTCCCATCAGTTTCCATGAGGACATCAAACTGGCTACTTTGGGTATTTTCCAGTGTTTACATTACAGGTATATTGTGATTTAGTTGTATGCAAGATCAAGTACTGTACATACAGTATACTGTATATAGCTAATGAAACAAAATTACACAACTGCAGAGGGGTGTTCATGCATACAACCTACTGAACTATTACTATCGACAATATTCTGATGAAATCTATATCACTGTATTGTATAAATTTTCTTGTATACAAACCATAGCACTAAACCAGCTACAAAAATAAAACAAATACATCTAGAGTCCTTACCTCCAAGTTGCCAAGCCACAGGATGGCTGCCAATGTTCCATATATTCCATCACAGATTTCTGGTGGCACATGTAAAACATTAAAAGCTAACCGCAGACTATCAAACTTGCGAACATCATCAACACCGTCTATAGTGAAACAGCCAGACTGGTTCAGATATGTGTAGAACTTGGCAGGCCTCAGGTGGAACTGGTCAGCGAGTTCTTTGTTGTTCTGGGAAATATATAAGATATTGCATAAAAAACAGCATCCAGCCAAAGAAAATAATAATATCAATAAAAAAAATCTGGGTTGAGATCCATTAAACGTGAACTTACAAGCTACAATAAACACAGCAGAGTATAAACACAACTAAGAACAAGAAAGAATGTGACAGCAAATTTTGAAGCATTATATATCAAGGGAAAATCTTTTGTAAATTCAAGAATACAGTTGTAACCCGCTTTACGCGGTTTCACTTAACGCGATTTCTCATATACGCAGTGCCTCGCCAGAACCGAACTTTCACTTAACGCGGTTCATCTACCCATATACGCGCAGAGTGTCCGGCTCGAGACGCTATTTTTAGATTCGCCCCACCCGCCACCCGCTCCCGCCTACCGCCTGCCTCGCCTCTCCCTCCTCCTCCTCCCTCCCTCCCCTCCGCCTCCATCCCCATATGCCGACCCATCTCTTCTACTAACGTAAGTGTTACACCTAACTTTTAGTTTTCCTAACCTAACCTATATTTTTCCTAACCTAACCTCTTCTATAATACTTGTTTGTTCATACCATCATAAAGTTAAGATAAAATTTTTACTACAACATAGTTGTGTGTCGTCAAAAAGTGGAGTTTGGGGGTCGGGCCAATCTCTATTGGAATTAATCCCATATGTTCTGTTGTTCACTTAACGCGGTTTTCACTTAACGCGGTACCCTGTGGGTTCAATTGACCGCGTAAAGCGGGGTACAACTGTAATATAAACACTTAACAAGGTCACCACAGTTCTGATACTACATTCATGATGCAGTATTGTAAAGTACGTATTCCAAAAACATTCACATCTTCAATTAAATTTTGTGATATACCAAAAAATATTCATAACCTCAATTTCACAGAGAACACAGTTACACATTTAAAATCTAGCACAACTACATGTCGAAAAATTATAATGTACATCACACCTGTGCTGCAGCGACCAGTTGATACAAAACATGATAGTTGCGCTCTTGTGGTCCCTGGAAGGTGATGCGAGACTGTTCCAGAAGATAGTCCTGCATAACACACCCCTTTATGTGCCACGAAGTATCAAAGCACACCTGCATGAACTTTCCAAATCGACTAGAGTTGTCATTTCTTACTGTCTTGGCATTACCTGAAGATACAATACATAACGATACATAACAGATGTCATTAGTCAAGGAAGTTCATAATAAATTTCCTACAAAAAATATATATGACAACACAATCACAAATAACAGACCATAAACTCCACACAGAAGAGACACAAATGATATCGGTAAACTTTCACAAGATCTTAGAAGCTTACCATGCAAACATTATCTGATTGCCAAGTACCATTACCAACTCTGTGGCTTTTGAAGTCTGAATATTTTACCTATGAAGGTATTTGAGTCCAGAGATTTTATACAGTGTAAATATTTTGCCACCAATTGATCATAAACAAAATATGAAAATAAATAATTTGGTTTACACAAATATAAAAGCAAAATCATAATTATCCATTATCTGATACTAAAAGAAAAACTTACGTACAGGGGCAAACAAAATTTACTTAATGGCTCGCCTTTACTTACTGCTTCGTAAATGTATACATTTGGTTGCTCATTGCAGACTCAAGAAAATTGGAATATGTCATACTTTAGTTTATTTGGCCAGTTTGAACTTTACCAAAAATTACCTCAAGCAATTTCATGTGGCAGCCATTTGTGTGGTGCCACGCGGCCCACGCTAGATATATCCCATGATTTTACCAACTTTGACCAGTCCTGAGACAAAGCTGAAAATGCAAAGACCCTGGCCCAAAATCTGAGAGGTGGCAACCCTACTGCCAGACCCAAATTCAACAACACTCAACAGTCTTTCATTATCATAACTTACCAAATGCTTCTAGAATGGTGTTAGCCTCAATGATTTGTTGTTCAACCCAGGTGGAAACTCCAGAGGTAACTGAGCAGAGATACTGAAGAATAAATTTTGTGGTTTCTGTCTTGCCAGCTCCTGACTCCCCAGATATGACACATGACTGGTTCTTATCGAGCCTCTGCAGGGCCACGAAGGACGACTCTGAGATGGCGAACACATGAGGCTCCTCTTCTAGCAGCTTTTTTCTTTGGTATCTCACAATTGCTTCCTGTAGGTAGATAAATTTAAAACATAAACATCTATTGTGAAGTGAGCATCAACCATAACATTTCCAATTGCATAACTATAGTACAGTATATAAAAAAAACACAAAAGAGTAGTTTACAGTTGAGAAATTACAGGAATCAACTTCAGAGGAGTCCATTTCAAAAACACAGTGATGTAGGCCTCAAGGTTTTTTTTTCAGGCCTCTGTCTCAGACGCCCTACATTTTCAGAGATCCTCTTTATTTTCACAGCTTAATTCCCCCAACATATTCAGCTAGTACAGTATCCCTATAATTTCAGTTTTCCCCACAGTAACCCCTAATAATGTCAGCTCCACATATATTTCCAGTGGCTCTCTACATTTTCAGGTTTTACAATGTTCTCCCTGCAATTTTTAATGTCTTTAATCACCATTTTCAATGTCTCTCTCTCATTCCCAAAGGTGACTTCTCCAGCTATTTTAAATGTTTGTATTTTCTTCCTGTATTTTTAATTCCCTCAGAGTCCCAGTAATTTTAATGTGCCTGACGTCTCACCACATATTTCACATTGGCTATTATATTATTCATGTCTTTCTCCTCCATTTTAAGTGTCTTCAAGAGAAATAAAAATGTTTGTTTGCTCCCATCCTCTGTACTTATTTGTGTTTTCCCTTAGCTACAGTGTATCAGTGAGGGGCAAGTTTGGTGTCCTCCCCCTCTCTCTTTCTCTCTCGCAGTATTTTCTTGTCCTGTCCTACATTTAAGAGATGTACATGTCATCCAGCAAACAGCACACAGGCAGTAATTATATATCATGTAAGGTGTGAAAGAAGAGCAGAAGGGTTCATCAGTACCTGTAAAACTGAAGTTTTTCTGAGTGATATTTTCTTCCCATTTGTATATTTTAAAGTTTTCTCCCCCTTCCCCATTCCTCATTCTCCCAAGGAGTAAGAGCTCCTCTGCTACAGTATCCTTGTATCTAGGAAGACATTTATGACTGTGGCAGGAAGCTACTGTGTTACGCTGTTTTAAACATTTACAACTCTAAGAACAGAATCATGAATTTTGTAAAATGAAGAGAAAATGAGCACCTGTGTTCAGTAACATCTTATTTCACTTGTTCTTTCAAATTAAAATTGGTAAGTGTGTGTGTAAGGGCAGCGTTGTGTGTGTAGTAAGTGTGTTGTACGGATGATGACGTCCACTGTTGCTGTAATACCGTCTGTGATTACTGTATACTATAGTGCGTTTTTTCTCAGCTGAGGAAAGATGCCCCACCCCCTCTTCAAGAGTTAGAGCTGATTGGCTGTCGGAAACCTGTTCGATTTCATCCTGAAGAAATGATGTTTTTCTAAATGAGTTTATTCCTAATCGTTGTGATGACTGTTTCTGACGAGAAAGATATTTAGCTAAATTATATAAAGATACATACAGTACATTCATTATTTCAAACATGAGCACGTAAGAAGTTTATCAGAAATCTTATACAGGAAATAACAGGTTAAACTTTGGTAGCAAATTCATGCTTAGACAAATTATGTATAAGTAATACTACATTATGCAAAATTTTTAAATATCAATAACATTGAAATATTACAGGGCCATCAGCAAAGGCGGGAAATATGACTTGGCTGACACTTGTCTGCCTCGGTGTACAGTTGGGCTAATTCCAAAGTATTGACACCTTCTCGTGTGGTGCTCCTCCAAACGTTACGGTGTGGAGTGATCACCTCCCAGGTGAAGGGGTCGATTTGGCACTTTTTCAGGTTTGTCTTGAGACTATCCCTATACCTTTTCTGCTGTCCGCTAGTGTTACATTTACCATTTGTTAGGTAGCTGTAAAGTATTGTAGCTGTTTTGGTAGTCTACTGTCGTGACTTCAGCTGTATAACAAAGCGGCTGGGTGGCATTCATGAGCAGCCAGACGGCCATCCGGATTTTTCATCCATACCGTACAGTATTCTTATTTTGACGTTGTCTTGCACCTTGAAAGCCATGGCAATTATTAAACAAATTCACAAATAGTCCACAGGAGTTAAGTAATAAACACACAAGGGCTGTAGAAGTGCAACTGGCTAATAAACAAAGCAGCTACTGGGTAGCGTTATGAACGGCAGAGAGAAAATGCTTATTTTCCATCCAGAATTTTCTATGTTAATCTGGATTTCCTCCGGATTAAGTAATCCCCATCAATAAACTCGTTTTATTTGGAGTATCACTAAATAGAACATAACATAGGAACATAAGAAAATAAGGAAACTGCAATAGGCCGGTTGGCCTGTGCATGGCAGCTCCTGTCGAGAGTTACTACCACTCTCTATCATCCATGACTCTATCCAGCCTCCTTTTGAAACTTCCCAGCATTCCAGCACTTATTACAAAGTTGCTAAGCTTGTTCCACTCGTCCACCACCCTATTTGTGAACCAGTTCCTTCCTATCTCCCTCCTAAACCTAAACTTATCCAACTTAAATCTGTTGCTCCGAGTCCTATCCTGCTCGGATATTATAAGAACTTTATCTATATCCCCTTTATTGATTTCTTTCACCCACTTAAATACTTCTATCATATCTCCCCGCACTCTTCGTCTTTCTAGGGCATGCAAGTATAGTTTCTTTAACCTATCTTGATATGGAAGGTTTCTTAGTCCCGGAATCATTTTCATCATTCTTCGCTGCACCGACTCGAGTGAATTGATATCCATTCTATAATAAGGGCACCAGAACTGAACCGCATAATCGAGGTGCGGCCTGACTAGCGCAAGATATAGTTGCAATCAGACCTCTGCACTCTTATTACTTACACTTCTAGATATAAAACCTAATACTCAGTTTGCCTTATTTCGAACATTAACCTGTGGGGCTCTCTTTCATTTTCTCGTGTTTTCAATCAAACTAACACAATACTCACAGGACCGTAGATCTCCACCTCCTTGTATGGGTTGACGGCTATAAGGATGCTGCCAGTGTAGGTCTGAGATAAAGTTAAGGACAAATATTTAAGTTTATCCTAAAAGCAAGATGATTTAACCAAAGAAAACATTCACTTTATCAAGTACACATGATAATAAGTTTTGTACTTGATCACCTTATAGTTGTGTGTGTGTGCTACAGTATAACCCACCACATGTGGTTTAAGTCTGAAAAGGTTCCTGTGTCTCGACCCTTCTGGAGTCAAGGTTTGGGCCACATTATCCCTGAGGGAACCTATTTTGGTAAGGTGAATATACTGTAATTACTTTACAACATGCTGGCGTATGGTCAGTATAGCTGTATTGATCAGATGAGAAGCGTGGACACTTTCCTCGTGCAAAAGGTGTTGATACAAAGAAAGCTAAATATAAGATACACTGAATGAAAGAAACGTGGTGAAATGCTTATACTGGGTGAACTCCAGAGCAACGACAGAAATACTGGAATTTTACACAAAAAGATACCTTGTTCATATAATAAAGCGTGACGAGATATCAGTAAAGATACTAAAGGATAAAATTGACAAAAGGAAGAAAATACAATAAAAAAGCTTATATCAGGTAAACTCGAGTAAAGTGAAACGTGTGGTGGAAGAATACTGCCCCCAGGTGGTGGTGTGAGGCGCGGGCCGTCCTCGGTGACATGGTGGTCTAACACGGCTGCCTAGGTCAGTGACCTCGGCCACACCCGCACCATCGCCCACCCACTCCTTGTATAATTCAAAGTGGCTCACTACCCACTTTCTCAATGAAAGAGTACGTTCAAAGCCCAAATTCAACTCTAAAACTGTATTTTTTTCGTTGTATTAATGCAAAGCTTCTTGAATTAGCTCTCCGAGCCTTATATACATTACATAACAAAAGCTAGGTAACAGAAGCAGCAGCAATTGTTGTAGATCACCAGCAACTCGTCCACTCAACACCACACCACTCAACCTACTGTACAGTCAGTAATATTAAAATTCCTACTTCAGTTACATCCTCTAACAGTCTAACTGTTATTATCAGTTATTTGACGTGACGCCCAGTTTACTGGTGCCGCCAGGCTGTCAGTCGTTAGTACACCGTCGGGTCAGTACATAATTCCTGCATCATGTTGCTATATTATAAGAAGTGGAGTATATAACAAATGTCTGACACCTGTGGCGCTGCTCGATATCACAACAGGTGTTATGGCTAACATGATCTAGCCTTTTTCTACTTACTATCTGACACGCAGAGAGAAGGGGACTGGGTGAACAAGACCAAGAGCTGGCGGTAGGTTATCATAACTACACGACCGTCTGTGAGTGTGCGAGAACTGTATGCTGAACAACGAATGTATATAACCAGAAACATTCGTTGATGCAGAGTGTATGGTAGATGAAATGAAAGTAGAAGCCTGGTGTGTGTGTGTGTGTAAACAAACACCATCGGGGTAACATTTCCATCGACTTGTGTATAATGTTAACCCGGTACAGTAATTACACATACATTATTCACACCTCCAGAGGGAAAAGGTTAAAGGTTATTGAGGAAAATTAACTCTACATTAACTCGATGTTGGTAATTAGAAAACTGTGTGTATTACAGCGACAATTATATAGCCACCATCTACACCCAGAGAACACTCAATGGTGGATAACCCGCGTTTATTGTGATAACATGCTGTACCTGTACACCTGTTTTGTGGTACCTGCAGTGTTGTATACTGGTTACTGTAACTATACTGTGTAGTAAGTTAACATAACACCAGCCTGGTTGTATGCGGTGGCCAGCTCTCATCCTGACATGACGTCCCACCCCATCTCCTCTCTGTATCTCTATCGTCTACATAACGACATATTTTGGAGGTAAACACGACCATGTACCCAACACGACCCTCTTTAGGAGGTAAACACGACCATGTACCCAACACGACGTCTTTTGGAGGTAAACACGACCATGTACCCAACACGACGTCTTTTGGAGGTAAACACGACCTTAATGAACCCAACACGACGTTTTTTGGGGGTAAACGCGACCTTAACGTACCCAACACGACGTATTCTGGGAGTAAACATCTTTTGGACATCTTTTACACTACATTATTTTGTCTTCGTCATATCCTGCTTTCCCGCCAACCAATCCCTCTCACGGCAAAATAAAACAATAGTTCACAATGAATAGCCATAATTACCCCGTTCAATGAAGACCGCGGGGAGACGATAATATTATTGATAACCACGCGAGGAGTGAGTCATGTTTATTGATCGTGTGTGTGTGTGTATACCATTGTCTTGAGGTTGGATTATGGTGACGGAGTGGGAATTATCAAGAAAGGGACAAATGGTGAAGAAGGAAGAAGAGGAAGAAGGGTTAACTAGTGGTATAGAACACACACATATACACACACACACACACACACACACATTCTAATATGACTCACGGGTTTACATTAATTATTTACATAGAAGTTACCATGTTTTTTGCCTCCTACCTCGTATGTTTTATAAAGATTCTTCAAAGTTTATATTACAGTCCTTAAACTAATGACAATGATGAAAGGCTTGTAGAGGTGAGCACAATTTGTTATTAGCCGCTGGACACAATGCTCTAGGAGTGAGGCGCGCCATCGTTTGCCATAAGATGATGAAGCTCTGATTGTCTATAGGATGGAAAGATATATATATATATATTATGTGTGTGTGTGTGTGTGTGTGTGTGTGTGTGTTATCAGTAACGACCCTCCTTTAGATCAGTAGCCCTAACAATGGTTTCTAATTCCTTCTCTTACACCGCTCGTGTGTTTTAAGGTCTAGCTCAACCCCCCACCCTCTTCACCTCTTCATGTAGTTCTGCTATCTTATATAAATTCATCTTCCTGCAATACATTCTTGAGTTGTCCTTCAAGATCTGACCGGATTCCCCACAAGCTACTCTGAGGTGGAGGCATGAGGTGAGGTGAGGAGTGAAGGAAGCTTATGGGTGAAGTGGGATGAGGATAAGGATAAGAGGAGGGGTGAAGTACGCTAACAAGTGAGGTGGAGTGAGGGGGGGTGAGACCGGGTAAGGAGAAGAATGAGGCAAGATGAGGGGGAGAGGGGTTAGGCCAGGGAGGGAAAGTAATGTGGATAGTATATGAGGGGAAGGCCACCCTGTGGGACTATTACAGCAATAAATTGAGGAAGGAGGAGGAAGGTATGTGAGAGAGAGAGAGAGAGAGAGAGAGATAATGGAGATAGATAAAGATAATGGAGAGAGAGGAAACAATGGAGATAGAGAGAAAGAGAGAAAATGAAGTGACGAAGAGATAATGCAGTGTCAGAGATAATAGAGAGAGACAGAGAGATAATGGAGACAGCTTATTTCGCCTAAAGATAAGCCACCCTAGCCTAACCTAACCTAACCTAACCTAAAGCTATCCTATCCTATCCTAACCCACTAACTTATCCTAACGCTAACCTAACACTAAAGCTAACCTAACCACGAGATGTTGTCGTGGTCCGTGTGACAGAACAAACGGAGGTAATACGTGTACACTTCAGGTTAACTAACTAAATCAACCACCTCTATTTCGCTCCACCCTTCATTAACTTCCTTACATCCTTCACCTTCCATCCTACACCTTCCATCCTTCACCTTCCATCCTTCACCTTCCATCCTACACCTCCCATCCTCCACCTTCCATCCTTCAAATTCCATCCTTCACCCTCCATCCTTCACCTTCCATCCTTCACCTCCACCCTTCAACGTCCTTCACCTTCCATCCTTCACTTCTCCCATCCTTCACTCTCCATCATTCACTCCATCCTTCACCTTCCATCCTACACCCTACATCCTTCACCCTACTTCCTTCACCTTCCATCCTTCACCCTCCATCCTTCACCGTCCTTCACCCTCCATCCATCACCCTCCATCCTTCACGTTCCATCCTTCAACCTCCATCCTTCACCTTCCATCCTTCACCCCATCCTTCACTCTCCATCATTCACTCTCATCCTTCACCTTCCATCCTCCACCTACATCCTACCCTACTCCTTCACCTTCCATCCTTCACCCTCCATCCTTCATCGTCCTTCACCCTCCATCAATTCCATCCTTCACGTTCCATCCTTCACGTTCCATCCTTCACCTTCCATCCTTCACCGTCCATCCTTCACCGTCCATCCTCACCTTCCATCCTTCACCTCCATCCATCACCCTCATCCTTCACCGTCGATCCTTCAACTTTCATCCTTCACCTTCCATCCTCCATCCTCCATCCTTCACCCTAACCTAGATCCTCCACCCTCCATCCTTCACCCTAGATCCTTCACCTTCCCTCCTTCAACCCAGATCCTTCACTTTCCATCCTTCACCTTTCATCCTTCACCCTCCATCCTACACCTCCAACCTTCACTCCATCCTCACCATCCATCCTACCTTCCTCTTCCTTCATCCACCCCTTCTACCTCATCCTCCTCCATCCTTCACTTCCATCCTTCACCATCCATCCTTTACCTTCCATCCTTCCCTTCCATCCTGCACCTTCCACCCTGCACCCTCCATCCTTCACCTTCCATCCTTTCACTTCATCCTTCACCATCCATCTTTACCTTCCATCCCCTTCCACCACCCTTCCATCCTACACCTTCCATCCTCACCTTCCATCCTACACCTTCCATCCTTCACCTCCATCCTTCACCATCCATCCTTACCCTTCCATCCTTCCCTTCCATCCTGCACCTTCCACCCTGCACCCTCCATCCTTCACCTTCCATCCTTCACTTCCATCCCACCATCCATCCTTTACCTTCCATCCTTCCCTTCCATCCCACCCCACCCCACCTCCATCCACACCTCCATCCACACCTTCCATCCTTCACTTCCATCCTTCACCATCCATCCTTTACCTTCCATCCTTCCCTTCCATCCTGCACCTTCCACCCTGCACTCCATCCTTCACCTTCCATCCTTCACCCATCCTTCTCACCATCCATCCTTTACCTTCCATCCTTCCCCTTCCATCCTACACCCCATCCTACACCTTCCTCCCACACCC